TTTTGGCACAATTTCGTTGATTGGGAAAATTGAAAATATTCTCGGTTTTAGCGACAAATATTTAACCGATTTATGAGCTGATTATATAAAGAACATCTCAGGTCCCTCAAAGCATTTGATTTCAACTCCTGTTCAGCGAGTCAAAACGCCAGCGAAGTGTCTTGGAGATACAAAGCATTGTAGTTGGGGAATAAACCTTCTTTCGAACTTCTTTCTCACTCTGTTCTTACCCAACCATATGCAAAATACTCTAATAACAGGCTGACTAAAAAGAATTGCATAATTCAACAGATTCAAAGTTGCAGTAGTGTCTTCAGTGTATCTATTCCAAAGAGGTCTTCTATCTTTGTTTATTTAAAGGTGGTCCTTACCAGCAGTTGCTGAGAAGCAAATTTTAAAATTTTTTCATAACCATCTTTGAGGGTATATTTATCTTGTGGCGGCATTACTGTTTATGAAGGCGGGTATGGCCCGCCCCCAAGCCAGCTTTGCCGAAGAAAATGCTGAGGGCTTAACGTCCAGGCCAGTGCCCGCATGCATCCCAGCCACCAACGTATCCGAAGGTGGGTTGCAGATGACTCTGTGTGTGCACCAGCGCTAATCAATAGGGAAATTTTCTCTCGATTTTCTCTAATGACACGAGCGGTGATCAAAGTCGCAAATGAATCCGTTGGTGTTGAATCCTTCGATTGCGATCAAAATTTAGTCTCTTTGATAAATGTTTCATTGTCGATATAAAAGAAAATTTTCTGTTACATTTTAAAAGTGTTAGATAAATTCAAGCTACGGCAAGGTTTTAGTTTCTAATGATGTCAGTTGAGTTTTAAGTTTGCCGGCCATCAGGTGCACCTGAAAAATTTACAGTGATTTTTGGTCAGTCCAAATTTAACCTATAAACGCCGTGTTATACGCTTAAGCCTCACTCAAGGAATTATATTTCTGTTAGTAATTCTTAACACTAATTAGTGCCAGCTCTTGCTTGCTGTGTGACCGCGAAGGCGACGAGAGCGTGACAGGAAACGGGTGCATGGGAAATGACTTCATGATCGGATCAAACGCTCTTTACATGACACTAGGCAATAACTCGTCAACAAAAACACTTACTAAACTTTGGAATCGTATGAAATTTCTTAACAAGCATTCAACACTCTTAAGAAGTTTGAAAGAACCTCTCGGTAGAATTTCTGTGAAAATTCCTGACTACTGGACATTTAGTCCATGAGACTGTGCGTGGCTGCTGGGAAGTTAGACTCTGCGTTAGATTCATATTTGTGACCTACTCCGCTCCTTAAAACGAAAAAGAAAAGCTATAAATTTTATCTGACGTTCAGTTCCAGCATGACGAAAGAATAAAAAATAAAATAGCAGTTTTGACCAAATGAGTCCTATGGCAGGAACAGTCATGACCGGTTGGTCAATATCGAAAACATTTGCTAATAAATTAAAAAATAGATTCGTGACTTACATAATAAAGTTTTTAATGCGTTGGGTAAGAGAGGGCAAGTTCTTTTCAGGAGACCCAAGAGCTTATTTGCTTTACTCACTATATTTTGAATATGTGGGTTCCAACTCAGGGTGTCGGTGACTGTGACACCAAGGTCTTTCTCCTCTTTAACCTTAAGCAGATCTGTTGAACCAAGTTTATAGTTGAAGCAAATTGGATGTTTCTTTCTGGTAATAGATGACACTTTACATTTGGATTCATTGAATTTGAGGTTGTTTCTAGTACTCCAGCTGTCCAAGAAGAATAGTGCTTGCTGTAGATGTTGAGCGTCGTCCTCAGACTTTACACTGTTGTAAGCTTTGGTATCATCAGCGTATAAGGCGACATTTATGTCAGTAGGTATTGTGTCTGGCAGGTCGTTGATAAATAGTACAAAGAGCAATGGCCCCAAAATGCTTCCTTGTGGGACACCAGAGGTAACATGTGACCAGTTTGATGCCACGCCGTCAACTACCACTCTCTGCATTCTACCCGTAAAATTCTGGATCATAATAAATTACAAATGAAAAAGGAAGACTTTTCTCTAGACACATTTTGTCACGGGTTAGCGGCTTCCGGTCACTCATGATTACTTAGCTCTCTTTAGAAGAATATTTGTGGAATATTTTATTCGCTGGAGCCTTTTTCACACTTTGGAAAAACGCAGTGATAACTCTGATTCACGAGAGCTATGGAAAATTCGCAAGAAAATACTTAAACCAAATGAAATCTTACTCTCGCTCTAATTGGTTGATAGTTATGTTTAGATGATCGTATGTAAACGCGTTTCTTTGCATAATAGTCTGCGGGATTTTGGAAGAACTCGAGACAGTTGTGAAAACCATTGACTGCGTTTTGAGTTTGTAAAATGCGCCGTACAACTCGAAGATTCAACAACCCCGTTTCACGGGAAACCCACAGGCATTACACTGCCGTCCGTATCCGGAGAGTGGGGAATTTTTTAAGCAAAATCCCATCACAACAGCATGAGGGAGAAAACTTTGAAATTCTCACTCTTTCGTTTTATCTAAGTATCAGAGACAAGTTGGTCTCCGCCTTTCTTTTTGTATTATTTTCATTTTAGCATCCTTTTTTGTTTCGTGAGGATGTTTTCAAGCGCAGTAAAATTCTATTCTATTTTATTTCCAACTATGGCGGAGATTAAACTTCCGGCAACGGGAGAAGAACTGGATTTGAACAATGAGATTCGGGTCACAGGTGAGAGAGAGCAGTAGAAAAAGGTAGCTCCATGGTCATTTTGAAGCGGTTGTAATGTTTAGTGGTGGAATAGTTAAGTACATCTTTAGTGGGTATTATCAAGAGCGGCAAGTCTGGGACTGGAAGTACAGCGGTAATCCGCATAACGATTCAAAATGGCCGTTGACATCACGGAAAAAAGGATCTGAACATCAGTTTTCAGCAAGCGCTTTTCAAACTCGGTCGTCATAATTAGAGCAATTCGCATGGACTATAAATGAATTTTTACCCATAATAATTCATTTTAATGAAGTTTTATTTTTCATATTTTTGCGTTTTCTCTGGCGATAGTAATAATGTTTATCAAATGATTGAATTTCAGGGACAAACGAAAGTCAAGTGACATCAAATGACACCAAACTGGAGGTATACGATGATCCATTAAGAGGTGAGAAATTAGATTCTTTAAAAGACGCCTCGGTGTGGTTTTTAACTAAGCACATTTTCATTTAAGTTTTTTACCTATTCTGTGAATAACTTTTGAAACAGAAACTATATGTTCGAATTTAAACTTTATCAACAGAGAAACACTGAGTTTTATTGCTGCGTGGGTCACGAACAAGCTGTAGGTGTGAGGTGTACAATTGTATACATATACATGGAATGAAAATCATCATTAAATTTATTACCGCTAGAAATACAAGAAAAATGTAATGAAAAAATTAGTATCGTACTCAGTATCAGGGATAGATTTGAATCAAAATCAAAGAAAATGTCGAGAATGATTCTCATTTACGCCATTCTCATTTACTGGCAACTTTAATATTTCATGTCGATCGTACACGTGGAAATTCTCCATCAGGATGAAATTCTCCTGCAAAGTTTCATCGCAATTGTGAGATATTCTTACCGTAAATTATGAAAAGTATACTTGCCAAATAAATTGCAAAGCAACTAATAAGAATATCGAAATTCCGAAATTAAACCAGTAATGGTTCATTTACACCAAAGATTAAACATGTTTGAAATCGTGTTGTTAGACACAGTTTAAATGTTTTCTTCATAGAATTAGTATAAGCCGATGTTAGTCGACTTCAAATATAACATATTGGAAATGCAAATAAGCGATTTTATGAATCCTATGGAAAATTCAGTTTTTCAGTCCTCTCTCTCTGGTTTTCATTCAGTTAAACCCGGTTTAACTAAAAATTGTTTTGCTGATGTGAATGGGGTGTGAGACGATTTTCTGGCTACTTTTATATGCGGATAGTAATTAATAAATTACCTCACGTCATTACCTTCTCAGCCGCCAGAGCCTGCTTGGAGCTTTGCTTGTACAAAGAAGCAAGGAACTGGTTGCATATGGGATTGGCCGTATCCTTTGACGAGTGTTTCAAGCGTGATACGCAAAGAAATGCAAGCAGTGTTCACTAATACCACACTGAACAGTTAAAAGAAAGTAAAATATTTTCAATTATTCCAAAGCATTTCACTTGACAGAAGGGGCATTTTATCTCATTCGCAGAGTTTAAACTGAACGCCCCTCATCAGTGTCTCTCTAAGAATATCAGCAGGACGCCCAAACCAAACAATGATTACGCCTAGTGAGCTTGTCAACATTTATATTAATATTCACTCTGGTAAGAAAATATGTGATATAGGAAATCGTCAAAAGAAATCCACTTTCGACAGTTATGTCCTTTTCTAAGGTTTGTTTAGGGAATAGCGCATGTTTTTTAGGGGTGTTTGAGAAAAACACCGCGAGAGCGATGTTTCAAAATTCTGCAAAATACCACGAGCTTCCATTAAAAGAACGTCCGGTGACGCTAACCCAAACTGTCTGACTCATAGTCCGAGTCGTCATTCTTTCTGAGATAAAAACTTCTTCAGATTCACATCAATTTCCTTGGCTTCGAAGCTAATAATATACGGACGGGTCCGTTTTTCTTCAGCCCACGTCGTCAGAACTGTTGGCCACATAAAGGTCTTCATAATTTTCTTGGTGTTTACATTTGCCGCATTTTCGATAAATTCTTGAAGCTATTTCGTTTCACAATCTAGAAATATTTCAGCCATTGTTTCAAAATTAGAATCAATATCATTTCAGTTAGTGTAAAAATGCAAATTTTAGATGTAAGGTTTTAGGATTTGACTGAAATACTTACTTTCTCAGCGATTCACATACATGAAATGTCTCAACTTATGGAATAATACCTTTAATATTTTTATTTTTATTGAAATTTGTACACATCCACTCATCAGTTATTTATTCTTAACCCGTTTTAAGATTGAGAAGGATAACAAACCTCTGCTTCACTTACTGAGCAAATCTCAAACAATAATAGAGAGCCAAGAGCGTATTATAGGAAATGCCAAAGTAGACAGAGAAAAGACCGAAGAGGGAATTCGTTGTAGCCTTCTAGGAATAGCTCATCATAATCGAGGACAGTTCAAAACAGCAATCGATTACCATCAACGTCATCTAGAAATTGCTAAAGAAGTGGGAGACAAGGCCGGAGAGGGAAGAAGTTATGCCAATCTCGGCTGCGCTTATGGTTGTCTAGGACAGTTCAAAACAGCAATCGATTACCATCAACGTCATCTAGAAATTGCTAAAGAAGTGGGAGACAAGGCCGGAAAGGGAAGAAGTTATGCCAATCTCGGCTGCGCTTATTTTGGTCTAAGACAGTTCAAAACAGCAATCGATTACCATCAACGTGGTCTAGAAATTGCTAAAGAAGTGGGGGACAAGGCCGGAGAGGCATTCTCACTCTGCTCTCTTGGAAAAAATTTTGAGTGCGAAGGAAATCTCAAGAGGGCCTTTGACTGCTTTCACTCTTGTGTAGAGGCGTATGATAGTATCAGGGCCGGTCTGAGTTTTAACGATCAGTGGAAGATTTGGTATCGTAATCAGCATAAAAGTGCATATACAGGATTGTGGCGTATAAAACTAATTCAAAATGAATTTGTCAACGCCCTTCTCGCTGAGGAAAAAGGACGTGCTCAAGCTCTGAAAGATCTGCTGGACACAAAATATCAGCCCCGAGATTCTTCAAGGAACTGCGGCCCGTTCCTTACCCTGAGTTTTGTTCCAACAGGTACAGTTTTCATAGCTATCAGTGGACCGTGCGTTTACTACTGGGTTTTCTTTGGCGACGATAATGTCCAGTTGAGAAAGGTACGTGTCAACAATTATAAATATGAAGAGGAACTGGAATTTTTCATCGAGCAATTGAATAAAACTGCCTTGAAGGAGATCGATGCAAGAGATGCTGTTAAATGCGAAAATCTTTCCCATGGCTCGCCGAAAGCGGAGGAAGCGGCGAATGATATGATTCAAGTTGATGTAAGGTACTCACAATCAAGTGCTCTACAGAAGCTTTATGACATCATCGTTACTCCTATTGCGGATCTGATCGAAGGAAACGAGCTTACAGTTGTTCCTGAGGGGCCATTTTGTCTTGTGCCTTATGCAGCACTGGAGGACTCGAAGTCAACTTATCTCAGTGATTTATTCAGAATTCGCGTGCTTCCGTCCCTGACGACCTTACAACTAATCAATGATTGCCCAGCTGAATTTCACCTGAAGAGCGGTGCATTGCTTGTTGGCGACCCATGTTTCGAAGAGATCATCTATCAAGGAAGACGGTTGCTGCAACTTCCGGGAGCAAGGAAAGAGGCGGAGATGATTGGACGAATCCTCAGTATTTCCCCCCTCATTGGAGAAATGGCAACAAAAGATGAAGTGTTAAAACGACTCTCATCAGTGGCTTTAGTACACATAGCAGCACATGGTAAAATGGAAACTGGTGAAGTTATCCTGGCACCAAACACCACAAGAGAAACCCCTCAGCCTCAAGAGAAGGACTATCTACTGACGATGAAAGATGTTATGGAGGCTGGACTGCGGGCGCGACTGGTTGTTCTAAGCTGTTGTCACAGTGCTCGTGGGGAGGTCATGGCCGAGGGTGTGGTTGGCATCGCCCGAGCATTCTTGGGTGCTGGCGCCAGATCTGTTGTGGTAACCTTGTGGGCGATTGCAGACGAGGGAACCCAAGAGTTCATGAGTTTCTTCTACGATGCACTTGCTAAAGGCAAGAAGGCAAGTGAAGCTCTCAATCAGGCCATGAAGTGTTTGAGAGAATCCGAAACCCTCAAGGAGGTGAAGTACTGGGCACCATTTGTACTCATTGGTGATGACGTCACACTTGATTTCAACGACATTTAGTTGCTGATCTATGTAATTATTCTTTTCATAACATTTATGCACTAAAAAGTAACTTTAAATCCAAATTATAGATACATATTTGATGATAAATGCTGTTTTTGTTTTCTTGCTGTGTAGAGTTTAGGAGTTTCTTTTTTTCCCGAGGAAATTGAGATGCTTTTAAATTGAGTGAGCACAGACTTTTTCTTAGATAATTTGACAGGAGTAAATACGGTTTTCTGCTATAATAATTGTTGGGCAGTTTATCGTTTCATGTCGCAGGGCCGAATGAAAAATTTTATATGATCTCAACGATTCTCCCTGAGTTATGACTTTTTTACTTTTGAATTGAAGCTGTATCATAGAAAAGACGAAACCCAAGAAAGTAAAAAGTTGCCCGCAAGCGTTGATATTTGGAGCAGAAACCACACGGCTACCTACAAAATATCTTTAAGAGTCCTCTATTGAGAGCAGGGACAACCGAAAGAGCCCTCAAGAGCCCATACTGATCTCTGCTTTTTCAAAAGTTGATTCTCCACTTGTCTTGAATGCTCTTATGAGCTATAAGGATTTGGACACGCAAAAGGAAAAGGACTTTGCAGTGTTTTGATCTTTAATGAATTGTTCGAACTAGGTTAAAAGTAATATTTTTAATTCGTGATGTCTTGAAATCATCATCAAATTTTTTTTATTTAACATGAATGAGGTTGTTATCTACAAACAAGTTTTAGGTGTTACATTTACATTCAAGTTGAAACACCTAGAAAACGTTTTCCCACAATGTTTTTACAATTTTTTTTCTTAATCGGTTTTTGCCTTAAGGTTTATATAAAGCTATTACAGCCATATGCATGTGTAAAGATTTCCATGGAACTTGAAAAATAATCAGTCGTTTGATTGTTTGATTATTTTAGTTACAGTCGAATGGAAATTTTGATTAACTTTCGGAGGAATTTTAATACTTAGTTATAATTAGTTATTGTGTCATGATCATAAGATTTGTTGGAATTAAAATGGCAGATTTTTTATGGTCAGTATTTAATCCTAGTATTACCAATACTGCGACAGATTTTTCTTATGCCTTTGAACGTGATAGAGTGTTCATGTACTGGCATTGCGACATATTTTGAGGGCGCTGTTTAAACCAATTACCCAATTGTAAAACGAGAGGCTAATGAGACAGGCTCGTTCACAGATTTGGCTCAAATTTTGCTTGTAAACTTGGTTAAGGGTTTTTATCACGAAATGAATATTTCAGGATTGAAATTTGTTTTGCGTAGGAAATTACGGCTAACAGCTATTTGGAGCCCCTCCAGGACATGGAAACGAGGCTGAAAAAGAGCAAGTTTTTAATGCTTGGGCTTCCTTTGCTCTCTCATTGTTGTATCTTTTTTTTATTGTAAAACAAATTTGAAACTCTTGTTTTTTGTTTTGAATGTAAATTTCGTCGAAAAATTAAAGAGAGGAAACGCGCCATTTAATTAACTCAGTTTTAGGTGTTTTAAGATCCCTGAAAAATACCGTTAGTCCAGAAGCTTGTAATACTGTTAACATGTCGGGTTAACGAGTTTGGATGGAATTCAATGGCAGTGATTGGTGCAACTTTTGGATCAGTTTCTCTCTATGGTCAGCTGCCGCACGGCCCTCCTGCTGTTGTGTTTTTTGATCGGGCTTCTGGCTTCTGAGACTCAATTCCCTTGTCCCTGTTAATGTTGTTAGGGTGAAGTCTGACGTGAATTGCCTCTTTTACCCTGCGTGTGTAGAAATGGGCATCACGATCAATTAACTTTAGTCTTTACAGAGCAGGCGTGTTCGGTTTTAAGGTTGTGCTTTGAAACGGCAAAGGTCAGCGTCTTAGGGAGTAGGATATCCCTGTCGTGTTCCTTGATTCTCTCCTGCATAGGTCTACCTGTTTGGCCGTTGCAAACCTTTGCGCACTCACAGGGAATCCTGTAGACTACGCCATCCTGTTTAGCAGCGTCGACGTTATCCTTCGGGCGTACTAGGTGTTATCGTAGCTGGCTTGGAAACAGTTGTTGTTAACAGAGGCGAAGTTGTTCAGAGAGGCCTTTGACGTAGGGCAGGTCTGCGATGGATCTGAGCTCGGTGGGGGGTTCAGTAATGGCGGTTTGTGTCGTGGTTTTTGTTACTCTGCATGGAAGAGGAAGAAAAACCATCAGTAACAAGAACAGATGACATGTTTCTTCTCGTTGGAGATGGAGGATTTTGTTTCGCACGCTTGTAAAGGCGCATGTAAAGACACTTGGCAATACCGTGCGCTTTATTGATTGCGCCAAACTCTCCTTACTTGTAGTAGGTAACACCGAACTACATCTACGACACCCACCACAGTAGTCTTCTCTTACTACACCAATTGCATGAAACTACATCAACCTGCACGTATTACACCAAACTTCACAAAACTTCACCTACTACCCTAAACTAAATCTACTACACCGAAGTCCACCAAACAATATCTACTACACCAGACTACATCTACTACACTAAACTACATCTGCTACACCAAACTAAACGCACTACACCAAACTAAACCTTCTACACATACTACACCAAACCACTTACAACAACTAATACCCAACTACACCTACTAAATCAAACTGCATGCTCTACACCAAACTACTTTATAAAATAATTCAAATAGTACGCGCGCTCTGATTGGCCAGAAAACCATTTTACACGAGCGTATATAAACACGGTTTTCGTTCCTCTTTCATTAGTTATTTTATAAAAGAAATGTAAAATGGTTTCCGTGTTTATATAGCCTGATGTAAACACTTGGTCCAACCTCCCGCGTGTTTACATCAGGTTATGTAAACAAGGAAACCATTTTACATTTCTTCAACAAAGTACACCTACAATACCAAACTAAACCTACAACACAAAACTGCACCTACCTCACCTGCTACACCTAACTTCCTCTAGTACTACAAATTACTCCTACCACACCTACTACACGAATCTCTCGATTCTATTAAGGAATAAGTGTTAATTTTTTTTAAGATGGTGTGGAACCCTGTTCTATATTCGTGACGGAAATCATGAATGTATTACCGAAAATTGGAAATAGGAATAATAGTCTTTTTCAACGATAAATATTTAACCGATTTATAGGCTCATCTCAAAAAGAACACCTCAGATCTCTCAAGGAATTTTATCCTAAATCCTTTTAGCGAGGCAAAACACCGATAGTCGTGAAAAAGATTTTTATAAGCAAAGGTTGAAGATACTACGCACTGTAGTTGAATGTACCTTTAACCAGCGAAACCTGAAATAGACCAAACAGTAAAATTGTCCATCACAACAACAACAAAACAAAAAATATTTCAGTGTTTAAGGCTCCAGGTTTTTTTTGGTTTGATTTGCTAGTAACCTGTATTGGCTAGGGTTGATTCGAGTGAAGGGTAAAATTGTCCGAAATTAATAGTGACAAGTTTATCCTCATTTATTAAAAACAACCCTCAGACCCATTTACCTGAGCGTAAATGGGTCTGAGAAAACGTTTGAAATTCTTTGAAATCCACTTTTGCGAATGCAAAATAATTGCGTGGTGGCAAATACAAGCTTTCGATTTTCGTGGAATTTAAGTTCCTCGTTTCTTCTTGTTGGACCACAGTGTATGTCGCGGGGTCGGTGGCAAGTAGCCATCTTATTTTCCAACTATTCTCGCAGAGACAAATACTTATTTTCTAGTCTATGAATTCTCGCAAGAAAACGCTTGAACGAAGAGAAGTCTAATTTTACGTCAGCCATTACGCGCAATAACCGCTGATTCATGGCACACAACTCACTCTCAAGCACCTCAGGCACCTCGTTCTCAAGTACCTCAAGCAAGACGCGTAGCTGTTTTTGGGTGAAGATGTCGTTATACTTTCGCCAATTTCGCCTGCCCACTATTTGTTTGCCTCAACTGATCGGCAGCTTGCCATACGCTGTATAAGAAAAAGTCCCTGTTATTGGCAGCAACTTGATTTCACTCTACGTTCCGAGGCTCCCTGTTTTTAAAGTTTCTCAAGACGGCTGTTATTTGCCATAAGTTTTGATTGGAGAAGGAGGATCTCACGTAATGGATAGTTATCGGTGTGACAAACAAACAAGAGACACATTGATAAGTTCGATTGAAAATATCTTTTATTAAGTGCAATTGAACATCTGAAAAGAAGAAAAAAAACTTTCTATAAGTTACCACAACCTAAAGCTACGGTTAGCTTTCAATAATCAATGCAGTTTTTGTTACGAACATTATTATTATTTCATTCATATTTCACTCATTCATCAGTCGTCGCTCGTTCAATTTTGAAATCACGCTTGTGATTTCACAACAAACTGCACTCAGTCAGTTGATTTTCATTAAAAATTTTCCTTGCCAGTGCAATAGGAAACTTATAGAGAACGATGTGGAAAATATACAAACTGACTCAGTTAGGGTGTGAGAGGTGAAACACTTGAGCTACTCATTGGAAAACAGGTCGGTTTATGTACGAGAACAGACTATTTTCACATCCATACAGAACCAGTGAAGATGCATTTGTTTCAATAAAATTGCTTATTCACTTACATTGATAAGTTCACATCTTTTTTGAGGTAGGTTTGAAAAACCCCCAAACTCAGTGGTAACTAATTTGAAAGAGGGTCATCCTAGAACATGATAAAAAGACAAATTCGAAAAACGAACTGATTTAATAACGAGATAAACAAATGAGTTATTGGATGGATTGATGAACTATAAGTGAGTGAAATAACTTAAAGGCAAATATTCCAACCACAGCTCGAACATTGTTCAAGTTCTTTGTGAACTTTGGTATGCATGTTGTATGGTATTTCTGTAGAAGGTGGTGTATGATTTTGTCGGTTGGTTTGTCTTTGTTGCATATTGTCTTATGGTGTCTTAGGAGGCTTGTCATTGTTAGTTTTTTTGTTTTTAGGTGTTCGTCGGTGGGCAGAGCGTGTAAGCCAGGGAAAAGAGTAGGTGGCCACTTTTGCAACCAAACAATACAATACTTATTAAGGGCTTTGCTATAGACACTTTTTTTGAAACTGGCGATCGCGACTTTAAATTGGGAATAACCACTTTAAACTGGATATTTACCACTTCTACTTCAAAGTGGTGATCGGCAATTCAAAGTTGCGCAAGGTTTGTTGCCAAGGAAACTTGCCCTACTCTCTCAACCAATCAAATAAAAAACTTAAAGTTATTGCATGTGACTTGATCATCGTTGTTTTTCCGCGCTTCTGACCCGTAACATTTGTCACTTTACTTTTGGTTCTCATTTGTTTTCGTTTGATATTTTAATTGGTGCTTATTACCTTATCTATTTTTCTTTTGAAGCTTTGTCGAAAAGTTTTTTTGTAACACTTGTGGCGTCAAGTTGAATCAGGTTGAGCAGAGAAACAATTATTAAGGCTAATTATTGAATCTAAGGGGCCCAGCTTTGAATATGTTTTTGTTTTATCTTTTAATAAGAGAATTTTACATTTACCGCAATGATGATATTTGCATCGTCTGACAGTAGAGATGAAAATCCAGATATGTAGTCAATCTACAAAGAAGTAGAGAAGATGCAAATGAAATAGGGAACAGAAGAAATTGAGACCAGGTGCTGCAACAACATTTGTAATGTCATCAAGATTTTCGTTTTGAGTCTAACAAATCTTGCGCGACAGTGGTGTAAATCGATCGTTTATCGCAGCAAATTGACTCGATACCCTGGCAGTTGATTCAGATTATGCTTGGTCTGAAGACGGTGCGTGGGTCAGTTACTGAAGAAGATTTTTAGGAGCTACATCACGACTCTTTTATTTGCATTTTGAGTTAATGAAAATTATGATAGTCGAGAAAAATGTTTTAGTAACAATTTTTGAAGAAGAAAGAAACGAAAGAGACAAGAACCAACCAAAAGAGAGTAAAGAAGGTTGAGGTTAAAAAGAGAAAACATGAATCGTAGATGGATATATGAGAAATTCTGGCTACATTTTCAGAAAGCACTGTCTGCCATGAAACCCTTACGGTCAAATGGACTGATTTTGGATCTACTTGACACTGATATCAGCATACCTCATTCTCTGTTGTCGTATTTACCGCGGATGGACCACATGCAATTGCTAGAGGTTCTGAAGACTGAAGACAGCTGAAGAACGGATGGTATTGGAAATTGTCAACACCAAGCCTCACATCTGGGCATTTTTGGAGAAGCTGCTTATACAGAAATAAAAGATTTGTTTCGTTAAAATCGAAATACCTGACTTAAATAATGAAGTGCACTATTTCCTCTACAATGTTTGCCAAAAATATTTATTTAGAAACACTTAACTAGGAGAGTTGTTCATACTTTCTGTGCGAATTACATTGGGTCCTTTCAGTTTATCGCAAAAGTTTGTGATCCGCAAACCTTGATGATCTAATTTTTTATTTTCAATTCAATTAATTGGTTCGTTCATAACCTGTACTGTAAATTTTGTTGAGTACACACCTCAAGGTGTCAGTTACAGCTTGAAAAATTTGATAATATTAATCTGTAAATTTCTTGTATTTCCTATTGAACCGGAATCTTGGTGATTTTTGCGTCAAATTTACCCAAGCAATTTTATGATTCCTCGCGCCACGTGTGCATGTTAAATGCCAATGTTTTTAATCAAACTTAATTTTGCAGTGGGGCAGAAGGAGATCAATTTTCAGAGGTTATGTATGATGATTTTGAGGAAATCGGTTTCATTTAAGACAAAACAGGACATCCCCTCTAGTCTTAGAAGAAAGTTATTTACTTAACTCGCAAAACTTTGGATTTCGTTTGCTGACCTTAAAAAGGCAATCTCTGGTCTCTCTCCCAAGCCAATTGGGGATATCAGGCGTTGTGTATACAATGTTTTCGAAAAGTTGTCTCTCGTCTTCACCATAAAATGGTAGCTGATAAGTAGATATATAACAAAATAAACAGAACAATGAAAATATTTAATTGCTGTGTCTATGTCCCCCCCTGGTTCTTGTTGGAGGCCAGATGAGTGTTCGAGGGGGGTGGGTTAAGAACCCTTTATTGTTGTTATTGTTGTTGTTGTTTTTTCGGTCCTCGGTCATATCCAAGCCCTTCTCAGTCTTTTTATTCGTCATATTTTGCAGGAAAGATGCCGCTGTCATATAAAACTTTCACTCATTTCACAAACGTATAACGGACTGCAACGTCTTTCTAAACTATTGAAATGAGCTGAGGATTTATATCAGTGTGGAACTTTAAATTCTCTTCCAATCCCTCGGTGATAACTATTTCCAAACTCTTTGACTGTCCATTTGATGGAATCTGTTCTGTACCCCTTAGGATATCTGAAGCCTAAAACAGATCCCCTTTTCGGGTGGAGTCTTCCCTTACAATGTTTGCCGTAGGATAGTGTCCTATTCCCATGTGACGAATATTATTTGTACAAACCTGGCCAGTCAGCATCAGGAATAAAGTCACGCCAAAGGACCACCAGTCCACAGAGTACGTATATGACTTTCCCATGATCATCTGTAACACAGATTGAGTGGAGTTTATTAGCATTGAAAAAAGTGTATTAACAAATTCAACTGCATGAGCCTGGTTGAAATATTTGTGTATTAACAAGGGCGTGGTCAGGATCTTCTAGCAGGGGGTCCTTCTACTCTTTTTTCGTCGGAAACTGAGGGCGGAGAGGCATAACAAAATGTTTTTTATCGTAATTTGTCAAATTCTCGTGACAAGCAGAGAGGTTATCTACCCCTTTAGTGCCGAGAAGATTTTTGGGTCTCGTTTGACAATGCCTTGATTTAAGATTGACCAAGGTGGAAGAATATAGGAATACATTTTATCCTCAGAGTAGGAGAAGAAGAAAGAAGAACTTTCTTAAAAATCCAACGAGAAGATAAATAAATAGTGAGAAAAAACACTTGCGGTTTGAACAAAGACTTTTCAGGGTACTCTGCTACAAGCCTTATACCTCAGGCGCCATATATGGATAAGTTCCACATATTCCAGTGACTGTAAAGACGACAAATTCGCTCAGACCGAAGTCTGACAGCTTCAGGTGGCCATTTGAGGTTACCAGAATATTTTCCGGTTTTAGATCTCTGATGAAATAAGTTGGCAAAAACTTCTTTCACTCATTTTTAGTGTACATTACTTTACATCAGGGCAAACCAGATTTGCATCAATTTTTCTGTTACAATGGAAAATCTTCTACCCGTTCTTTCTCGATTCCAATCCCATACCGCTCATGTCAATTGTGGCTCCTCGATTTCAAAAAACAAGTTTTTTTTCTTTTTCTCGACCGCTAGTGGTGCATTATGTTTCAGCCAATTTGCATCAAGAAAGCTGGTTAGACAGGGAAGGTAAGTTAGTCGACATTGGAATTAAGCCGGAATGAACGAGAAAATTTTTTTGTATCCTTGTAGCAATCGGAAAGAAATGGGTGTATACTGGCTGTGTTATTTTTCAAATATTTCTCTTTATCATTCCTATAATCCCTCTAGTTCCTGTTATTCTTGTCGTCAGTGTTATTGTTATCGTTGTTATTGTCATTTTTTTCTCTGTCGTTACTGTTATGGTTATCAATATCGTCTGTGTTGTTTTATAAAGGGTTCCAAAACACCGGGGAAAAAACAAATCTTTCTTCGGAATGAGACATTCCAGAGTACGTTATGCCACAAACATACCTGTGGATGACGTTTTTCGAATTCAAATATTTCAATCCCAGGCCGATATCGACGGCGTAAAACCTGAAATACCAGACGTTGTCGTATGAATACTTTTAATTGACTTTCTAAGTTGTAACCTGGGTCTTAGTCAGAAGAAAATGAGCAACTGCAAGTCTGCAAACTTAAAACTGAATGCGTTGACAGCGGCATAGAAAAAGCCTATATGTTGGTAAAGATTTAATGAGCATGAGTGACGATTAGGATAACAATTTTAAACACTTCCGGGATGCTCAGCTGTTTTCCTTCAAAAGGCGTTGAAACTTCTTTTCATTTAAATCGTACCTGGCGCGTTCCTCACTCAGTTTTCCTCCCTGGGTTCGCAGAACTCCAGCAAAGTCCCCACCGGGCAAATACTCAAGCGCTAAGGCTGTTTTTGTGTGCTGAAACAAAAACATTCTGTTTAGTTTATTGACATCAGCATCACGGCTGTGTTGATTAATGCTTTGTTTCTTTTTTCAACAAACTGGCGTTAATTACTTAATGAATCGTTCATTAAAATTCATTTAATCCCTCCCTAAGGCTTTCTGACTCTTCCTCATTGGAATTTCATTGACAATCAAATTCCTCAAGCTCCTCCCTTATGCTCTGTTAACGACGACTAATCCCTCCTCCCTTCCCCCTTAAAATCAAGTAGACCCCCCCCAAATCCTTTGGACCCCAAGATTGGCTCGTAAACAATAACTAACTATTCGTTAGTAAAAAAAACTGACTGAGATAGTGGCAGGCTCAACTTGCGTTCAGTTTAAAACAATGAATTCCTCAGCACGCTTATTGTTGCCTCCTGAAGGCATGATCACTCCACTGCTACGATGTGCAAAGTTCCATGGCCACGCCAGTAAAAGATTCCTAAATATGGACGTGTTTTATCTGCTCCTGTAGCCAACCTTTCTGTATGTATTCAAAAGCCGTTTATTAGGTACATACTTTGATGGTAAACGCCCGGCATAACTGGGTAACCCTGGAACTCCCGGCCAAGTGGAGGAGGATGAATGTTTCTTTCAACACCATCGATTTGTTTGCTTCATTCTCCTTAAAGGTTTTTACTGCGTAATTTCCATGGGTTTTTCGACAATAAAATTGCGCTACCTGAAGTAGGAATAGAATAGCCAAGCATTAAAGAATCTGCTTAACAGTACTTTGAGCAATTTGTAGTGACATTAATTGACGCAACCTTTAGTTTTGGTTTTCCCCAGTCTTCTAAACGCCGAACGACTCCGCATTGCAGCAGCCCTCTTTCCCCAAGAAATTAATAAGAATTGAAGATAGACTGAACCATGGATCAAATTTGAAAATAATCAATCCTTGAGACTAAACAAGTCATAACTATCTCTAATTTAAGTATCTAATTTTCCTAAATCCCCTGATGGGTGGGCAACCACGAAACAGGCCTGTAAGGATGAACTTTTAGTTTATTTGTCTTCTTCCTCCCACAATATATATATATATAATATATATATATATATATATATTATATATATTTATATTTATATTATTTATATAGCAGAATCTCCTACCTCGCCAAAACCTCCTTCCCCAAGTTTCTTAACTTCAAATAGGTCCTGGAAATCAACGTTGTACAAATCTTCCACTCTTCGCATTTTGGTAGGATAATCGGACATCTCCTGACTTTTTCTTTTTCTACGGATCTTTGTACAGAGCAAAATGGAAAAAATTAATTGATTTCATTGGTGCATTGCAAGGAATGGTGATACGGGTGGCTTAAGTTTTGCATGGGAACGCTCTGCATTCATGGCTAAACCCTTAGCCTTTAATACTGATAAATTTATCAAATGTTACAGAAACACAGCCAATCAGATGGCTAGAAAGGTGCTTAATTATTTTATACAGTCTGAGAAAATGAGACAAAAATAAAGAGTACACGGAAGTGTCCGCGTCAGCTGGCAATGCCAACTTCAAATCTCGTTAGATTATATCACACGTGAGCCGCACGTGATTACGAAATAAGAAATTAAGGGGGGAGGAAAAGATTGAAGTTTGAAATATTGAATTTAAAACTAATTGTAGCATTGTATAATATAGTCACTTGCTTTGCATAAGCATTATTATGAAAAGTTGTCTGAATTATTATATTCTGACTTCACTCAGACGAGTTATTCAATTAATGTGAAAAGTTTATTTAGGATGAGTCAGCCAGTCTTGTAGTATAAGCATCCTAAAATTGTCTTCACATTTGTACACTGAAAACCAAGGGTTCTACAAAAAGAACCTGTGCCACGCCAGATACGACAAACAGCAGCACAATACCCCGAGGAAAGGGTAAACTAACCTGGTTACGCTGCTAATCAGAAAGAAAAGTTAATGAATGTCGTAATAGTTTACAGGGCTTTGAAAAAGAAGAGCATATTAATACAAAAGGAAAAAAAAAAGAAAGTGGTCAAACATAATACTGACCGACCTACAATGACTTCATTTTCCCATGAAACGCTTAAATAATCCGAAACTTCCATGATGCCACGCGAACTTCTTCAACGTGCCATCAGAATGTTAATTTCTGATGGCACGTTCCCATGTCACTCAACGTCATAAATTACATTTTTTCACGCTTTTCATTTATAAGTAATCAAATGATTGCTTGTTCAATTTGGAATAAACGAGCACTCGTTATTTTTCCAAAGACAAAAAACTCACCCCCCTTGAGGTCAATTTTTTTTGGTCTTTGGGATGTTTAAAAATGCAGAAGTTGAACACGGACTACGATGAAATAAGTAAAATTTAGATCACTAAGGCTAAAAATTATTACCCTTCGTCTAGTTCTGTACTCTCTCCAAGCTTTCGGTATTAGTTTGGTTGCTTTGAGCTGTCAGGAGAAAAGAAGTAATTATATACTGATAAAGTTTAATTGTGTAGATAAACCAGTATGATCTCAATACTGTATTGTTTTTTTCACGTTTGTTATTTATTAGTAACAAAATCAATCATTTTTTTCTTCTTCAATCTGGAATAAATAAGCACTTGTAATTTTTTTAAAGACAAAAAATTCACTCCCTTTACGGTCAATATTTTTTGGTCTTTGGGATGTTTAAAAATGTAAAAGTTGAAAACGGACTACAGATTAAATAAGTAAACTTTAGATCACTGAGGCTAAAAATTATTACCCTTCGTCCAGTTTGGTAGTCTCTCCAAGCTTGCTGTGTTAATTTGGTTGCTTTGATCTGTTAGGAGAAAAGCAGTACTTATATAGTGATAAAGTTTAATTGTGTAGATAATCCAGGATGATCTCAATTCACGTTTGTCATTTTTTAGTAATAAAATCATTTATTTTTTTTCTTGTCCATTCTGGAATAAATAAGCACTAGTAATTTTTTCAAAGACAAAAAATTCTCTCCCCTTACAGTCAATTTTTTGTGTCTTTGTGATTAAAAATGTAGAAGTTGAACACGGACTACAGATAAAATATGAAAAATACAGAATACTATGGCTAAAAATTATTACCCTCCTCGTTCTTCGATGCTTTCTCCAAGCTTTCTGAATTAATTTGACGGCCTCAATCTGTCAGGAGAAAAGCATTATTTATATACTGATAAGTAATTATATATTGATAATAATTGTGAATCCATTTCCCTGATAAGGCCATGGAGTCGAAAGGGAACAAATAATGTCTTTTAGAAAGAATCTCATCTTGTTGGATCGGATTACAGCTAAAATCGCCGAGAAAGTCTTAAAAATAATGAAACTTGCAGTTAAGATTTAAAAGACGTGACGCCTTTTGAATCTTAACGGCACATTTATTCTGCAAAGTAAATAACAATTTTGATAATGTCAGCATAAAATATCAGCGTCTTAAAGTCGTCACGCCATGTTGAACTACATAATAGAGGTCTACTTTATACGAAAAGTCTCTTCTGCAGTCATCCGCCTACAACGGTCACCTCCGTACACCGGCTGCCTTCCTAGAAATGACCACCTCCTCAGAAGGGCCACCTCTCTACACAGGACACCTACCCATGAACCGCCTCTTTCTTACAACAGCCGCCCCCTCACAATGACACAGCAACTAAAGCGCGTCCCAACTGCAACGAGACTCATCTTTCGTCAAGGGCCAGTTTAGAAAAATATTTGTTGCTGAGAACCCTGTCAGCTTTATATCACTAAAGAGTGGGTGAAATTTTTTGCAAATACCTAATTAAGGGACGCTATGAAAAATGATTTAACTTCTGTTCCTTGCTGGTTTAGTCACGGTTAGGATGTTTTTCACAAGCATCACTGTTTGTTTGTTTGTTAGTTTGTTTTGTTTTGTTTTTTCTAATCTATTTATTTTCATTGTAATTGTAATGAGATGATGTCACCATAAGCACGTTTGAAGAGTTGTAAAGTTGAAGCCCAGTGTACATGGAGTGAAATATCTCACTCTCGATTTGGATTTCCTTTAAAAAAGCGAATTTATTGTAAACCACATGAAAGAAAAATTTTGATGTTAACTTTTGGAACCCCCTTCCCTTTTTATTTTAAAATAATCCCACCATTTTATATAACTGAAATCACTCCATAAAATTAAATGATTGAATTTACCATGTATAACTGTGATCATGCTGTTATTACTATATCAAATTACCTGAAATTCAAGTCTTTTTAATTTTAGTTGACGCCAACCCCGTTGAATTATGGATGCGCATTCATTCTGCAAAGAAAACAAATATTATGATATCAACAGTTAATATGAGCATCTAAAATATCCATGATTATCGCATCAAATTTCCAGTTTCATCATCATAAGACTTCATATTCTGTTTATGTAGATATCAAAGGTCTATTTTTTTTGTAGAACCGCTGCGACCAACGTTTTGAAAATGGTCTTCTCCCTACAAGGGGAACTTTCTCGACAACGATTAACTTTTAACAAACGCCATATTCCAACAATGCCCTCGTCTCAAGAGCAACATCCACCTCACAACGCCCACCCCCTTATGACGGCAACCTTTTCACGACGTTTCTGTAACTTGAGTGCGTCCAAACAGCCGACTCAAAAACCCGACTGACGGGGGTGTAACAAGATGTGTTTTCAAAGACAACAAAATTCTCTCCCCTTGGAGTCAATTTTTGTGGTCTATGTGGAGGATTAAAAATGTAGAAGTTGAACATGGACTACAGATAAAGTATGAAAAATACAGAATATTATGGCTAAAAATTATTACCCTCCTCGTTCTTCGATGCTGTCTCCAAGCTTTCTGTATTAATTTGACAGCCTTGTTCTGTCAAGAGAAAAGCCGTAATTATATACTGATAAGTAATTATATACCGATGATAATTGTGAATCCATTTCCCTGATAAGGCTATGGGGTCGAAAGGGAACAAATAATGCCTTTTAGAAAGAATCTCAACTTGTTGGATCAGACTACAATTAAAATCGCCGAGAAAGTTTTAAAAATAATGAAACTTGCAGTTAAGCCGTACACCGGCTACCTTCCTAGAAATGATCAACCCTGGAGAAGGGCCACCTCTCTACACAGAACACCTTCCCATGAACCGCCTCTTTCTTACAACAGCCACCCCCTTACAATGACACAGCAACTTGAGCGTCTCCCAACTGCAACGAGACTCTTCTTTCGTCAAGGCCCAATTTAGAAAATTATTTGTTACTGAGAACCCTGTCGGCTTTACATCACTAAAGAATTGATGAAATTTCTACAATACTTAATTAAGGGATGACCAACCCTGCTATGAAATAGGATTTAACTTCTGTACCTTGCTGGTTCAGTCTCGATTAGGAAATTTTTCGCAAGCATCACTGTTTGTTTGTTTGTTTTGTTTAGTTTTTTCTAATCTATTTATTTTCATTGTGATTTTAATAAGATGTCACCATAAGCACGTTTAAAGAGTTGTAAATTTGAAGCCCAGTATACATGGAGTGAAATATCTCACTCTCGGTTTGGATTTCCTTTAAAAAAGCGAATTCATTGTTTGTTTGAAAATTTTTGACGTTAACTTTTGGAACCCCCTTCCCTTTTTATTTTAAAATAATCCCACCATTTTATATAATTGAAATCGCTCCATAAAATTAAATGATTGAATTTACCATGTATAACTGTGATCATGCTGTTATTACTATATCAAATTACCTGAAATTCAAGTCTTTTTAATTTTAGTCGACGCCAACCCCGTTGAATTATGGATGCGCATTCATTCTGCAAAGAAAACAAATATTATGATATCAACAGTTAATATGAGCATCTAAAATATCCATGATTATCGCATCAAATTTCCAGTTTCATCATCATAAGACTTCATATTCTGTTTATGTAGATATCAAAGGTCTATTTTTTTTGTAGAACCGCTGCGACCAACGTTTTGAAAATGGTCTTCTCCCTACAACGGGAACTTTCTCAACAACGATTAACTTTTAACAAACGCCATATTCCAACAATGCCCTCGTCTCAAGAGCAACAACCACTTCACAACGCCCACCTCCTTATGACGGCAACCTTTTCACAACGTTTCGGTAACTTGAGTGCGTCCAAACAGCCGACTCAAAAACCCGACTGACGGGGGGTGTAACAAGATGTGTTTTCAAAGACAAAAAATTCTCTCCCCTTACAGTCAATTTTTTTGGTCTATGTGGAGGATTAAAAATGTAGAAGTTGAACATGGACTACTGATAAAATATGAAAAATACAGAATATTATGGCTAAATTATTACCCTCCTCGTTCTTCGATGCTTTCTCCAAGCTCTCTGTATTAATTTGACAGCCTTGTTCTGTCAGGAGAAAAGCAGTAATTATATGCTGATAAGTAAATATATACTGATGATAATTGTGAATCCATTTCCCTGATGAAGCCATGAAGTGAAAAAGGAACAAATAATGCTTTTTAGAAAGAATCTCATCTTGTTGGATCAGATTACAACTAAAATCGCCAAGAAAGTTGAATGATGAAACTTGCCATCTAACTCTGCACCAACCGCCATTACTATCTTCTAGTACCTTGAGTTTGAGCTCTTCTCATTTTAATCTTCTCAATTTATGGCAACGAATTTGCAGAATAAAAGTTCAATGAAGATGAAAAAGACGTGACGCCTTTTGAATCTTAACGGCACATTTATTCTGCAAAGTAAACAACAATTTTGATAATGTCGGTATAAAATATCAGCATCTTAAAGTCGTCACGCCATGTTCAAGTACATAATAGAGGTCTACTTTCTACGAAAAGTCTCTTCTGCAATCATCCGCCTACAACGGTCACCTCTGTACACTGGCTGCCTTCCTAGAAATGAGCACCTCCTCTGAAGGGCCACCTCTCTACACAGGACACCTTCCCAGCCGCCTCTTTCTTACAACAGCCACCCCCTCACAATGACACAGCAACTAAAGCGCGTCCCAACTGCAACGAAACTCCCCTTTCGTCAAGGCCCAATTTAGAAAAATATTTGTTACTGAGAACCGTCGGCTTTACATCACTAAAGAGTGGATGAAATGTCTACAATACTTAATTAAGGGACGCTATTAAATATGATTTAACTTAGGATGTTTTTCACAAGCATCACTGTTTGTTTGTTTGTTTGTTTTGTTTAGTTTTTTCTAATCTATTTATTTTCATTGTGATTGTAATAACAAGTCACTATAAGCACGTTTAAAGAGTTGGAAAGTTGAAGCCCAGTGTACATGGAATGAAATATCTCACTCTCGGTTTGGATTTCCTTTAAAAAAGCGAATTCATTGTAAACTACTTGAAAGAAAAATTTTAATGTTAACCTTTGGAACCCCCATCCCTTTTTATTTTTAAAATAATCCCACCATTTTATACACCTGAAATCGCTCCATAAAATTAAATGATTGAATTTACTATGTATAACTGTGATCATACTGTCATTACTATATCAACTTACCTGAAATTCAAGTCTTTTTAATTTTAGTCGACGCCAACCCCTTTGAATTATGGACGCGCATTCATTCTGCAAAGTAAACAACAATTATTATGATATCAACAGTTAATATGAGCATCTAAAACATCCATGATCATCGCATAAACTTCCAGTGTCATCATCTTAAAAACTTCATATTCTGTTGATGTTGATATCAAAGGTCTATTTTTTCCAGTTGAACCGCTGCGGCCAACGTTTTGAAAATGGTCTTCTCCCTACAACGGGAACTTTCTCAACAACGATTAACTTTTAATAAACGCCATATTCCAACAATGACCTCGTCTCAAGAGCAACAACCCACTCACAACGCCCACCTCCTTATGACGGCAACCTTTTCACAACGTTTCGGTAACTTGAGTGCGTCCAAACAGCCGACTCAAAAACCCGACTGACGGGGGTGTAACAAGATGTGTTTTCAAAGACAAAAAATTCTCTCCCCTTACAGTCAATTTTTTTGGTCTATGTGGAGGATTAAAAATGTAGAAGTTGAACATGGACTACAGATAAAATATGAATACAGAATATTATGGCTAAAAATTATTACCCTCCTCGTTCTTCGATGCTTTCTCCAAGCTCTCTGTATTAATTTGACGGCCTCAATCTGTCAGGAGAAAAGCAATAATTGCAAACTGATAAGTAGTTATATACTGATGATAATTGTGAATCCATTTCCCTGATAAGGCCATGGAGTCGAAAGGGAGCAAATAATGCCTTTTAGAAAGAATCTCAACTTGTTGGATCAGACTTCAATTAAAATCGGCGAGAAAGTTTTAAAAATAATGAAACTTGCAGTTAAGATTTAAAAGACGTGACGCCTTTTGAATCTTAACGGCACATTAATTCTGCAAAGTAAACAACAATTTTGATAATGTCAGCATAAAATATCAGCATCTTAAAGTCGTCACGCCATGTCGAAGTACATAATAGAGATCTACTTTATACGAAAAGTCTCTTCTGCACTCACCCGCCTAAAACGGTTACCTCCATACACCGGCTGCCTTCCTAGAAATGAGCACCTCTTCAGAAGGGCCACTTCTCTACACAGAACACCTTCCTATGAACCGCCTCTTTCTTACAACAGCCACCCCCTCACAATGACACATCGCTGGTTCAGTCTCGGTTCAGATGTTTTTCACAAGCATCACTGTTTGTTTGTTTGTTTTGTTTTGTTTTTTCTTGTCTATTTATTTTCATTGTGATTGTAATAAGATGTCACCATAAGCACCTCTGAAGAGTTGGAAAGTGAAGCCCAGTGTACATGGAGTGAAATATTCCACTCTCGATTTGGATTCCTTTAAGACAAATTCATTGTAAACATCTTGAAATAAATATTTTGATGTTAACCTTTGGAACCCAACTTCCCTTTTTATTTTAAAATAATCCCATCATTTTATACAACTGAAATCGCTCCATAAAATTAAATGATTGAATTTACCATGTAAATTACTGTCAACTATATCAAATTACCTGAAATTCAAGTCTTTTTAGTTTTAGTCGACGCCAAGCCCGTTGAATTATGGACGCGCATTCATTCTGCAAAGAGAACAAACATTATGATATCAATAGTTAATATCAGCATCTAAAATATCCATGATCATCGCATAAACTTAGTGGATCATCTTAGTAAAAAAAACTTCATATTCTGTTGATGTTGATATCAACGAGAACAAACGTGGAACTGCTGCGGCCAACGTTTTATGATATCAATAGTTAATATCAGCATCTAAAATATCCATAACAAACGCCACATTCCAAAAATGCCCTCGTCTCAAGAGGAACATCCACCTCACAACGCCCACCTCCTTCTGACGGCAAACTTTTCACAAAGTTTCGGTAACTTGAGTGCGTCCAAACAGCCGATTCAAAAACCTGACTGACGGGGGGTGTAACAAGATGGGTGACAACTCGTGCAAATAGACAATCCCTGATAGCTTTATTTCACTAATCAATATGTTACGCTGCTCGCTCAGTTTAGTCAACAGTTTTCTGTGAATATAAATTTTTGTTTTTGTATGCTGCAATGCTATAATGGAATTTCAAAAATGAAAATATTCTCCGATAGCCCCTCAAAGGAAAGACAGAGACGGAAAATCACTCCCCCCCCCTAATGGCTACCTTTATATCAATCCACTATATTCCGCTTTCTACAAAGTAAAATTTAGAAAGTTACGAGTAAACTACATTTTAATTTCCACAAGAAAGATATTCCATTTAAAAATATTTAAAGCATATGACACTAGTTGACAAGTTAACAGCTTTTAAAAACACTGCTGCACCGCTTCGGTGGGTGAGTGAAACAATGGTTTTATTAGTCAAAGTTTTTTCATTTGTGGTATTTTGGACAAAGATTGATTAGATTTTCAAAGAGTCTGAAATATTAGAGCTGCAAAGTCAACCATATAGGCTTCGAACCCGTTGAATTAACGTTACAGCTCTAATTTGTCAGGAGAGAAACGGAATCGTGTACTTGTTATTTATAATGTGTTTTACTTTCAGATATGTCCTCTCCTTTTTATAATAGGCGTTGTCGAAACCATGACGACTAAAAAAAAAAAGTAAACTAAAGACTTGCTCGATTTGTTTTTTTTTCCCTTCATGGTGTGATTCTTACCTTCTCTTGACTATTTTCATAGTTTATTTTCTTCTTTGAAAAATACAATAAAAGAAAATCTTTTTGCATTAGTACCTCTGAAATTGAATATAACCAAATAAACAGTTCTGATGAAACTCTGAAATTTTGTTTTGTTTGGGTTTGGAGTTTTCGATAATTATGCCGGGCCCGCTCTACGCAGTTCAGTTGCTAGCATGTAATCCTTCCTCATCGGAAGCTTTAAAAAAGAAAAATAATAATAATAATAAGCAATCTGCTACGTTGACACAACATTACAAAGAAATCAGAATACCTGTCTTTGCTGTTCTACATCTTTCTTGCGGGCTTCCTCTTCAAAACTGAAAAAAAGAAATGTTAGCGTCACAATGACGACTACCAATAATACTTGGTTGCAACACAAGTTTTGCAAAAATAAAGCCTTGTTCTTTCCATTTATTTAGTGCATTAAGATGTTAAATACCTTAAGCCTGCCTCAAACACATATTTTAAACTTAAACTCTTGAATATTCACGGGTAGCTAGTGAAGTAATTTAATAGTTTGATAAATCAAGTCGCACAATCGGTCTGTAAAAGTTTTCCGTTGTTTATTTACAAACTTAAAACTTTTATCGAAATTGTACTGAATGATTAAAGACCTACCTTTCTTTGCATTCAGTTTCTGACCTCTGCCAAAAATAGTCCCTGAAACATGCGAATGTAAAAAAACTTATCCAAGACGTTACAAAAACCATCTTGGCCTTTGTAATGTTTTCCCCGAGTCTGTTTTATGATCAGATTGCGTCATAATAGCAGCTTTTTCTTTTAAGCGCGCGCTAGAAACAGAAATTCATGAAGAATTACATTTAAAGTAACATTAACGCGAGAACCTCCCTAGTCAAATGTGTGTCTACTGACTTATAACCATGGAATATTCCGGTGAACTCCTAGAAATACAGAAACTATTTTTGAGTGGAATTTTTGATCAAATATTCTCAACATTTACCTCTTTCCCGATCACGATATTCATCAATTACAAAAGCCTTCTTTTTGTGAAATTCCGGCTTCTGGTATAATTTTGTTGATAGGGCATTGGAAATACAAAGAATATTCTCGGTGTCAACGATAAATATTTAATTGTTTTATGGGTTCATCTATGATCTCTCAAAACATTTGATTTTGTTCTGCGAAGACGCCAATGGCCGTGAAGAAACCGTTTCACCAACAATTTTTTTTTGAGATACAAAGCCCTGTAGTTGGGAAATGTACCTAAACGACCCTTAACTAGCGAAACCTGAAGAGGACTAGACTGCGAAGCTCTCTGTCCTCCCATCACAACAACAATATAAAAAAGTCCTAAAGTCTTTCAGTGTTTCGGACCACATAATTTTTCGCTTCGACTTGTCAGGAAACGCGATTCGAGCAAAAGGAGTTCACTCACGGTATGAAAGTTTCCAAGACAAAGGTTACGCGGGGTCGGAAAGAAAGCTTCGAAAGTCTTTGAGATGAATAATCATGAGTACGAGATCAACGCTTTATGGTCTTATTTAGTGTACGGAAGTGAAATGCTGGCAGTCGATCCTCTGTCTTACTCTGTTCTTACCCAACCATATGCAAAATACTCCAATAACAGGCTATTAATAAGAATTGCATAATTCAACAGTTTCAAAGTTGCACTCGTGTCTGAGGTATATTCAGTGCAAAGAGGTCTGTGAGGCGTTCCTTGTTTTAACATGGTCATATAGAGATTTTATTCCATAATGAATGTGCCTGTAACCAAACAAAGGGGAGAGCACGAAAAGAAAGAGTGAGGAAGGAAAAGGATTGGCTAGGAAGGCGGGAGAAGGAGAAAAAGCACCCCTCCCCCCCCCGCCACCCGACCGCCACATGCGACACTCAATGAAGTCGAATTTCTTCTCGGTCCTTCTAGCTAAGGCCAGTTCGCAAAATTTAAGTCCCTTTTCGGCCGCGAGTTGAATTGAACGTCAACAAAGAAGCAGAACATGTATGATGATAAAGATAACAATTAGACGGTGAAATTTTTGTTCTGTTTCGTCTTCCAAGTTGGCCTCCTTTGTAACCGTTGCTTGGTTTCGTCTCACAACACGTCAACGACCTTGAGGGTTGTGTGTCAAGACCAAACAAGAGCCGTGAAAAAAACTAGATTTTACATCAAATAAATAACTTTTCTCAAAGTTAATGAAAACACCATATTACAACAGACAATAAGGATAGTGCGTGTTTTCACTCATGCTGAAAATGCTCTCTTGATTTCTGTTTTTCTGTCCGGGAGATGTACGCTCTGCAGTAGTGATTGGAGGTGCACCTTCTCTGAGCCATTGTATGTATTATCAACTTAACTTACTTTATAATAAAGTTCGGATATAACGCGCACTGTCATTGGTTGAAAGAGCATACTCTATGAGAGTATAGAGCATAGAGCTGAGCTTAAGCTGTCACGCCATCTGCAAAACTGTACTATGTTCGAGCTTTTCCGGGACTTCTTTTTAGCTTTTTTCCGATAATTGAAAGTGAAATTTCGGAACTGAAGCGAGCCGACAAGTAGCAACAGAAGAATCAAACAAAGGTTTGTAAACATACCAGGCGCCGTAATTTACGTTATTAAAACGTGAGCAGATACGAAAATCCTCAAGGGAAAAACAAAATAGACATTCGAGGTTTTAAAGATTGATTCACGCTCAGTTAGATTGCAAGCTTACGTACGGAAATAAAAATCAAACACAGCTAACACTCATATAGTATATAAAGTTCAGTGTTCGAAAACAAAACAGAAATGATGAAAAATATAACCAAACTGGCATAACTGTTAAAATTCATTCTAATCATGACGGTGTCTGAGCGAATATGATCATGCTGAAGTCCATCGCGGCTCGCTCATCATGGCGATCTCCGGTCATCACAGCAAGCCTCAGAAACTACATCGGCCGCCCTTCGAGTGAAAAAATAAGAGCTTGCTCTGATATCCTTTCCGATGCGTTGAGTGGAAAGTCACATCTGTCATTGCAGCCGAGTTTTGCGACGCTGTCATCCCGAGCGATCTTCATGTTCCGGTGAATTTGGCTGTCGTTCATTCAAAAAACACTCGCCCTGAACAGTTTGTTTTCTACCTTGTCATATGAAAAAACTCGCGTGTTTTTATGAGCCATAATTCGGCTGAAGTTCATGGAACATTTCACTTCAAGATTCTGTATTAGAGCCTTAAAAACTTCACGCAAAAGTGTTAAATTCGACCTACCGAACTATTTTAGTTTGTAAACTATCGCAGAAGGTGAACTTTGATGGTTTTTTAACTTTGATGGTTTGACACTTTTGACAGCTTTAGTCTTGTACAGCCAATCAGATTATTTGAACCATTCTAACAGGGGTTCTGATTGGCTTATTGTAGCGTGCTTTATGAGAGTATAGAGCATGCTGACGACACTGTTGTTCGCTTTGGAAATAAAGTTTGTTTTGAAAATTGAAAGTAATGCTCGGGGAATTTAATGGATTCTTTATTATAAAACAAATAGAGAAGCCTTGGCTGTGCTCTGTTCTGTTATAAAGCACTTAGGAAGCGGCTAGAGCACTCAAGAAGTGGGGAGAAACACTCGACTACGTCTCGTGTTTCTCCCTACACTTCTTTCGTGGTCTAGCTGCTTCCTGCGTGCTTTATAACAGAACAGAGCACAGCCAAGGCTTCTCTATTTGTTAACTAAACTGTTAGCGTCGGTGAAAGTTAAAACAAATATGGATTTGGTTAAAAAATTAAATCAAGTCTTCAACATTGAATAAACAATTGCTAAAAGAGAAGAATGATTTCAGCGGATTGACGAGATAAATAAAAAAGCTGTTCACAAGTGATGCATTTAGAGATGTTTCGTTTTTCTTCTCTTCTTATTCCATGGAAAAAAAGACGTAATTGACGTAATCGCAGAGCCTTCGTGCGAATTTATTCAATTACAAAAAATTTTAACCGCAATAAAATAGTACCCATTTGGTCGGTTTTTTTTAGATAAAATATATCTCAACTTCCTACAACATTGAATTTGGGCCACATTGTACACAGGCAACATCAAGGCACCTTAATTGAATTCTCTCTACACCAAAACAGATGAGACGTTTCCATGCTTTCTATTCTTTCCACTTCCGACCTGTCTCCCTCTCTCTCTTCTGCCTCAGCTGACGCAGAGAAGACAGTCCCTGAGAACAAGGTTGGAAAGATTGTATTTATAGAAAACTGGCCAAGCCAGCAGTTCTCTGTTATTTTATTCCATGCAATGAATAGAAATAAGAATCAGAAACCACTCTGGTTTAAATGGTCGAGCTAGCGCGCTTGCCCCGACACCCGTCATATGCTTGCCAGTCTCTTCAGGGCATTTTTACCTGATCTTCAAAGAATGAGACCATGACAATGAACTCTCTGTAACTTTCACTGTTGATTATTTTCATCGCCGTTCTGCAAGGGCTGATCACTACTTTTTGCTTTGGTACCATGACTGCAAGAAAAGCGTTCTCGGCCGCTTTTGGCTTCTACTCTTGCGAAGCCATTCTTGGACAACAGTTCCCACATCATCATGGAACATTTCGGCCGCAAAGTAGGGTTTGCGTCAACGGTATCGTTTTCCTGCTCGTCTATGGGCGGAGTAGGAGTCCTGAGTTTTCTTCCTGTTGAATTTCTTCTGTGAATCTTCTTTCGTTCCGGTTCACTCACTTTACGATTTGTATCTTCCCTCGGGATTTCTGTCACCCTTTCCGCCGAAAGTTCGCATACCGGGCCTAATCCGTCCGGTCTTAACCCTTTCCCGGTACTTATGACGTATCCTTGCTCAGTGCCGCAGGGACCAGGAGAATTGATAACGGTCAGACTACGTGTTTCGTCAAAAGGATGAAACCAAGTGAGTAGAAGTCCTGTTTCAAAATCAAATATCATGATGTGGCCACTCGCAATGCCCACCCAAATAGAGTCACTCGTGGGCTCCACGCAGGTAATACACGCAACTGCGTCATCGTGATTTTTGTGTGACTCGGATTCCGCAGCGAGACTCCTAAAAACAACTGCGCAGTCAACGCTGAAGAGGTTCTGCCTGTTTTCTGAATCCCATTTGCTGAGCACGGACCTGCACACGGACAAAACGCTTTTTTCGTCACGAGAAACCTTTAGAAAGGAGATTTGCGTTTGTGGGTTGTTCTCCAATCCCTCAGGGCCACCATACCACACGGCGTCGATATCGAAAGCCTCCACTTCGCCTGGTTTTGTTAAATATCTGTAAATGTATCGGCTCGTGGATACCCAGAGTTTATCCTGTGCCACTGTGAGTGACAGAATTCGGTGGCGTCCAACATTGAAGCTGTGAGAAGCACGTTTCCTGAAGCTCTTTTTCATATCTGTTTTAAAGATACAATGCACGTTTCCATCGTAAAGTCCAACAAACACGTACTCATCGTTTGATGCAACGCAGCTAACTGGTTGGTCGAATCTCATGGATGCCACGTACTTGTAACGCGACTCAAACGAAGTGGAGTAAGCGTTGACCAAGGCAAACTCTCCACGAACAGCGATTAAGACGAAAGGTGCCATAACATGCATGTACTGGATCTGAAACAAGAGACGTTGCTCTTGATAGGTTTCAATTGAGAAAGAAAACTTCATGCTGAGTGTGCGACCATCGTAGACAAAAATTCGGTTGCCCGTGTGGTCATCGCAAGCTATCCACAGATCAAGGGAATCTTGCACGAGACAAGCATGACGCACAGACTGTTGATCTGAAGGGATGAGCTGCTTGGCTATCAAACACTGGAACGCGGGATGACAGACTTGCTCGGTTATTTTAGCGGTCGTCGGTCTCTTGGTCGGCCTACCCAACCAGCATCGAAGCATAAGTTCGGTAAGCGTTGGCAAGCCGAAAGTCGCTACCGGAACGTGCTGCCACTGCGGACGCTCTCCAGCAATTACAGCCGCGTTGATTTTTGCACCTGAATCGTACCCGATGAACGGCATTAACCGCGTGATAATTCGGTAAAGGAGGATCGCATACGAATATACGTCTACTTGAAAGGTGTATTCCTCTTTGTTTGCTGATTCCAACATCTCAGGTGCATGGTTACCGGGAGATCCAGCGCATGAAATCAAACCAGTCGAAGTCGCGAAGTTCGCCGTGCCAAAATCAATGAGCTTGACGTGAAGATCAGCGTGTTCCTCCAAGGACCAAACAAGGACGTTTTCGGGTTTTAAGTCTCTATAGATGACACCCATGTCATGAAGGAATCTCAGTGCGTCTGCAACTTGATATGCAATCCGAAAGAGAACAATGCGATCAATCAACTTTGGGCTGGATAAGATCTCGGTGAGAGCCCCGCGCTCTGCTAGTTCCAGCACAAGGCACAAGGGACGCAAAGACACACCGATGATGTTGATAAGGAAAGGATGCTGTCGTACACGACGCAGCACGTTCAGTTCCTTGCGCGCCTCGCGGTAATGCCTTAAGGGTTCGGATTCATCGCTTTGAATGTAGAACTTGATGGCGACTGCCTGTCCTCGGCATTCCCCGCGAACGACCTGAGAAATCAGAAGACTATATCAACAATTTTGGCCTTTGTTTTACATTTCCTGTTTGCGTTTTTCTTGCGATACTAGCCGAGGGAGCTTGAAGGTATATCCTTAGCTGATGATTTCACGGTCCGTATGGCAAAATCCCGACAAGCAAGAGCCAATCAGGACGCTTGGATTTAGCACAGGACTACGTTGCCATACAATAGAGGGGTCTTACAGCCTCTCTTTCGGGCGCAGACGCCTATTACACCATCGACAGTCACTTATGGAAAATTCATTAAGGTCCCTTCCTACTGAGAAAAAATCTTTAACTGCGAGGAAATCAACAACGAGCCTGCTACTAGCGAGCCAGGGCGGAACAAACAGCAAAAAAAACAAAACGAAACAAAATAAAAATAAAACGAGAATAAGCGGTGAAAAAATAGCTCGGACACCAAGGTTCATGGGAAAAAGGAAAGTTCGCAGCAGAGCATTTGTAATCTCTGTTCGCCCCTATCACGATAAATTTTCTAAAAAGACAGAAGACAATAAGCTCACCCCCATCCACATCAGCTTGATCCTAAATTTTCAACTTAATTCATTGCGCAAAAAAGCTTCTTTTCTAACGAAACCATAATAAATTGCATAAACACGCAAATTTCACACCAGTTACAAAAAGACCGGTGCAACGTAATGAAGAAACATATACCTTTCCAAAGCCTCCACTTCCCAGAATACTCGAGTCGGCGTCCTCATATGTAACGTCTTCGTGCGACAACAATAAATCAGGATCTACGTCATGTAACATTATATCAGGTGCAACCTGGTGAAGATCAACTTCCCAGCTCGGGTGATTGGGACAACGGATTAAGTCTGACTTTGCACTTTGACGCTGACATTCGGCAAACGTGAACTTGTAGGGTGCAAGGCCGAGTTTTTCACACATCATACAGGGAATAAGCTGCCTGACTTTGGGTTGCTGTCCGTCCGTCGTCGATAATTCTTGGTACCATTCGCGAATGAGCGTGTCGATGTGGTCAACCGCGAAACTCAAAACCCTCCGACCTTGACGGCAAGGGCTTACTTCCGTTCGAATCAACTGTCGATCAGATCCGGTGTCAGGGACACAGTGCAGCAGGAGGAACAACCGTGGGTGACGAAGGCAAACGCCAGATTTCCAGCAGTGAAGGAAATTGTCGTCTATCAGCGTCGCCAGATCTGTCGGTAACTCCGGTAGACAATCGACGGGGAACTCCTCCACAAACGGGCAGTTGGGAAGGTGTGGGGTTTCACTCCGTGGTTTGTCACTCCTGCCCTCTGCGGAGGTGCCATCCGTAGGATGTTTAGGTGTAGAAGCAGCAAAAGATGAAGTCCTTTGTGGTGTTCCTATCGCGATATCAACGGATTGAAAACTTGTACTTGGAGAACTGTACGACGATAAGTGCGACACGAACTCGTTTTCAACCGCTTCAATCTGAATACCACAGGCGGTGCTGTCAGACAAATGGTTCCCGGCTGATAGTAAATGAAACGAAAATAAAAACAAGATTTGTTTATCAAATGACAAAGAAGAAGAAGAACAAGAAGGGTTCAGCTATCTTAATATGTGGACAATAAAGAGAAAAAACTATTAGTAAAACATTCTTTTTACTTATCACTTCTACCTCTTTCCCAGAAGTAGCACCTAAAGACTCAATTTCTTGTTCAACAACACAATTAAATGCAAGAAAATGAAGAAAGGTAACTTGTTTTTGACTAGTATCTCATTCGGAAAGAAGAAAAACGTTTACTTGCTCAGCCCTTTACACCCTAAAATCAGAATACATATTCTCTATACTGCTCTTTATACATTTCCTAAAGTGCCGACAAGGAAAATTTGTTTACCAATCATGAGCTTCTTTCGTTGGTGATTATTTCCTTTATTCTCGTGACCTTAACGTGTGATCCAGGGGTGATATCGTAGAGAAAAAAGAGACACAGTAGCTTAATGGTAAATGGAGTGGCCTCCGGACCGAGAGGTGTGGATTCGAGAACTGGCCGGGTCAATGTGTCGTGTTCTTGGGCACAAATATTTACTCTCTCCTCCCAAAACAATTGGAATATTCGCTCATGTTTTTTCGCGCGATAGTTGGTGATTCGGACCCGAGTTTTCCTTCATGTTTAAAATCTCGATCTCGTGATGTGATTATTGAGGAGAAATTCAGTAACCAAGATTTATCTACAAATTATATTTTCCTTCACCTCTTGTCTCCTTGTCGTCATCAACAGTCCGTATCTCCATGGATACGTCTCCAGTTTCACCAGAACCTCGGCTTGAACCCTTATGAAAAGACTCCAGGATGGATTCTTTATCAGATGTACGGCCGTTTGACGCGGAAAAGATCTCTCCGTCGACTTCCTTCTCTACTTGCTGATTATGTGGTCCTTCTGAATAACTTTCTGTCGATTGCGGGAACCGTTCAGGGTTATCAGCAACAAGGCTATCGTCGGGTTGGCCTATTTCAGGCACTTCACAAGTATCTGTTGGGGAAGGATTGTTAGATTTCTTATTGGGTGTCGCCAAGGAACAGTTCTGATTGAAGCCATCAGGGGTACGACCTACAGGATGAAGACCTAGGTCAGGATTTTCCCCAGCCGCTTCTGATTCGGAGCTGTTCTGATGGTCGTCGGTTTGGTCACGAGGAGTATGGTCTGGAGTGCACGATCTGGATCCAGCGGAGAGGTAAGGAACACTATCGCTATCATCACTGTTGCTATGCTGAGTTGTTTTGTCGTCTAGAAAACCGTCGATTTTTACAGAGGGACTTTCTCTCTTGCTGATATCCTTCAGGTCTTGACTAGCTTCGATATCGGTAGGTTTCCCTCGTCGAGATAAATTTTCCGCATCATCATTTTCAGCCATGCAGTTGGCAGATGGCCGGTGGTCAGCCGGGGAAGAACCTTGCGGCACTCCAGGGCTGGTGAACGACACTTCGGAAGTAAGCGTATCACAAGACCCGTCTTCGTAGCTCGGACATGAAGTGCTTAAACGAAAATTTTGGTGTAAGATAGGTACATTTGAATCACTTTTAGGAATTCCACTATCCAAATCAGCAATTTTATCTTCTTGACCTCGTCTCCCTGGATCAGTGCCATGTTTAAATATTCTTCTGTTTCTTCTTGGGCCAGCCCTGGAACTTGATCCAGGAAATGTCCGATTAGTAGTACCTGCCGACCTGGTGCGAGCTTCGTCGTCGTCGTCTTCCGAACTGTATTCGAACCCCGAATCACTCCGAGAGCTACCGCCATCCATGTCGGGATAAGCGAAAAATCTGCCGTTGATGTAATTTCCGTGGCGTTGACCACTAAAGAATCGAACGATACCGGGAAAATCGTTGAGAGATCCTTGCAGATTCTCGAGCGATCCACCGAGTGCGGGATTTATGGAAGGAGAAGTATGCCCCTCATAGTCGCTTTCAACCAGGCCACCATCTGGGACACCATACACGGTCAAAGGACACCGACAGCAGAAGGGGTCCAGCTGAAACGGGCTGGCGTTGTATTCCTGGCGGTTGAAGTTTTCTCCGCTAGACAGCATGTCTTTCATGTAATATAACAGGCGCGAAATGAGCCGACACCAAAACCCATGTGGAATGTATGGCAACGAATGGAGCCGCTTCAGTGTAATGAACGGTAAATCATCATTCGTCGCTTCATTCGGTTGTTGGGCCGATAATCTGGAAGGGATGAGGACGCGACCTTCGTCCAAGGAGCAAGCGATCTGAAAACGATTCAACAGGCGAATGAACTGCGGGGAGTTTTCGTGCGGAAACTGCTCACCTCTAAAAATCTGAGGTAGATCTTCAAGCTTCAAGACGCCGTTATGAATGAATGGATTAACTACAGGTAGCGTCACGACTTGTGCCATCAACTCGCAAAGCCACTGGGGATCAATGAAGAAAAGGTCCTGAAGATCTTGATTTGGGTCATTGTAGTGCATCAAAATTCCTGTTAAAGGATCAATTGATGATATTTACAAACTGAAATCCTTTACTTTACCTTCACTACACTATAAATTCAACAGGTATAGAGAATTAGGAATATATACTGACAAAGGGAGATCATTTCAGGCCAAATTCTCAAAATTGCCTATTACGAAATTCAAGGTCATTAGCTGGGAGAATTAGCATGAAAATTGAAAGGGGTAAAGCTGATACTTCTATATCGTATTAATCTCGACAATTTGTTGAGTTAGGACTAATTCACACACCTCTCTTACTCTTCAAGGCAAAATCCATTCAGCGTTAGTGGAAGGTTGAGTTAGCGCGAGAAACTGACTCATTACCAGTACTATGTACAGGAAACCAGGGAGCTGGTGAGTCACCAGTAAGAAACAGGGGAAAATCAGACGACCCGTGTCTATGGCTGCAATGCTCTCCAGAGGAGGAAACATGCAGCCCGTGATAAGCGGACATTCATATACTTAAACCAAAGCATGATTGCAAAACCACGTGTTGCCAGGTAACAAACGCCCAAATACCTTGCTCTACGTGCATGTTTTGGCCAATCCGCGAGCTCATGCCTACCTCTCTCGTGCATAAACTGCGTGACTTCCGTCAAATCGTTAGTGTCCTCAATATCCAGATCGTCGTTCTTTATGGTGTCCAGGACAAGCGCCTCGTACTCGGATTTGTGCAAGATTGGCATGCGGCCATTATCCCGCAGCTCCTGTCGCTTGGTTTGAATGACATCTGCCACTGACAGAAAACTATGTGGGATTTTTTCCCCCATGACGAATACCTGTCCTCTGCCGCTCTTCAAAAGGCTCCTTGCAACATCGTAAATGGTGACTCTGAGGTCATCAATGCCTGTATTTTGCAAACAAAATAAACCGCTTAAGTTAAATCGTAACGAATGGACACAAGGGGATCAAAAATGGAGGGAGGAAAATAAAGATGTAATCCGAAAATCACTTCAGCAAAGATACCTTCTCTGTTGTCCACAGCACAGCTGACTTCTTTTATTCCCTTGACATTTATTCGATTGTACTTCGGTAAAGAAACCAGCTCCCATACTAGTTCACGCATGCGCTCTGGGAACCCCTTTTCCTTCTCTTTCCGTACCTTATCCAGGTGTGTTCCCACAATGACGAGGTTGGTGTTGGCAGCGCTGGCAGCAATTGTGTCCAACCAGCTCGTAAGCATCTCGATTCCTCTTTCACCTGCCGAAAATTGGAAAGGCTTTCAGAAATGTCCGTTTGAGTTACTTCCCTTGACCCTCTCATTCTTAGGATCTCATTAGTAATTCGCTTTGCTGTCTGCCATACAATTCTTATGATGCGAGTTTAGAAGATTTGGTATTGGATTAACGAATAATATCCAAATTGATACTTTCATTTATTCTCATCACTTGTCTGCTCGATATGCTGTTGATATTGTAAGGAGAAATTCTGTCTTGGTCACTCATCGGAGTTAAAGGGTCAAACGCAAACTTGAATTGCTCATCATTTAAACACCAGATTATTCAGTAGTTTCTGGAGAAATTGTTGTGCTGCGTCGGTGAGCGAGTGAAATAATGAGATGGTTATCAATTGTAAATTGAAAAAGGAAGGTCGACCAGCTTAGCAGATTTTCAAAAACCTAGCGATTCGGCCAGGGAAGGCTTATTTTCATTGCGTCAGCTTTCCAAAATTCCTTAAGGGGGTAAACTCCTTTATGAATTTTGACCTGAAAACCAAACGATTTTCTCAATTGCTTTATCGACCTCCGCTGTCGGAGGGAATCTGGAGACAATTTAGTTGTATCCCATCCCTTAACGGCTAAAGAACAAAAAACAGAGGTGCTTGGGGCGGGAAGGAAGGATTTATTCTACCGTGTTACACACGAATTCCTAAGTTAATTCTCTCTCCCCCCCCCCTTTTCAAAATCTAACTTCTGTTTTCTAATAAGCAAGAGGTATGGAATTTGCAAAAGTTCATTCAACGCCCAAATTTATGATAATTACCTTCCTCCAGATTCCATACCAGAAGGTACAGAGCCAGAGTTGAAAGAAAACATTGATGCGTGGTATAAAAATCCTCCTGGCCACCAAAATCCCAAATCTTAAACACAAATTCCGGATGGATCGAAAAGAGACCAAAATCTTTGCGATTGTAACGGAATTCGTCCATAGCAATCCCTAGCAGGGAAAGAAAAATTCTCTCAGCAAAATTATTTGTTATTTTGCCTTTCTCTGTCGTAACTTATTTCGGTTTCTAATTTCGGGAGCTTGTCAGAGGGGAGCTCACTAAAAAGAGACGACTTTTTTAAGAGTGGAGATTATTAGCGACGGGGGCATTTTAGTGAGGGGAACTTTTTAGAGGCGGGGCTTTTAGAGAGAGGGGAGCTTATTAGAGATGGAGGCATTTTAGTGAAAGGGAACTTTTAGAGACAGGGCTTTTTAGAGATGGGGGCTTTTTAGAGCGGAGCTTATTAGAGACGGGGGCATTTTAGTGAAGGGGAACTTTTCAGAGGCGGTACTTTTTAGAGAGTGGATCTTATCAGAGAGAGGGGCATTTCAGTGAGAAGAACATTTTAGAGGCGGGGCTTTTGAGAGAGTGGAACTTATTAGGGACAGTGACTTTCAGAAACGGGAACTTATCAGAAACAAGGACTTTAAGGAAGGGGAAGATATTTGAGACGGGGACTCATTATGAAGAAGAAGCTTATTAGAGGAGTCTTGTTAAAAGAGGGGCTTTCTTACAGAAAAGAAATAAAATCAAGAAAAAAAATCTCTACCATTTGTTGAGTTGTTGACGTTATAGTTATAGTCTCTCATCAGTCGGTGCTTCAACGTTGTCTTTCCCTGTTCAGCCCGACCAACCAACATCAGCTTCAAAGTGTAATACCCCTCTGACCTGCGCAAGATGTTCCGAAGATACATTATGGTTTTGATACCATTTTTCTTGATCTCTTCTGGTGGATCTGTCAGCTTAATGGGTTTAATAGAAAGTATTATTTAACTAATAAAAACAGCCTTTTAATTGTAGTATGTTCTGGGCTCAGTCAGTCAGTGGAGACAAAGTCTTTTATAAACAGTGGTTGTCATGCAAACACTGTAAAAATTTCCGGGAACAGCCATTCTCTAGATATCCATTTGTCTCTTTACACCCTAACTTCAGTTTGCTTATTCTCCATACCGTTCTCTATACATTTTCTAAGATGCTGATGAGGAGAATTTGTTTAACAATCAAGAGCTTCTTCAGTTGATGATCATTTCCTTTATTCTCATGACCTTAATGTGTGATTCAGGGGTGATATTGTAAGGAGAAATTAGATGCTAGTCATTCTTCAGGGTCAAAGGATTAATAGTGAAGCTACATACATACTTTAACTTTCTCAATAAAATTAACCTTGTAGTAAGCACTTGACAATAGAGCGAGTAAATTATGTAAAAAAGAGCAATTAAGCACAAGAAAATGGCCTCTAAAAAATGATGGAAAATTAGAAAGTTTTTTGACCAAGTGGATCCATTACATTCATCAGTGTAAAGTCTAAATTTCCTCCCTTGCACCTCCATTGAATAACAGATTTTATTGTGCTGGACAACTCTTTACCAAGAGGGAAAACAACAAATTTTAGAAAAATCTTGAGCAAGTGTTCTCTCTCGCTCTCGCATGGAAAACTTCTTGCCTTCAAGTGCTGCTCCAAATTACTAGAGGCTGGTTAACTTGAGTGTCCCTATCCTAGTTAGTAAGGGCAATAGGTTTGATTGGAGTCCAATTCAGTCTGTTATCATGTGAGGGACAAACAAAATTGGATGACAGTGAAGCAAGAGTCTGATTTGTTAATTAAGAGTATGATTTCAAACAGAATTGGACAACATGATATCCAAACATACCGTAAATTAATCGAAACTATGACAAAATTTGAGAAAGAAACTAGCCATTGATGACACATTTTCATGAAATGCAACAATTAATTTGGCAAGATGTGGGAAAAAAGTGTACACTCATGATCAGTACCCTCCAATTACATAGGTATGATGCATGAACTGTCCAATTATTCTGTCCAAATACAAGCAAAATGCATACACTGTCCCACCAGTGCTCAATTTAGGTTGGTGATAACTAATGACGAGAGAATTTTGTCATAGTTTTGATTGCCGGTTCTCATATAATCATATCTTATTTATTTCTCTCACCTGATCCAAATTCTCCAATTTGAGCATCTCAATATTGGTGAGTCTTCCCATTTGTGGTGGAAGCTGAGTCAGTCTTGGGTTGCTAGACAGGTCCAGTGATTGTAGTGTTGTAATTTTGCAAATACATGGGGGTACTCCATACAAATTATTCCTTGCTATGTACAATATTGACAACTTGGATTCTGCCATGCATCCAGGTAATGTTTGCAGTTGATTATCACTCAAATAGAGCGTCTTGAGTGATGGACTCCATTTACATCTCTTAGGCAGCTCGACAATTTTGTTGAAGCAGAGCTTAAGTTCTCGTAAATTTGGCATTTCAAGCAAACTGGCAGGTATACTCCTTAATTGATTTCTTCTCAAGTCCAAACAGCACAGTTTATTTAATATCTTTATATTTTTTGGTACACTTAGAAGCAGATTTGAAGCTAAGAAGAGTTTTTCCACCCATGTGACTTTCTCCAACCAAGATGGATTGACATCACCAAGAGCAAGTCTTGGCCAATCAATTCTTTTTTGTGCCTCATTGCAGTTTGTATTGAAGAGAATGATTCCCACAGCTTCTGTTCGTTGTTGTTGAATTCCTAGTCCAATAGGTATTGCAATAGGAAATGAATCTTTGTCAGCAATACATGCCCTGCCGATAAAACAAATTAACCTTAGTTTATGAACATGTCAGGATCGATGGAAAGTTTGCATAACCCCTGCTGGAAAGGTATATATTTCTTATTATCACACTTGGTAGCATGGCAGTTAACCCTTCCACTCCCAAGATCTCAATAGTAATTCTCCTTACTGTCTGCTATACAGTTCTGGTGATGTTGGTTTGGAGAATTTGGTATTGGATCAACCTATATTCCGTTAATTTCTATTTTTCTTTAATCTCATCACTTGTCTGCTTGATATTGTATTGATATTGTAAAGAGAAATTCTGTCTTGGTCACTCATGGGAGTAAAAGGGTTAAAGCACACTGTTAGTGTTGGGAAGCTTTTGGTCTAAATTCAGACCCAAAGATCATGTGCAAAAACAAAAGTATGGCATTTTTTTATTATTCAACTGGAATAGGGTATTTCAGTCTGCCATTTAATTTTTCTGAGGTTTTGGTGGGTGAAAAAAAATAGAAATGAATTTCCTCCTTCCAAATAAATGATGATGCCACCTTGACACCACAATCCTTCATTTTTCTATATGTAAAATGGAAAAGGGAAGGGAGAAATAGATAGGATGGCAGGGTTTGCCGATAATACTGGTTTGTTAGAGATGTAGCCAACAATGACCTGTTCCAAATACCTTATTCGGGCAAAATCATCCTCGGTTGGCACCACTGCAGCTGGCAATTCCGCAATAGCCTTCTGTTCTTCCTCTCTGCTCATTTCTTCCTTTAGTAGATATTTTAGAAGCTTCTTTTTATCATGCTTTGCTGCATAACATGCCAGCAACATGGCTGCTGCCTCACAGAAATGACCCTGTAATGCTTGCACAATGCAGTCTTTAAGGTGTAAAGAATGTCTCCCTCCTGAGATGACTAAAGAACAAATGGCGTTGAGGTGACCTCCTCTTGATGCCTCAAGGAGAGCCTCCTTAAAGCATGAGTGTAAAACATCCTGGGGAGAAATTAACGTCAGCAATGCACGTAACTTGGGACTGTTCTCTCTAGCTGCTTTCTTGACCTCTGTGGGGAGAATGAAAGACAATTCTCTTAGGAAAGAAAAGAATCAAACCCTATTTACAACCAACTTTTAAGGTGACTAAAAGAAAAGTCGCAAAATTAAGCCTGAATCATGCTTATTCTTGAAATAAAAATGTAGAAAAAATCATGCAACTAGTCAGAAAGATTTCAAATCTGATTACAAAGGAAGATCATCAGGGATTTACTGTTATTATTATTACTAGAGTAATATTTCTGAAGCCCCCTAGTAGAGGGGTTTATAGATCCTTATCAACAGCATCTTATAAAATTGATTGTTAAATAAAAAGTAACAGTGTTGAAGAGGCAGAAAATCACTTAGGTCTTTTATAAAAATCTTCATGGATCTCTTAAAAAGATTCTGGGATTGATCTTCACAGAATTGAAGCTGATAATTTTGAAATAGAATTTAGCTCTTTACACCCTAACATCAGTGGGCATATTCTCCATACTGTTCACTATACATTTCCTAAAGAGCTAACAGGGAGAATTTGTTTAAAAATCAAGACCTTCTTTAGTTGATGATCATTTCCTTTATTCTCATGACATTAATGAACAATTCAGAGGTGATATTGTAAGGAGAAATTAGATGTTAGTCACTCTCAGGAGTCAAAGGGTTAGAGCACCTGTGTTACATCACTACAGAATTGTATGAAAATCTTTTCCTTTCCAATCCAAAATAAAAAAGCTGACGCTCCTCACTGTTGGCTGTATTTTTTTCTTTTGGCTAGTCTAAAGGATTTGGTGTGATACCTCTAGAGGTAATCTAGTTGATAATTTTCTTAATTCTGATTACCTCTAACCCTAATAGTGAAGCTTGCAGAGCATAGCCCCATAATTATACAAAATAGTAGTAACCTATCAAGCCGAAAAAATTTGGATGTACAACCATATGACTGTACAACCGTATGACTGTAAGACCGTATGACCGTATGAACATACAAGGTGCTACTTTTAGCATGCGCAGCCAGCTGTACCACAGGCACTATCTTATAATCAGTCCTCTACACGGACACAGAGAAGTTGCAAATGAAAATCCACTAATATTACCATGCACTTTATCCATAGTAGGGCTTTAGTTTTGTTGAAGAGATGTGCAGGAAAAAAAAAAGGTGAGCTCCACTTTTAGGCTTGCCTAAATCTAAATATTAGCATTTTAAAATGGAAAGGAGAAATGAAATGGCTGACATAAGAAAAATTCAGATTTTAATATTCTATTCTAATAGACTGTCCTCTTCATTGCGTATCAAAATTAAGGGGATGCTTTTTGATGGTGATCACTTGAAAGAGTTGATCAAATTAACCTGGGAATGATTTGAGGTGTTCCCATGGATAATTCTTTAAAAACCCTTGTAATATGAACCAATTGAACTCTCTCCAATTTCACTTACCTTCAGTTTTGAGGACACGAGCTGTCCTCTTGCAATTATTAATCACAGCGGTTTCATATGGAGTTTTTTCAAACTCATCCTTGCTGGTAATATCAGCATTATATCTCAAAAGTTCTTCCACACAGTCCAAGTTATCCATTGATGCTGCAATGTGAAGAGGTGTATAAAATCCATTGGCTCTTGCATTTGGGTTGGCACCAAAAAGAAGTAATAATCTAACCACACTGGTCTGTCCCAAGTTAGTTGCCTCGTGAAGTGGAGTGTATCCCAGAAAACCTAGACGCTCATCCAATTTGCTGACATCAGATATTTCTCGAAGCAATAGACGGATTTCAGTCACATTCCCCTCACGGCATAATTTGTGCAGCTGGCCAGCTGTTGAAGTAGTACTTGACAACGACATGACCTTTGTCTTGAAATAAAATAAGTTACATTAACACATTTGTCAATTTTAGCTAATTACAATCGATTTAAAGCCCTTACTTATTGAAGTGAAGTGAATTCTTTATTATTAAACCAACTGCCACTGACTGAATATTAAGATTTCAATGTTACATCATTTTGATTAACAACTAATTTGCTAATCTGAGAACTACTGGCTAGTGATTTAATGATCCATAAGCAAAACATCTCACCATAAACAATAAACAAACAGTTTTTCTTTAATTGCATTTATACTGACAAATCTTAACGACTCAAATAGTGGAGACGGCCAAACAAGTGCTTCAAAAGACTGTTTTAAATATTTTCCTATAAAAATCATAATATTATTCAAATGAAACTTAAGAAGCTACAGATTATGCACACCATTCAAAGTTAGTTTCAAGCAGCAGCGACAGAATCCACAACCTGCCTGAGGTTTACTTCGAAGGCATGCTTTGAATTGCTAACAATTTAAAATAATAAGTATATTTGCTCACTAAAATGATCGTGATTCAATGAGATGTAGGAAATTCGAGGTACCTTCCGTACTTTATCAAATTGAATTCAAAGACGAACTTCCGGCAAGCGTTTAATTTACCTTCAGTGACTTCCAGTTTCGAGACGAAGATGACCTCAGCCTTCTGAATAAAGGGGAGCTTTGAGAAGGAACTTATTTCCATCCTGAGAAACAAATGTATTTGAAGTTAAAAACTGCATCTATACATGTGGACTTCACGCCACCTAACCTACGTCGAGGTCGTTAAACGAAGGAGGAATATTCCCATGATCGAAATTTTTAGAACGAAATTAATGCACAAATGAAACCGCTGTAATATGAATTGAAAGCGAACCAAAGACAAAGACAAAGGTGACTCACAGAAGTCCATAGAGATGTAATTAGGCGAGAAAACGGGACGTAAATTCGTGCGCTCCACTCTGGACCAATTGATCACATGATCAACTACAGCGGTCCGGAAGTTGGCATCCTTGCAGGCCGGAAATTAGAACCCAGTAATATTTGAAGCTAGTTTCGTTTTAAAATGATAATAGTTTTTCATCATTTATTTCCCATTTCAGTGTATATATGAGATGTGTAATAGCCTTCATTTCCCAAAGTTTTCGAGGTCAGTCCCTGCCTTTCATCATAGATGGATCAGAAATCACGGCTGAAATATAAAAATAAAATGTCGGAAGTTTGAGTGAGACCTCGCCTCTGTGATCAGAGATCTGGCCCGGTTTTTAAAACTCCTTCACGTCTTCTTATTTATTTGGAAGAAGGAAAAAACTAAAAACCACTCAAAAAGTTACAAATCCAGCTGAGAACTGCAACAAAGACAAAGAATATTTCTGAGGCAGAGAAGGCATTTTGTGGTTTTCTCTAAAATCATACGATAACGCGTACCTTTTCATTCCCTACTGCTGAATGACGTCAATTTGGACCATTTTTTGGACCATTTTTATAGCTTTTACGAGTAACAGATTAAAATTTTGGCCATAGAACGGCTACAGGTTAGCTTCTCAAGAAAATTAAAATTTTCACGGTTAACTTTTTTACGACTAACGATGAAAGTTTGTCAATTTTTTACGCCTGACGGCTAAATTATTTAGTCGTTCGCGGCTAATGGTCAATATCATGCATCGAGGCTCAGAGGAGGTCAGGGGTGTCATGCTAATTTCATCATATGAATTTCACGTGATTTCTAAGAACTACTGATAGGAGCTTATTGGTCATTTTCACCAGGAAGTTTGATGTTTCTGAGAAAAGTGGTAAACAATAAAGCTTAACTGCCGCCACCTCCAGCAGATTTTGTAAGAAAACTTTGGGATATCCGCTCCTCCTTAAGACAGGGAAAGCTAGCCGGCGATGAATCTTCAAGTCTCCCTGTGGCTGTTCTTGTTATTTACAGTTCAACCGAATCGAGGTCAATTCAAACCCGCTCAGCCTTGCGATCCTGATAAGTGCCTGCCACCAAACTGCCGATGCAGCGAAGATCGCAGACCTCCCGGAGGATTGACTCCTGAGAAAACACCGCAGATTATCATGGTCACATTCGATGATGATTACGAAAAAGAATATTTTGACTTATATAATGAACTCCTCGACGAACTACATAATCCTAACAACTGCCCTGCTGTAGGAACCTTGTTCGTTTGTCACAACTATACCGACTACTTCTTAGTGGAAACTGCATATTCCAGAGGATATGAGATTTCTGATCACACAGTGACGCATCAAGAACCCACCACGTACTGGGAAAACGCAGATTACACGGAGTGGAAGAACGAGATTGATGGGCAAAAAGAGATTTTGCATCGGTAAGTAGGTTGAACAGTTTTCTAGAGTCACACACGCTCCCACGCGAATACAGCTGCTTGTAGAGTGAGGCAGATCCATGTGCAATTTTTCACTTTTTCCCTTCTTTCCATACATTTTATACTGAAGAATCGCCCTTGTACGCACGCGATCTAGTCGGTCGAGTTCTGCCATACTCCGCGCATTAGCAAATACGCCAACTCTCATTTTCCCGGAAAAAGTTTGTGTAAATGTTGCGTGACAAATTTTTATTAAAATCCATGGAACATATTTCGGTTCCACACGATTTGCCTAAACGTATCCTGTGGAAAAATATATGCCCGTGCAGAAACCTTGATACGTCGGGAAGTTACTGCTTCCTAAGTTAAGGGGCTCAACAAGATTTCTGATCTTCGCTGATCTTTGTTTATTTCTCTACTGATTCCTCCGGAAAACTCTCCCTGCATAGTCAGTTTGCGATATTAATCTTCACAGTTGTTTATGTCCCATTTCAATTCAACAAATTTTTAAGAGTACTCCATATCATCCATTACGATCTGACGATAAGAATTCCTAGAATTTTGTCCCGCTCGTCGTTCCTCAGTTTTTTTTTTTTTAAATTTTTGCCCGGTTTTGTAGTCATGATATATTTTACTTTATATAATAAGCTCAGTTATGCACGCATTCTGATTGGTTCTCACGTATGATCTATTGGAGGACAGACGTATAGATGACGTCATCATTAAAACTTTTTTCCGTATATTTTAATTATTTATTATATAAAACAAATAGATTCCAAGTTGCCGTGCGTCTGTTCAGTAATAGATCGCAGAGGACGTCAAAATGTGGTAAGAACATCAGTGACACAATTGGCTACGCCTCGTGTGCCACTTTTTTGTTCTTACCACATTTTGACGTCATCTGTGATCTATTACTGAACAGACGCACGGCAACTTGGAATCTGTTTGTTAAATTATTAACAATGGAAACTGAAACTACTGAAGTCATAAGTGCTTCTTGGGACTTGTCATTATTACGCGCCTGGACAGGTTGGGGGAAGGTTGGAAAATTTTTTTGTGTAATGATAAAGTTTCTGTAATTATAAAATTTCTGCTGAAAACCATGCATTTGATCCACCCTCAAAATCTCCCCACCCCACCTCCCAAGCGATAGACAATCACTTGTCCCTGACCCCTTTGACTCCCAGATCAAATCCTTTATGTCAACCATACAATTCTTATAATGTTAGTTCAGAGAATTTAGTATTTGATCAACTAATTATCCTTAAATTGGTTTTTTTTTATTCTCATCACTTATATGGTTGATACTGTATTTATATTGTAAGGAGAAATTCTGTTTTGGTCGCTAATAGGAGTTAAAGTGTTAACAAAGTTACTTTCATTCGCAGATTTGCCAACGTACCTTACGATAAAATTGTCGGATTTCGAGCTCCATACCTGATGTTTACAGAGAACATGTTCAAAGCGTTGTACACGAGTAAATTTGGTAAATTTACTTATGACCTTTCCTGGCCCTCAAACATCATATTTGATGGAAAGGGGCCCATATACCCTTATACTTTGGACTACTTGTCAAGTCAGAACTGTCCCTCGGAAGAAGAACCATGTCCCAAATTGTCCTACCCAGGACTGTGGGAGGTGCCTAACGTCAACCTTATGAACAAAGACCACTCGACATGCGGATCAATGATGGATGCTTGCGATCCTGATGGAAATGCTACAGTCTGGTTAGAGATTTTGACGAGAAACTTCCATTACCATTACGACACGAACAGAGCACCCTTTGGAATGCACATGCATCCATCGTTTTTCCTTCGTCCTCCAACAACCGATCACATGAAGGCGGCTAAACAGTTTCTCAAATATGCCCTGGATTTGGGAGATGTTTGGATCTTAACTCCATCTCAGATCATTGCTTGGATGAAAGATCCCCAAGATGTTGACAAAGCGAAGACCTTCGCGCCCTGGCAGTGTCCGAGCCGCCCCAAACCACGCTGCACTGAAGCAACGTCCAACAATTGCCACTACACAGAGCCTCAAGATTTCTACATGCGCACATGTACCGAGTGTCCGCCTCATTTCCCATCGCCTACTGATCCCGATGGCAATTAAATCTGATTAATCAGATGAATGATAATTATTTGTATGAATCGAATTTGTAATTGACCGTCATTGCTTTTGAGCAATAGGTATCACCCTCTGAAGTTAAGATAATATATGTTCATCGGAATGTCCGGATACCGTATTTCCTCGAGTAAACGCCCATGCTCTAATAAGCGCCCTACCCCGAAAAGCGTCACTGCGCCAATCCCCTAGGCCATAATTTGAAATAAGCACCCCCTCGAGTAACCGCCTTCCCCCACCTCCCACACTTTCTTAAGCAGAAGGGATACAAAATAAATTTGTTTCTATTGCCACTTTATTTGCAACTTTTTAAGCTTCAACTACAGCGGAATCAGTACAGGAGAATAGTTTCTTTTCCGTTCCAGTAAGTTCTATCTCCATGTACTTTTAGAGTTCCTTTACGCATGATATCTCTTCTCGTGATCTTTGTCCTACTGCTCCCCTATCAAAATAATCACCCCCTCAATTAAGCGCCCTAACTCCAATATGCGTCCCCTACCCCCTTTAGTTTTAAATTAGCACCCGGGCGCTTATTCGAGGAGTAGGATAATAAGTATAATCTTCTGTGACTGATTAAGTAATAAAGGATGAAAATTCAGCTTAAATTTCCCTCCATCTCTTCTTGGTGTTGTGTATCTCACAACAGAAGTTTCGGTTGATTTTGTCTTTAAATTGGCTGAGATTGGTTTGGTTATCCACGAACTTAACTGGAAAGGACTGACTCTTCATAGCCATTAAAATTGATATACTTGATTTCGAATGAAATAAAGCTTAAAATAACATGAACCAGTGTCCTCTACCTAAATGTAAAATACATCTTCGGTTCCAGATGTTTCGTTCGCATGATTTAATTTATGAGATTAGCTGGAGTATAGGGGTGAAGTTTTTATAACATGATGAGCATTTTACACGTTTCAGCCACCACGGGGTGCATTATGTTCATCTAAAACCATAAGCTGTTACTAAGGGGGACTAAGACGCTGTAATCTTCCCAAAGAAAAGGGGGAAGGGCAGGGAGGAGGTGGAAGGGTTGAGTCTCCCCAGTCTCCGCTACGTTCGATGTGGTAACTATCACTGGGGCAACATGGTATTGGTTGGAAAATTCCAGCCATGTAATTTTGAAAACTTGATTAACGGACAGGTTTCATAAATTGCAGCGTTGACAACGTATCTACGGGCACGGTTGACTGCAACTAAGCACTGGAGTTTTAAGATGCAGGTGTTCCCAATTCCCAGCTTGTAGATTGACAGACCAGAGCAGAGATCTAACCCGACTAAGGACGTCGCTCTACTGACACTGCCTACAGACAGTCAGTCAAATTATACCTCCCTCACTTCCAACCCCACCAAAAAAAAAAAAGAAAAGTAATATAATAATAATAATAATACTAATACTAATACTAATACTAATACTAATACTAATACTAATACTAATACTAATACTAATACTAATACTAATACTAATACTAATACTAATTCTAATACTTATAATAACGATAATAATAATAATATAATAGTAGTATTATGAAAAGTAATAACGCCAAATACAGACTATAAATTTGGATCAGTGCAATATTTTTTATGCAAAATATGACATTGATGTCAGAAGATTGAGATAGCAGAAACAAAACTGGTGAAATAGCACCGCGAAAAGTCTATTTCAGACGACATGAATAGAAAGTGAGTCAAGGCTTTATAGTGACTTGTGACTAACCAGAATTTCGCTTGCCATGCTACGAAAACTAGCGCTTAGGCGAGAAGAAATGCTCGGGATTTTCTTTTTCTTATCAGGTTTCTGTAAGGAGCCTACTAAGTAATGCAATCCTGATTTCTGTGCATTGCAAGAGTGTATCATCTGTGCAATGCAGGATGCACCAGGCTGAACGGAGCAGGCATGGAAAAATGTGAAAGCCTGGGAACGATAATCGATGACGTACGCTCACAAACAAGTTCCAGCAAAGGCGAACAATTTTGACTGTGAAGAGCGAGATGGCGCTGTGTTTTGTGAAAACATCAACGTTTGCTTTGCTGGTCCTAGTACAAGTTTGTCATGGGAAGGACCCTCAACCCCAACAGATTCACATCTCAGCAACAGGTAAGGAAAACATATCAGAGACTGTTAAGAAGAAAAACTCAGATGTTAATCACCTGACTAATAACGAAGGCTAAGGCTGACACTCGAAAGAGTCATCTCTTCACAGTTAACGACAGGGGTCTCTCTACTTTTATCAACCTCTACTGAGCACTTTATGCAACAAATTCCCCGCGAATTTCAAGTTCGATTCTCGTTTTCTGGGGATTTAATTCAGGATTCCTAGTTTCGCACGCAGTCACATGACTTCCCAAATCGACCTTTTGAAATCTCTTCATAAAATTTCTTACACTTCAAGCGAGGCTGATTTCAACTCAGACGAAGGCGCTATTTCCCTATTTAACTTAACTTCAGCACACTTTTGATTCTCGAGAATTCCACCAAGATCGCATGACGAACTGCCTCTCTTCTTTCAGTTGTCCACCATGTCAACACCGTCACCTTGTTCGTTCATGCAGTTCCTTTAAGGTTCCTTTCGCTTTACTTTTTCTCTTGAAGCAGATCGTAAGCGTAATCAGTTTTTCATTTCGGCTACGGCTAAATGAAGCGAAATTTCTGTAGCGCCCCAACATCGTACAAATCGCTCAGGCCAGTACAGAAATGTTAACTCTACCGAAAATGTTATGTAAGCTTTAATTTTAGAAAGTGTTATAATCTTAATCGTCCCGAGCAAAAACCATCCTACAAATCGAATCGCCCCTGAAATACCATTCACAGTTTGAAATTTTTCTACTTTGTGATATTCTTCCCATTTTCTCAAAGTCCATCCGAGGTTCTTTCAATGATACAATTGTGCGCGGCTTCCGCATAAAAAAACTTTATGATGCGTTATGTGTTCATGAACACAGCTCTTATTTACACTTGATTAAGAGAACTTGTGTCATAGATATTGTAATTGGATTCCGACCATTTCTGCTGTCAGCTTAAAATAGCGTCTAAATGAAAGCGAAAACTCGCAGTTACATATACCACATAGGTCTGTTGCTTTCATCACGACGGTTAACTGGACCTGTTATGTAATGCCTCACTTATCTAGTAATGTTATGCTCTGACTACCAAATTGGTGATCGTAAATCGTTCAATTTTAAGGTCACAAATTACAAATCAAATTAGTTAGTTTTATTGTCTGCCCAAGCTTAAATTGTTATTCTGGTAATTCGATGGATGATTCAATAACCACTCTACCAAATTTCTGATTATATTTGTTTAATAATGTGCATGTGTTTTTACACAGTGAGTAAGTTTTTATTGCTGTATTATTGCAGATGAGTACTGAATATTAATTTGTGTAGCATGCTGTACTGAGGTTATTAAAGACCTTGCCAGGTAGTTTTTGTACAAAAAGATTCAAGCGCATTGATTTGAACCTTTTGTTCAACTTTTAGGGGACCCTACAGAGATGATGATCACCTGGGTCACTATGGCTTACACCAACTACACTATTGTGGAATACAATAAGGCTGGTTTTCCTCTTACGCTGAGGGAATCTGGCAGCATTACTAAATTTACTGATGGTGGTTCAGCACATTTGGTGAGATACATTCACAGGGTCAAACTGACAGGACTGGTTCCTGCTCAAAGATATGGTAGGTCTTCAAACTATGTTATTTCATCTTCCAGCCTTCAATTTTTAGATAAAGTAAATGAAAGGATGCTGCCTGACATTAAGGCTTTCCAGAGACTTAAAAGTAGATTGAGAAACATAAAGAATGTGTAGTACTCTAAAAAAGGGCACTTCTAGTTTCCTCTGCTATTTTTCAGTCCATCGTTTTAAATTACTCATAACATTTTTAGTGATAAAGTTTAGCTTTAGAATCAGCTTCTGAAAGAAGAATCTTCCACCATGATTATTTTGAATTATTAGGGTTTGATATTAGAAGGGAGAATCCTGGAAGTTACATGTACGCAGGACTTTTTTGGGAAATCTTATAAATACTGTAGATTGAAATCTTTGATAAAGATTGGGTCCTTTATGTAAAACTTATGCCTCTCATCAAAAAACTGAAGAGAGGTATCAATACAAAGGTTTATTCTTGTGTTTATGAAATTTAGATTATCACTGTGGAGGATATGATGGGTGGAGTGAAGTGTTTGCTTTCAATGCTCTCAAGTCTGGAGAGGACTGGAGTCCAAGACTAGCTCTCTATGGAGACTTAGGTAGTGTCAATGCAAAATCTATTAGCTACCTTCAAGAGGATGCTCAGAGAGGAAACTATGATGCTATTCTTCATGTTGGTAAGTTTTGAATTGTTGATTTTGCTTTTGGGTGAGGTGATCTGGAATAGTTGTATAGTACAATAGTGTTAAAATAACCCAGCCAGGATCAGCTATTAGAAGTCCAATTTTTAGTGAAAGATCTCTATTGCATCTGAAGAATCAAAGTACATTAAAAAGGAGAAAGTTTTAAAAGTATTTTGATTTCATTTATTTTTCCAGGTGACTTTGCATACAATATGGAATATGTAAGTGAATTAAGGTCTTCTGTTTTTACATATGTCCAATGGTTTTTTGGGGGAAATACTAAAAAGTACAGTTTTCAATTGGTCTAATATATGTTTGCCATTTGTGAAACTGAAATTTCTCCTACTCATTCTTCACACTTGCCTGAGCCAAAACAGATTTCTCATGGACATCCATTATACATTTTTTGCACACTTGATAAATTGAACCCTCATTAGCTTGAACCTTCAGCTAACTCCAACAAAAATTCATATCCCCTTAGATAATCTCCTTTCCAAATTTAGCCTATATCTTATTTACCGTATTTACCCGTGTATAATGCGCACTTTTTTTCCATAAAAACAAGCATCAAAATCGCGGTGCGTATTATACACGGATTCTATTGTTTGTCAAGCACGTCCTAATTTGCATACGTTAAAAACGCAACAAAGAAAGTAAAAGTGCACGGATCGGTGGCCTGGGGAGGAGAAAGAGCTTGCTTATTTACGACTCATTTGAGGCTCACGTGACAGATACTGTGAACACTTCCTTCAAACGCGAACTTCCCTTCTCCAGCCGCTCGATGTATCTTTGAACAAACCATTTAGAGATGGAGTCCGAAAGGAGTGGATGGCTGATGGAATTCATGAACTTACTGGACGACAAAAAAAGGCTTCGGAGTAACTGATCTGTTCGTATATTTCACAAGCGTGGGAAGGCATTCCATCAGAAATGATCGCTGCCTCTCTCTGAAGTGTGGTTGCACAAACAATTCGAATGGATCACAAGATGAATTGGTTTACAATTCAACTGAGATCACTGATGAACTTGAGGATTCAGTCATCGAAACCTATTCAAATCGGACTGTGAGTCGGAATTTGAAGGTTTCGTTGTTTAAAGACACTGAACATTTTACTTAAATCACGCAATTGCAATGCAGTAATTATATTCAAGCTACCAGCAGTACTGTGAGTAGAAATAATGTTTATGAACGGCTGTTATGATAATAATTCAAGTTGTGAATTTAGGTATATTAATAAGGACTTCAAGTCACAACATTTATAAAACGTTTGACTGTTACTGAATAAAAAAGCTTGTAAATAGGTGCTCGGTGCGTGCGATATTTGTAGTAGCAACTAGTTAGAAATTGTTGTAAACATATTATTGATGAATTCCCAGCTCTTGTTAATTAAGTGAAAAAATGGAAGTTTTAATTCTTGGTATTTGTCATGAAATCTTTTTTTTCGGAAAAAAGAGGTCAAAAATTAGGGTGCGTATTATACACGGGCGCGCATTATACACGGGTAAATACGGTAATTTCTTATTACGCAAAACAACTTTGGTCCAGTGACTATGTCATCGGACCTTGGTAATTGAGAGGTGTATCTTAGGGGGTCTGGATTCTTATGTTTGATAAAACAGACAGAAACAATTTGGATGCTTTCATTTGTTACAGGATAATGGAATGGTTGGAGATGACTTCATGAATCAAATTCAGACAATTGCTGCCTATGTTCCCTATATGACATGTCCAGGAAATCATGAACTAGCATAGTAAGTTCCTTGATGATATTATGAGGACTTGTGAGTGGCTTCAAAGAGAAGGGTTTGATGATGCTCTTGCCTTAACCCTTTACACCCTCACATCAGTATCCATATTCTCCATACTGTTACCAGTATGTCTCTTTTGGTACTGACAAGGAGATTTTATATGAAGATCAAAGCTTCTTAGGTTGGCAATCATTTCCTTATTCTCATGATCTTAATGAATGGTTTAGCAGTGTTACTGTAAGGAGAAATTAGATGCTGGTCACAGTAAAGGGTTAAAAGTAATGAGAGTTTGATTCCTCTTCAGTAATGTTTGGAAATCTCAGACTTGATCACTAAGTTTTACCACTAATATATAGATTTAGCCAAGCCTAAAGTCAGAGCTCGCATTTTGTTTTTTTCCCTCACATCTCAAGGGCACAACGCCTTGCCCCAGCTAAGACTAGAACCCGGGTTGTCCGACTCGGAGCCCAGTGCACTGACCACTGGACAACTGGACAAAGCCGTGGCGTTGGCATGCCTGCGGTACAGTTGACCATGCATGTTAAAAGTAGCACCTTGTGCAGTCATACAGTTGTACGGTTGTACAACCAAATTTTTTTGGCTTGATGGGCTACTACTATTTTGTATAATTATTGGGCTACGCTCTACGAGCTCTGCTATAATTATTAAAATGAAAATTGTATTCTATGGCATAAACTAGAGTTTCTTTGATACATGTATGTCAATCTGAAATCTTTGATACATGTATGTCAATCTGAAACATAAATATGTAATTTTTTGGCAGCAACTTCTCAAACTACAGAAACAGGTTTTCAATGCCAGGAAACACAGAAGGTATATTTTACAGGTATGGGAAACTGGCAAAAACAGCTTTATGTGAAGGGATACAGTACTTGTGTATGGTTACATTTACATGTGTATAATACTTGCGCCAAAAAAAGAGCATTTTTTATTTCATTACCAAGGTTAAAATTTACCATTCTTTTAATTTAAAGTATTTACACAAAGCCTTTGCCATTGCTGACCCCAGCAGTTTGCAGGGTAGTGAATCTGAGAGTCTGTGGCTTGATTTCTCATGGGGACTCTGAACTTTTACCTTTTGTCTTGTGCTCATGACAAAACAAGAAAAAAACATTTTAGGCATTTCTATAGATACAATTAAGTTTAGTTGAAATACCATTGCAATGGTCTTGATGGGCTGTCTCTCTCTTTTTTTTTTTCGGTTTATTTTATCTTCAATGATACATCTAATTTATTGAATACTTTGTAGTTGGAACATTGGTCCTGCACACATCATCAGCTATTCTACAGAAGTCTACTTCTGGTTGCAATATGGAATTGAACAGATCGTTCAGCAGTATAACTGGCTTATCAGAGACCTAGAGGTAAAGAAATATTCCCGTCATTACCCCTGTATTTGTTTCTTCGTAGCCTTCTCTTGTCTCTCCACCTCTTCAGTTTTACCCTCTCTTCCTTCTTTTTCTCCTTTTTTCTTTATTCATTCATTCCTTCCTCTTTCTTCCACTTCTCCCAAACTCTTTTTCTCTTGTGTCATCATTTGTTCCTTCAAAGGATGGGTGATGTTCAGTGTTTGCCCAAGATTTTTCAGCATCCAGCTATAAAAACACCACCTGCCAAGGGTTAAAATTCATGGCAGATTGGGACAGTCATTTTAGTTCTTTGCCTAATTTAAATTGCCAGCACTCCAGAAATGAATAGCTGGTGTTTCTGAAGAACATTGATAATGCTATCCATTATTTGTTAGGGGTCATAACCATTGTTCCCTATTAATAGTATTAATACTATTATTATTATTATTATTATTATAGTGTTACATTTTAATAGTGTTAAATATTATTATTATTAATAATAGTGTAATATGATAATTATTATCACTAGTATAATCTACATTTGTAACAGCTAAGGCCTTTGATCTTATTTGGTAGTTTTTTATTTTGTTTTGCTTTTTTTTTAGTATTGTGTGATTAAAACTGTATCAGAGCAAGCCTCACATGTAATGTGTATTTTGTTGCAGGAGGCAACTCTTCCTGAAAACCGCAGTAAACGTCCCTGGATCATCACCATGGCACACAAACCAATGTACTGCAGTAACGATAATCCTAATGATTGCACAAAAACTAACAGCATGGTAAGGTTACTGATTATCCTTAAACCTTATCCTTAAGTAGGGAAAAGGGTGCCTTAGTTGGTTATTGTAATACTTTAAGCCCTTTTGATCTTTTTATTGGTCCTCAAAGTTTGTCAACATGACATTTAAGGCTGTTTCTGATTCTAAAGTGGTAGAGCCAATTCCTCAATCTCAAAACAACAGCCTTGGTCAAAGAAAATATTTGTGGTTGCCCTTTAAGGCAGCTTAGATATCAATAGCATTCTCGGTGATTGCACGTAAGTTGTATTAACACATCTTTTTTGTTTTTTTTTTTAGATTCGCACTGGAATAACCTCTAAGCATTTGTGGCCTTTGGAAGACTTGTTTTACAAATATGGTATGAAAAAATCATTATTGGAAACAAGATTGATCTTTGATTGGAACTCTCATTGTAATTATTTTTTGGTGACAAAATTAATCATGATAACACAAAGAGGAAAAAATTTGCCCTTGGAGTAAATTGTGTCAAGCCATGTTCAAACAACATAATATATTCAAGTATTTATTCATGCAGAATTTCTATCCCCATTCTAGGTGTGGACTTGATGTTGGAAGCTCATGAGCACTCCTATGAACGTTTGTGGCCCATTTACAACATGCAGGTAAGGTTGTGAACAGTATAGCCTGCTGAAAGTTTGCAGTGCATAAAAGGAATTGTGATAATGATGGGGAAGTGAACGGGAAAGGGAGGTATGGGTCAGCTCATGATCCAAATCAAACCTTCTTTGTCTTTTCACTCTTGTGCTACCATTGCACTGAGTGCTGTTGCATTTGTTTTGTTAACCCTTTAACTTCCAAGATCTGATTGTCAATTCTCCCCTGTAGCTGCCACACATTTCCTTTTAAGTTAGTTATGAAAACTTGGTGCTAGATCAAGATAGCAGCTTCTACCTGATAAGTTTGAATATTCTCATTACATGTTTGCCAAGAATGTATGGATATTGAAGGGAGAAGTTTTATGTTAATCACCTCTGGGAGTTAAAGGGTTAACTGAATCCCTTGGAACAAGCCGTAGGATTGGTTGCAAAAGTATTGAGAGTAAATAAAGTGCCATCTGATCTTTGCGCCTGTGTAGCAGAGATTTTTTGTGTTGTCCTATCTAGAATTCTTTTTCTGTTGCTTATTTAAAGTTATCTCTATCCTTGAGTAACTAAAATGTGCCAATTTGACAAAAGAATGGGGTCACTGTTTCCTCATCCTTGGAGACTGAAGAGTGAATAATCAGGGGAGAGCAAAATCTAGTGGTGGTTTTGGTTTGACTTGAAAGTTTCTTTGCTCATCAAAAAATATTTTGCATCAAACTGAAACTGTGCTGTAGTTTCTCCTTGCCCAATTGTTAGTTTCTTAGTCTCCATGGATGCTGCTTTCAGGATGTTGCTTTCATCGCAACTTCTGAAAGGCTGGAGTTTCAATACGAGGCTGTTCCTAAAAGGGGGTCATAGGGTGAAATGCAACCAGAAAAGCTTGCGCACAGGCTAAAGGAGGAAGTTAAGGGGTCTTACAGGCAATGTTAAACCATGAGTCACTGGCTATTCATCAAATACCCTAAGGAGGTAGCAAAATTGGTACTTTCAAGCACTATGGTGTTTGACTCTTAAATTTGTTGTGTATATGTTAAAGGTAATGTCTCTTGAACACTCTTAATTTATATTTCCCTTTCCAGGTTTGCAATGGATCTCATGAGGAGCCATACACCAACCCTTGCGCCCCAGTTCATATAATCACTGGTTCAGCGGTATGTTTGCTATCAACACTAGTTCTCTGTTTTACATAAGCAAATTACAGCTGCCTAATATGATAGATAGGTTAGGATCTCTAAAGGATTATCGCAATGAAAATACCTGACCTGTTACCTTGAAGTTGAATTTGAAGTTTATTAATTCATAAATACATGGCAGTTCAAAAACTGAATTGCTTATTTACTTAACAAAAATTAATTTTACAAATCTAATCATTAACTAATCTATCTTAATCAAAAAGCTAACAGGAGATAAGCTGCTAAAAAAGTTATCATAATACAAGCTGCAAAATTTGAAAACCCTGAACTATAAATTAGTTGCTTTGAGACATGAAGAGATAATAATATTTGTAAAACAGTCAGTTTTAAAATGCGGCGTGCTAAAAGGGCGAGCATGTCGTGAGTGAATGATAAGTTTTGTGCAGTGCAGGTAATAACTTATAAAGGCAGTGATTGCATGGTGTTGTTTACACTTGTTCCTTGAAGTTCATAATCTTCAGGGGTTCTTCAAGCCCTCTACCTCCAAACATAAGCCCACTCACTCTCTTTACTGCTCTCTGTACATTTCCTGTGGAACTAGCGAGGAGTTTGTTTAACAGTCAAGAGCCTCTTTAGGCGGCAATCATTTCTCTCACTCTCATGACCATAGTACGCTATTTAGCAGTAACACTGTAAGGAGAAATTAGATCTTTGTCAGTGTTCTGAGGGCTTAAAGGGTTGAGGGGACAGTTAAAATGCCCCTACCTTCCAGAAGTCCTTATTCCTCACATCTACAGATCAAACTGGCTTGTCTCCCAAATGTGAAGATTTGCACCATTGTTATGTTTCACTGTGTTTTTCCTGCTGATTTACAATAGAATGGTATTTCTTACAGGGATGTGTTTCGAAGCATGACCCTTTCAAGAAGGATAAGCCATTTTGGACAGCTTTCCGTACTCTGAATTACGGTTTCACTCAGATGACAATCCATAATAAGACTCACATAGGCATACAGCAAGTGGATGTTGACCTGGTAAGTCCAGTGGATAGAATAAACTTTAGGGCATATGCACCTCGTAAGAGCAAGTTTAGAAGGAGAAAATTTGGTCAATGAGTGTGAGAACTCCTCATTCGATGGTCAGGTGACATCCAGTTAATTTTTTTTTTTAATTTCTGCTGCACCCTTTTTTCCTCTTTAGTAATGTGGCTTAATTTCATAATTTTTTTTCTGGAAATCAGAGGCAAATTCTTGCAAAAAGGCTTATATAACTACTGGTATCCTGTGGTGAAAGTTAAACTGATTTCTGCATTTGTTGTTATTGTAATCAGGGTGGGGAAGTTGTTGACAAAATAATGCTGATAAAGGATGTCCATGGACCAGAAGCTTGGGCTAGAAAGAATGTGAAGAATTGAAAGCTGAGGAAAATGATGAAATCTTTAAAACCACTTGTTGGAAATTTACTCTTCCAGTAACTTGTTACTTTTGGTATATTACTAATCTTTGCAGAGAAGCTGAGCTATGGTCTCTCCTTTTGTAATTACTTTTTTTCACAATAATTTTGCAATATAAAGAGGGTACAGGGCATGTGTTTACTTAAATAAACAACAATTCACTGTTGTTTATTAGAACAGAATGCAAAAGTAGCTTGGACAACTAATGAGGAACTGATCAACTAATGAATAATGAGGTGTGGAAAAACAACAATGTCATTTTACTGTAATTGTATATTCATGCATGGTGTGTGATGCCTAATCCTTTAACCCCATAGAGAGACCAGCGTCTAATTTCTCCTTACATTATTATTCTAGAATCCAACATTAAGATCATGAGAATTTCGGAAATGATAACTGACTAAAAAATATTTTGATTGTTGATCAAAATTTCACTATCAGTACCACAGGAAATGTATAGAATATAGATGGAGAATATGCATACTGATACTAGTGCAGAAAGGGTTAATGGGGGCATGCTTGTTTTATATCTGACTCATTAATCTTATTACAGTCCATTGAAAATACGACTAGTCTTGATAGTAGTTTCTGTTCATTGTCTGTGGTTAGAAGGATTTCTTTAGTGTCCACATTCCAAATTTAATGATCTTTATAATATATAGGTATAGATGTTGTGTCAAGAAAACTGAGCAACCTTGAACTTTCTTGTGAAATGGAGGAATTTAAGAAAACAAATTATCACTTTTAATGAATAATCAATTATTATATACTTTGAATTAATAAAACTTTTTTCCTGTTCATGTTACTTGTGGATAAGTTTTTTTAGTTCTTCCCTTCTGTTCATTCAGACCTCATTTCTTGTTTGAGAACTGGTTTGTTTAACTGTATACTTCACACATTATTCAGAGCTACTTAAAATTATTAAGAAATTAAGGAAGCCTGAATCGCATGTGCAATGAAGTGTCAAATTTATATGTTAATGCCAATAGCTTTTTGCAAAAGGTTTACCCTTTAAACTCTGGCAAAACATCTCCATGAACTCTAACTGAAGAAACGCTGGTGCATCATTTCCATTGATTTGTCACCTGTGATATCCACCAACTTGTTTGCTGCAGAAGATGCATAATTCTTGTTAGTTTGATACCTAAAATGTGGCCTTTCAGCATCGAGTGCTGCCAGGATCACTTGGGCAATCTCATCCGGAGTTTGAACCATGGTAGAGAAAGCACCTCGCATCTTTTTAATGCAGTTATTGAGAAGTTGTTTTGTTTCATCATCTACTTCCTCAGGGTGAGTGTCACTTTCAGTCATTTGAGCATTGGCTACAAAAGATGTCGATACTGGCCCTGGTTCAATCACAGAACATCTGTCGGTATAAAGAGCAAACATTACAAAAATTAACTTGATTACTTTGAGTGCTGAATAGTTACGGTAAGTCTGGGGTAGGGATGTTTTTTACCAAAATCTCTTGATCTCTATCTCAAATGTTCTCATCTCTCTTGGGTAATTTAAAGTCTGAATAATGTATTCTAATAATGATTATGAAAAAGTACGTCCTTCTGATTGGCTGAAAACAAGTGCATTCTTATGTTACACAAGTGCAAATTACAAATAATGTATGCACGCTTTCAATATTTTGTTTGTCTTGACTTTCTGTGATGTTTTTCATGTAGATTATCATCAAGTAATAAAATGATCTCTCTTGCAAATTAGTGCGATGAGCACTTGTAAATATTTCAAAGACTACATATTGCACTTGCTCTACAGGCTTTTGCAATTTTGCTGTCTTTGAAAAAATTCACTGGTGCCTATAAATTTCAATTGTGTAAAAAAGAGATTCAAGATCCATACTTCAAGTTACAAATTCTTGTTTTTTCATAAAGGGGAAAAAAATCAGCCTGTAACTTTAAGTAAGGATCATAAACTTTTAAAGTTTATATTGACAGAAGAGCAACTTATTTGCCAGCTTTCAAAACCATTGGGCCATATTACATGTTCAGTGCCCTTCAGTCACGAGCACCCAGCCAAGGCAGTGCTTGCCAAAATTCTAGGTTTCTGATCCATTTTAGCATGAAGGGCAGGAGTCGGGAGGGAGGGGGCCATAAAAGTATGGGAGGCAGGAGAATGTGGTGTGGGAGGTGGGAGGCTGTGACCCCCCTGTTCCCCCATAAGTAAGTTCTCCTTGGCTAGAGCACTTTTCAAGGAATTCTTGATCATTGTTTACTTGAATTCAGAAAGATGACTGGAGGGTGGATGATTTTTGGGATCACAAGGGGAACAGAGAGGGAGGGAGTCAGTTGTCGCTAACAGAGTATGAAGGTGGATCTGTAGAAAACTGACTGCAAGTTAACTGCTGATGAGAGGGGGGGGGGGAAATCATAAGAATATCACAAAGCCCTATGAGGGGATCAGGTAAATTTTGTTGTGACACAACCTAAATCTTTTTATATTATCTTACTGTTGTAGTCTATACTAAAGCAACTATGTTTACCTCACTTATTTGCGTCAATGAAAATAGCTACCACAAACCACTTCCACTTCGTTGAAGAATTGTTTACCAAACACTATTTTTTTAAGTGCACTGACACTTGCCTACCTCACATTAAAGGTCTTGAGCAATGGAGCCAATGATTCACACAGACCTTCTACAGCGAACTTTGAGGCACAATAAACGCCATTGAAGGGTACTCCATTGATACCTCCCATACTCGATACACAAATGATGTGACCCTCCTTGTTGGACTTCATACATGGAAGTGCAGCTCTGGTAAGACGCAACACTCCAAAAAAATTGGTCTCGAATATGCTCCTTACCGAATCCATGCTTTGTACCTCCAGTGGACCAAAATAGCCAACTCCTGCATTGTTTACTGCAAGGATATAAAAGTAAATTCATTCGGTAATGGGTGTAAAAAATCCATTTACGAAAAAAGAGGCTAGAGTCCAAACTCCTTAGAGTATATGTGGAGGTGCGCGAGAGCGCTGGTGTCTTCGAGAGAGATGAAAATAACTACAAGATTTTCACTCAAAACATTTTTTAATAACGATGGGGATCGATTAAATACGACCAAATCATCTAATTGAAACAGTCAGACCATTCTATAGAGCAGCAAGGTTGTGCCTGCGAGTGTCCCTCGCTGGGAAGTTAGCTGTGCTTCTGTTACGCTTCGGATTTTTACGTCGTAAACGACGAAGACTACGACTTTGTCGCTAGTGCTCAACTCGGGCTAGTGATAACCAATCACGTTCGATAATTTTGTTATAGTTTTGATTAAACGAAAGAATGTTTTGTGGAAAGAGGGGGATAATGAAAGGGGGGGTCCTGCGCAGGTCTCACGCACATCAAAGTAGAAATAACACATCGTGAAAAAACGGATAGACAACTTTAACGTTCACGTATCGCGAAAAGCGAAAAAATCAGATTTCATAGGGTTTTAATTTCTTATTTTTACTGGTCAAGAAAAGCAAAAACACTTAATCCCGTATCATGCAATAACCCCTTCCCCCCTCCCTCTTCAAAGTTGTTGGTCAAAAGTGTAACTGAAGCCGTTTTGCATAACAATCGCATATTCGCATATTTGCATATTTAAGGTCTACATGGGGTACTGGGCTTTTAAATTTTTTTTTTTTAATTTTGGCCATTTCACAGCTAACAGTAATATAATTCCATTTTTCTCACCAGAAATTTTATTTACGGTTAATTTTTTTGCGGCTACTGGTTAAAATTTGTCAACTTTTTACGCCTAAAGGCTAAATTATTTGGCTGTTTAACGGCTATCGGTTGACCCCATTGAGACTCACATATTTTCACACAGACATGTAGTAATTGCATGAAGAATTTAAAGAAAACTTACTAACGACATCAATTCGCTGATGTGCAGATACCAGCTCTTGGACAATCGCGTTAACGGAATCATCCGAACACACATCCATAGCCTTAATGAAGAGTGTGTCTCCAAGGATATGTTTTCCCCGTTCCTCCAGCTCTTTCTTTTTCTCAAGATTTCGCATCGTTGCATAAACTTTGAAACGCTTACATTGATCACTGGCTAGCAAAATAGCTGTAGACAATCCTATTCCCGAGGAACAACCGCTAATTAGTACTATTTTTTCAGCCATATTTTTTATTACTCTGGAACGACTATCGATTATCAAACTGTTTCGTTGCGTGACTGAAACTCAGACCTTCAACCGCCACTAAAAGCCGTCGTTTGTGAGATTGGGTATGAATCAGACTAGCACCCCCTCCCCCGCCTGACTGCTCCAACTTGTGAGCAAAGGGGTCCCCTCTTGTGCGCCTCTGCTCAAACTTATGATAATCTCGTGACTTGTACCCAGACCACCTGAGTATAGTCTGCGGGTTATTTCCCATATTCTCCTCCATGCTACAGTCGGCAAAATGAATATGGTTCCACTCGTTTTGCTAATTTTCCTTCACTGCTCTCATGGGCAGGCTCCTCAGCCTGAACAGATTCACATTTCAGCTACAGGTAGGCGAAGTGAAATCTTCTTAGTGTTTAAATTAAGCTAGAAGGGGCGCTTGTGTATGTTCTTGACTTTGGTTAGTATTCGTCCTTTGGGAATTATGTGACTGATATAAACGAAAGTTTGTTTGCGCGAGCAATATTTGCACATTTGAGGAAAATATACTCTGCCTTTTGGTCAACAGAGCAAATTCGTTTTGGATAGTATGGGGTTTTACGGAAACCATTTTCTCGGCTCTCCCTAAAGCTGTTTGTTGAGTTGTCTTAGCTTGACGCCATCTTATAACTTCCTTATTTCGTTACTTACCCGTTTCGTTTCGGCTGGGATTTAAGGCCATAGGAGTTTATGAAAACCTGAATAAAGCGTCCTGTATTCAGCATTTGTATAATTACCGAACGCTGATCCTGTTAATACTCAAACCATTGCCTATCAATAATATATTTTTTCCTGATACTGCATAGTGCGTCAAAAAGGCGTACTGTAACATGCCAGACGAAACGAAACGAAATGAAAATATGTTACTTTCGAAATGGAAATGTGCTAATGATTTGCAAATAGAAATCTGTAAGCTGCGATTTGTATTTTGATCTGGCGTTAGATCAAGATAACAGCCTCTACCTGATAAGTTTGAGTATTCGCATTTCCTGTTTGCTGAATAATATATGCATATTACTGGAGAATTTACATTAACGGTTAATCACTTCTGGGAGTTAAAGGGTTACCTTTTGTAATACCGTACTGCTTCTGCTTTGAGCTTCAACTTGTTTATACTTGTAAACAGGTTAACTCTTATTTATAGAAATATGGTCATACAAGCTGCCGTGTTGGTGTGTTTTGCTTTGATCACCTTGCTGCTTTAAACTAAATTTATCATTGAATCTAAAGATGGCTGACCATGAAGAATCTCTTATGTGCATGGCAAATATTGCATAAATTTATATACTTAAGCACAAAACAGTGAATATTTTTTATTTATCACCTTACTTTATGACCAATACTGAGAAAGTAACTGGTGACTTTGAGCCGTTTTCCATAGGAAGGACTTTAAATGTTTAAAATAATCAACTCATTTTTGTTGTACTTGTTGTGGTTAGTGAAATACTAAAGACTCAAAAGGTTGGTCCATTCAAGGGTAGTCCTTTTGGGTTGTCCATCCGGGTAGACTATCAACTAGGCACAAACCCTAAATCATGCTAAGTTATTTGTGAGTTATAAAAGATGAAACTTCAAATTGTAACCACAGGTTATTATGAATTTTTATTTTACTCTCAGGGGATCCTACAGAGATGATGATCACGTGGACAACAATGGCTGCCACAAACTACACTATTGTGGAATACAACAAAGCTGGTTTTCCTCTTACACTGCGGGAATCTGGTAGCAACACAAAATTCACTGACCCACAGTCAGGAAAAGTAATAAGGTACATACACAGGGTGAAGTTGACTGGACTGGTTCCTGGTCAGAGATATGGTAGGTGACCTCAGTTGTTTTTAAAAAAAGCTTTGTTACTTTTAAGCTTGATTTCCAGTTGTATCACTACAAAGAGGAAATTGTAAGTATGCCTTGTCTCATCAGGCTCTCCAACAAAGTTTGAAGTTTAGGAAGAAGAAAGATTTTATAGAAAACTGAATTTTGCAAGAAATTTCTATGCACTCCAGATGTATACCCATGCCTATAGTGCCAGTTTGTCAGTCAATTACACTAAATATTGATTTTATATTGAAGTTGCCATTGCATTTATTTCCATTTACCATAATGTTAAGGAAATGCAAAATAGCTGTCAGTGCAGAGTGTTTCTGAGCAGGTGCTTCTCTACAGTTGTTAACAAATCCCTTAGTGTTAGATTTTCCCACTGACATAGGTCAACAGTTTTTATAATCCCCTGGTCAATTTATTTGCAGAATATCACTGTGGAGGATATGATGGTTGGAGTTCACTTTTTGCTTTCAATGCTATGAAGTCTGGTGAGGACTGGAGTCCAAGGATTGCCTTTTATGGAGATATGGGAACTGTAAATGCTAAATCTATCAGCTATTTGCAGGAAGATGCTCAAAATGGAAAATATGATGCCATCCTTCATGTGGGTGAGTCATAAATGACTATCATGCCTTTCACAACCAAGATCTTTGTATTTACTCTCATTGCCGGGAAAGGTCAGGTCAATAAGTTTGAAGGTAGAAGTAAAGGAAGAAATAGGAGGCAGCCAAGATATTGTGGATGTCATTTTGTTTCATAAGATTATATGCAGGAATGGGAATTATTAACTTCTAATGTGCCTGGCATTCCACAAGTTTGAATGAACCTTTGCGGAAAATCTGAATCTATAGAATCAATTTGCACTTGTTAACTTGTTACTGGTAAATTTAATTGTAGGATTATAATTTTATAAATGAAAATTATCTGATTGTTTACTTGTGTTTACGGTAAAACAAGGCGAAATTTTAAGAGCTCATATTTTCAATTATGTTCTTTCCCAGGTGACTTTGCTTATGATCTGTTTGAGGTTAGTCTGTATTCAGTCTACAATGATTCCATCAGCAGTTATGTTTCTAATCTGTTAGCTTTTTGGTGTAGAATACCTAATATCAATATTCTCAGATACTGCCTTTGGATAATTACTTTGATTTGAAGTACAGTGCTAACAAAAAAGGGGCAAATTTATGAGTATGCTATGGTTAACCCTTTTACTCCCACAAGTGACCAAGACACAATTTCTCCTTACAATATCAATACAATATCAAGCAGGCAGGTGATGAGAATAGAGAAGAATATTAATCATGGGATTATTAATTGATCCAATACCAAATTCTCTGAACTAACATTATAAGAATTGTTTGGCAGATAGTAAGGAGAATTACTAATTAGATCTTGGGAGTGAAAGGGTTAAGATAATAAAAATGATAACAATCTTTTTTAATGAAGGTAGCACATGATATGACAAGTTAATAATCAACAAAAAAGAAACAAATATAAAATGCCATGTAAATAATAAAATTTTCTACACATATTTATGACTGCAAAGTTATTTTGCAATGGATGCAAAACAAACCTAGCCTAGGGAGTTTTTTTCCCCAATTTGGCTTATAAATGAGCTCAGTAAGAAGCATGCAGACCTTTATTTCATGAGGAAGACCGTTCCAAATTTAAAAAGTGTAAGTGGGTCAGAAAAAAGAGAGGCATTACATTGTGTAGCAAAGGTCTCCAAGGTAAATTTAAAGTACAAGATGTAAAGTAAGGTACATTTTGACCTTAGTTGTGGAATAAATTAAACTTAGTGCATGTGCAACATGTTTTAGCTGTGACACAAAATGAATTAAACTAATCTTCTGCATGGATTCAAACATCAGCAAGTTCTGTTTTCACAGTTTGATGCTCCTAACCAACCAAGTTGTAAGGAGCTTTAGTTATCAAGTTGGACCATGTCGGACATAAGTCTTGCATATTGTTAGGATCAGCAGTGTCAATTTAAACTTCCCAAGTGAGGGACTTTTGTGTTCTTTCTCTAGATCCTCTCTAATTTAATCCCTCCTTTTTTCCTTGGCTTCTTTGCCAACAGGATGAAGGACGAAATGGAGATGACTTTATGAATGAAATTCAGACAATTGCTGCCTATGTTCCCTACATGACATGTCCAGGAAATCATGAACGTTACTAGTAAGTTTTTCTTTTGTGTTTCCACAGAGTGTCTTAGTACATTGCAGCTTCAAAAGGTCAATAGAAGGAAATTAACTCAACAATCTTTAGTGTATATATGCTAGCACTGAAAAATCTGATATCTGAGTTCTAGTGCAAACCCAAAACTTAGATATATTCTGATCTTATTCCACAGCAACTTTTCCCACTACAAAAACAGGTTCTCAATGCCAGGAAATACCCAAGGGGTTTTTTACAGGTATGAGTTATACATGTAGCAACATTAACATGAATCATTTCAATTCCAGGAGTGATCAATAAGTTAGTTCTCGTTACAGCACTAAAAGATTTATGGAAGAATGGTGACATGTTAAAGAAAAATTAAATATCAACTAGAGTGTTTTGTTTTGAATTGAGATAAATTTCTAAGAGCCAGATCAACAACAATGTATAGAAGACAGAGTGGAGGATGATATCTGGATGTATAGGGTGTAGGGATTATTATTATGTGACGAGCATAGCAAAGTCACTGAACATTTTTTACTTGAATTGGTGCGTGGAAAGTTTGGTTTATTTTCTGGTTCACCATAGTGAGTTCATTAACAAGGAACACATTAATTTTTGATCCTTCAAAAGATTATGCTATTTGATGTAGTCTTGTATACTAGGATCTAAGCCTAAGTCTAGCCTGTTCTAGGAAGACAGTTTGTGGGGATTAGAGGAAACATGTTAAGGACTGAAGATTTGATATTTTTATGGCACTCAGCTACAGCAGCAGTTCTTGAAAGAACCAGAAAGAACCAGAAAGATAACCTTTCTGCAATTTAACTATTGAGCTAAAATTATGTATACTCTGTCTAAGCTTTTTCAGTAGCAGTAAAACCCAAATTCACCAAGGATCATTTTTGGCACGCATTAATAAACTAAATTGCCTCAGTATTTACATAAGCCTGTTTCTCTTGTGTTTGACCCAAACTGTCATTCATTTTTGTCTATTTTTGTCACATAGTTGGAACATTGGTCCTGCACATATTATCAGTTACTCTACAGAAGTCTACTTCTGGTTGGAGTTTGGAATTGAGCAGATTGTTCAGCAGTATGAGTGGTTGATCAGAGACCTCCAGGTAAATAAGTTTTAATGAAAAAAGCAAATTAATTTTGAAACAAACTTCACATTGTGCTGCAGTTGTAGGCAAGTGAGACACCTCCTAGTTTTAATCATTAAATCAGTTGATTAAGTATGATTCATTATTCCAATGGATGTTTCACAGGAGGCAACACTTCCAGAAAACCGCAGTAAACGTCCCTGGATCATCACCATGGCTCACAAACCAATGTACTGCAGTAATGATAATAGTGATGACTGTACTAAAGCCAACAGCATAGTAAGATAGCTTTATTTCTTTATTTCCTGTCCTCTTTTTGTCCTTGGGATGAGAGTAAGGGGGGAAAACCCAGTCACCCCAAGTGCTTGGAGAATTACAAAGGGCAGGTTCTTTAAAATATAGCCTGTGGGAAAGTGCTATTCTTACATTTACAGAATAAAGGAGGCAAGGTTAAGGTGGGCACAAAAGGTGAATAACATGTGGTAGGAGTCAGGGCGTGAAATTGCGCCTAATACAGGCGCCAATGCGACTAAATTTTTCACTTTGGCGACCAAATCCTGAAAGTTAGTCGCCAAATTTGCAAAGATAAATCCGCGGCAAACTTCTTCATTAAGTTTGTTTCTAAAACGTAGCACGTACTTCTCGATCGACAACTAGACGCCGTCTTGGATTTAGATGAGCCTGAACGTTGTATATCATCCATCCTAGCGTCCACTTTGTAGCACGTTAAAGATCTTTTCCCTAACTTAATTTTGGAGGGTCTATCTAGAACGCTGACAGCGTAAAGAAAGATATTGTTTGTCTTTGAAAATGGCGACCAACTTTTTTTGAATTGGCTACCACTTTGAAGAATTTAGGAGCCAAGTGGCTATCAGAAAAAAAAGTTAATTTCACGCCCTGGGAAGGAGGAGCATGGAAAAATAAGGATGTTACTCACACCATTGATCTTGGCCGTAGGTGATCTAAGTAAGAACAATTGGGTGCAAACAGGAGTCATTGTTTTTTGTGTTCTAAGGGTTATGGTGTCTTGCTCCTATGCATGCATGGATTTCATGTTCTGATAAATAAGACTGCAGATTTTCTGTGATTTGGGAGTTGTCTAGTTTTATTCGACTAGTGCTGCTAATGCTCAGCTACAAAAGGAAATCATATCACCTAAGTATGGATAAAAATATTCATCAGAAAAGACTCAACAGGTTTACAATGTATTTGCTTTTGTGCATGACATGAAAATCACTTTCAGTTTAATTGTGATGCAGCATATTTATTCTCTAAGTTTGTGCTGAATGTGATGCTTTTGTAGATTCGCACTGGAATAACCTCTAAGCATCTGTGGCCTTTGGAAGAATTGTTTTACAAATATGGTATGAAGATCTTGATTTTATTCAGTAGTTGATGGTATTTGTAACCATATTGAGTACTTTGCAAGCAATTTCAGCTGCCAAACTTAAATGTCTTATAGGGATTTAGGTACTAGTATATGAAAAGTGTCAAGATTTGCTGGATGTTATAATTTGAGTAAGATTTCCCTACAGCCCATACTTAATTATACATACAGCGCTTGGATCAAGAAAACAAAGGCAAGAGCGATTGGTTGCCTTTAATCCCCACCCTTGATACCCTAAGAAGGTAAGGCTGATGATTTAGGTAGCTCGATGATTTTAAAGGAGGTGGAGCTGGGAGAAAGAGCAACGAAATTTCTCTGGCGGATCTTAAACGTAGTTCACGGGTCACAGGTGGCAGGTCGCACGTCACGGGTCACGGGTTAGATGTCAACGATGTTAAGCAAGACCTGTTACCCGCAACCTGTTAGCCCTGACCTGCCATTCATGACCCTTGATCTGCGTTCATGGCCAACTTAACTTTCTCCCACAGTTTTCTTTCCCAAGCCTTCCTTTTAGGGGCCTCGCTACTCAACGCATTAAAAGTCACACACAACGCCTGCTACGCAGGTTACATTTTCATGTGATCCTCCAATCCTGGTTATGCTGCACTCATCGCCTTGGCTTTCTTTTTACCGGATAATTTTCCCAGCCCAAAAAGGAGAGTGTCAAATTTTGGAGTAAAAAGTAAATTGTTCAAATGGTTACGTGTTTGTCTCAGGTGCACTTCTCTCTTTTGAAGTTGAAAAGCCTCTGTCTTCCAAAATACAGACTTACCCCCCACCCCTTCTCCCTTAAGTTATGCCCCCTCTCGCGCAAAACCCCGCCCAAATTATCATAGTAAATCGTACAGCCTTTCAAAATGGAGATTACATTGAACGCATCAGTGGCTGACCGGCACTTCTGATCAGTTAAATTTTACTGCTTGTATTTCAGGTGTAGACATGATGTTTGAAGCTCATGAGCACTCTTATGAACGACTGTGGCCTATTTATGACATGCAGGTAAGACTCCTCCTGACATTTCAGTTTCTCCTTAAATGAACTCCGCATATTAAAACACTTAAACACTTAATTCTTTGTCTGTCTCTTTCTAGGTTTGCAATGGGTCTTTGGAGGAGCCATACACCAATCCCTGTGCCCCCGTTCATATCGTCACTGGTTCAGCGGTATGTCAGCTATCAGTATTGATGCTTGCTAATGAATTCACAGACTATCATGTTGCATGAAATTTTGTGTGGGTTTTTATTTCTGCAGATTAGTAGTTTAATCGGCCTCAAAAGTAGCAAAATAGAGCAAATATGGTATTTAAGTCAGTATGCCAACCAGACATCAAATATACTGGTACATCGTAGTTCAACCCCAAAGATACAAAGGCAACCAGTCATTAATGCAGAACAAGCACATTGCATTGCTTCGGAGCGGTTTCTATCGGTACCTCTCGTGTTCTTTGTCGAGAGACACTTAACAGTTGGAAAGAGTCGCTTTCTAATAGGAACGAGACACTTTCAATGGAGACAAGACTTTAGGGTAGTTGCAAAACTCGTCGGGAGAAACGAAGCTCTTCTCGAGATAGTTCACGCGAGAAACGAGATCCTTCAGGGGCAGAGAGGGGATCCTCTTTGGAGAGGGGGGGTGGGTGGGTCTTGAGAATCGAGATTGATCTCCTAATAAAAGAGACGCGATTTACTGCACACTGGTGACGTACATATGACTTTATATCTGTAGTGTATCGATACGGTTCATGATTTATAAGTCGCAACAGATATCTAACTGTGCCTAAAAGCGCTCAAAATGTTTGTTTAGAAGGATGCTTTAATGTAACTTGGCGTATTTTTTTCCAGGGATGTTATTCTAAGCATGACGCCTTCAAGAAGGACAAACCATACTGGACAGCTTTCCGCACTGTGAATTATGGTTTTTCGCAGATGACAATCTTCAATAAGACGCACATTGGCATACAGCAAGTTGACGTCGATCTGGTAGGTGCATGGAAAGAGGAAACCCAAGGGATTTCTTCTTTGGGATTTTTCTCATAGCGTAGGGGGATTCCCGCTACCTATATGGTACACTAGTCTCGAATTGTCCGTTACCGGTTACATTATGGTGATGAAGATAAGTTTTCTAAGGTCTTATGTTCTTACTTTGCCGATTGAAAATGATAAATAAATTTTGTAACATTTGTCACGAGCGTGGGGCAAAGAGGTTCTGTGTTCTCCGGTGTGGAATCGAACCACAGCCAGTTCCTTTTTCAGGTTCAGTGTTCTACAAACTGAACTAGAGAAGAGATTTTCTCTTCTCTCCCCTTTGTACGAGGCATTTATCGACATGTGTTTCTTGTTTCCTTGCCATTTTATATTGGGATTATCGTAGTTGTTTTTGCTGAAGAGATCTGGATTTCTAATCTTGTGCCAGACAGTGAACTAACTTTGGAATTACATTTTCTGTTTACTTTGATCAGGGAGGAGAGGTTGTTGACGAAATAATGCTGATAAAGGATGTTCATGGACCAGAGGCCTGGGTTAGGAAGGATGTGAAGAATTGAAAGCTGAGGAAAACGGCGATATTCATTACATCGCCTGTCGGAATCTAGCATCCTATCCAGGAATGATTAAATGTTGGTTTTTCTCATTTGTATGAATATGCCTGTATTGAAACACTCTTTAGAGAAACCTGGGTAATTTCTTAGCGTATATTAACTCTATACTCTCTTGATCACGATGAAAATTGCACACACGGGACTCTGTTTTGAAAAAATCCGATGTTTAAGTTATTAGAATCTGTGAATAGGGGCGTTCAATGAGAAAGGATAGTTATAATTTATTTGTAGCAGCTGGCTATGGAAGAACCAGTTTAATTTATTTTATGTTGTGGCAGTGTAATCTAGGTTAAGTTTAGGACTCGTACCATTGTGCTTATGAAGCAAACGAGGCCATAAGTTTTAGGACATAAAACAATGTGAATGTCATTCATTGTAGTGACTGAATTGTAAATCATGCAGCATGTTACCGTCAGCATCTAATGCTATGTTTGCTATGATTAGTAGGTTTTTTTTTCAACTTTCGAACAAATTATGTAACTTTAGATTCTAGCGGTCAACTAACTTTGACCTGATAAAATTTTAATAAAAATAAAAAACAAAAAAAAAAAATTATTTCAGTATCATAATGCACAGACAGAAAGCTGTAATTTACCTTATTCAGGTAGGTCTTAAAAGTATATCACTTAAAATGATTTTTAATTTTGTACATTAGCACAAATAAAACTGAAAGTTAATTTTGCGTGTGAAATATACATGGGCCTGTTGGACGAGTTGTGAAGTGTTCATATCTTGGTGACGCGAAACATCCATGTCAATAAATCGGTTAAAATTGTATGACATAACGAACGATATGTGGTGAACAAGACTATGAGCAGTCCTTCCTTTTCGGCGAAGTCAGTGGCATACGTAAAAAAAAAAACGAATAAAAAAATTGATAGTATTTAAGAAGTGAGGTGCACGAAAGGTAGCATTACTCCCAAAGTTCTAAGCAACGCGCCAACATCACTTTTTTTTGCTGATCTTTTTGACTGCCACAACATACTTTGCCAATAGGGAGGGAGTGGTGGAAGTTTAATGGTGAACATGTGCCTTTCTAGCGACCTGTTTTTATTTGAACTTGAACTCTGTATACAATGAGCTCTACTTATTTGGTGAATACCCAAAAATGAACTACCGAAAAGCGCAAGAAAAACTTCCTTTGTTTTGTTTTTGTTTTTGTTTTTTTAAGAACACGGATAGTTTTTGATTCAATTCGATTACTACGGTGACCTTACTTTTACGTATTCAGCCAATGAAACATGCTTTTTGGAAATGTGAAGTCGAGAAAATCCGAGCTAACAGCTGATGTTTATCGCTCATTCGAATCGTCTTTCTATATTCGAGCTCTTCTAAAAGTGCAAAATAGTACTATGATTTAAAACAAATCAAAATAATATAAATATAAATAATATAAAACCAGAGAATAAAAAAGAACTGTTTAATTAAATAGAAATGTTTTTTTGTCCATAACTCACATTTTCTCAAAAATAAAAAACCTGCAAATTATCGATCGCCAGCGAGAAGCGAGGTTAAGGCAACGTTTTGGAAAAACAAAGTCAGGTACAATGCACAAAAATTTCCCATTCTTCCCTTTCACATGTCAGACACAAATTTTAATTGTGGTTATTTCATGGGTATTATCCAGGCACCCGGTCCATGGTGGTGTTTTGTAATCCACACATTATCGATGATTTTTCCTCCCTGTTAAGAGAAAAAAGCACGAGGAAAAAAATTTAACCAAGAATTTTATTTTTTCGTTGTGGACACAGTTTATAAAGTTGGATCATCTAAAACCGATAATTAGGCAAAGGAAACACAACAAAATTGTGCTCCTCCTTTTAGTCAATATTTATCGCCTGTAGGGGGGGGGAAACATTATCACATTATTTTTTAGGGGAACGGACGGGGGATAAGTCGTCGCCAACAGAATACAATGGGGACTATGGAAAATTGACTGCCAATTAACTGGCAATGGGGGGAGGGCCGGGTTTGCAAACGTGAATTGGCCACCGTAGAGGGAACATACAAAGCTAATGCTCGAAATGTCAGCTTTACAATCTCTCTACGGTGGCCAGGTCACTTTATTAAACCAGCTGATTAAAGTATCTTTTACAAAGAAATTGTATTCTTCAACTAACACGATTTGATAAACAGGTGTCGCAGGTGAGTTGTTGAGACGGCCCTGATAAGATGTGGAGAATTGTTTGCAATGCACCCTAATCCTAGCTTGTCAGTGGCATTGCAGGACAGCAGTGAAGTGTATCATCAGCAATTTAAACGAGGAGTGGTAAGGGCAAGACAGCATATTATTTTAAGTAAGCCCATCTTCTATGCAACATAGCATGCACTTCGACCTTCGACCGTTGACCGCAACCAAAGAGTACGCCCACAGGCTCACCTTATCAACACTGACTTGCTCCATATACAGATGCGTTTTGTTGTGAATTTTCATTCTTGTGTAGCCGTAATCCAAGGCCCGATATGCTGTCCATGGACCATACTTTGGCTTAAAAGCATCGTGGTGTTCTTTGCATCCCTGCGGATGTAACTCGTTTGTAAATTTATTTGAATTTAGATTGTATGTTCATCGAGACTGTTAGTTACTTCTTGCCATATGTTTGGCTTCACTCCCGATTTTTAGGGTGATTTGACAATGCATAGTATTTTCTGTAAAATAGTCTTTTCGTATTCAAAGATAGAGCTCATCTTCAGACACGCAATCTCATTAACTTTCCCTCAAAGACCCTTTTCCCTCATTGGTTGAGGCGGTCATCAAGTCAGTGCGTTTGGTGTTACCACCATGCACCACGGTCCTAGTTTCCCGCCCTTCGCCAACGAAACGCAAGCCCGTGAGGATGAGATGAGGCCTATACTCAATAATCATAATGGCAATTCTCGTTATATGAACTATCTGCGTCTCTCAACACTGGGTCTTTAAATAAAACAGAGCGCCTAAAGATTTGGGAGCGTGGAAATAATATTGTTGCTCAGGGAACGAGAACACTGTTTTCATCTGTTAGAATACTTACTTTTATCAGATATAGAATTTGATAAAGAGGAGAACAATTAAAACGCACTTTCATTTTTCATTTTGTGCTAAAATGCAAATTTAGCATGAATTCTTGCAAGTGCCATACCGCTGATCCTGTGATAATGTGAACGGGGGCGCATGGGTTGATGTACGCATTTTCCAAAGGACTCCGACAAAGCTACAACGAAAAAATATTTATCGATTAAGAACGAGAGATGGATAGCAGAAAATAAAACAATACTAAGAGGTTGGCCATTTTATCATTCTATTTTCGAGGGTAAGTTTCTAAAGAAACTGTGTTGCTGCGTCGGTGGGAGAGTCTAACAAGATAATTTGGTAATATCAGCTAAGTTGATAACTCAGATTGGCCACTGTGAACAGTTTAAAAGCTGACGTTTCGAGCGTCAGCGCTTTCGTCAAAGCGATGGACGAAGGGCTAACGCTCGAAACACCAGCTTTTAAACTCTTTACGGTGGGCAATTTACGTTATCAACTCATTTGATAAAACTAAATTACCCTCTTTTTATTTTCGCTCAGGGTGGATGTACAGCGGTGGTACAATAAAAATTACCCAAGAATAACTTTGTTATGTGTCTGTTGAGTTTTGGAACACAGAAGATGCTTAAATAACGTGAAAAAAAATCGGTGACTCTCTCGCCAGTGACTTGTTTGCCACTTTTCCTCGAACCGCAATTTACGTCATTTGTGATCTTGAACTATACAAACAAACAAACAAACGGCAAAATGGAAGCTTACCTTTCGATTGTAAACAGGATAAAGTCTTTCGTAAGAATGTTCATGAGCCCACACCATTAGATCAACACCTGAAGTTTAACGAGATAATAACATTTTTTATGTTTCCACATAACGAGAACGAATCAATCGTCTTTTTCTATTGGTGGGAAAATAAAATTTACCCACCGTACTTATAGAAAAGATCCTCCAGTCCATATTTTGAATTTAGACCAGTACGAACCTTGGAAAAAATACATAATATTAATAGTTATTCAGTGTTGATAGAAAAATATGAATTACCGTTTAAACAAATTTTATTACATATTTTTTTTAAATTTGTGTTTCTGCCAGCGTTGCAATCAAACTTTTTCAGCTACCGAAGACTGCAACTCCTAACAGTTGATGTATGGTATGTAAAGTTGGATATATGGAAGGCGAGAGGTTGCTCGAATTTCTTCCATATGAGCTCCGAAAGTGATCCTTTTGTGCAAGGTGGCAAAAACTTGCAACAACTGAACGCAATGAATGTTGTGTAGCTACACCAAACTATAAATGCTGCTAAATTGATAACACCGAGAGTAGAAATTTACACTACTAACAAAGTCTGGTTCAGGAATTCAGGGTGAAAAATAATGCAAATTCACGCTACATTGCGAAAATTACAGGAAGCATATAAACAAATTAAACAAAAACTCCAAGTTAAGCGAGATAAGAGTACTTGCTAACATCTAAGAGTACTCTTTCCGGTTTTACATCAGCTCTCTGAAATAAAAAAAACTTACCTTGCTTTCGTTCTGAGTGCAGTCATCACCATCAGCATTTGAACAATACATTGGCCTGTGACCCATCGTAATAATCCACGGACGTTTGGCTCGATTACTTTTCTTTGTTGCTTCCTGTTAAGTCAATTACAAATTTAAACTTAAGGTTTTAAAACATGTGTCTGTCTCCGTTCTCATAAGAAGACGGGGTTTCAGTGTCGAATTAGAATGTGGTAGTTTCCTGGATGCTTATCTATTAATTATTATTATTACCATCATCATCATTATTATTATCATTATTTAGTATCATATTATGGTTAGGATAAAATGTATTGGTATCATTATCATTAATATTTAGTATTATATCATCATGATTATTTATATTATCATTTTTTCTGAATTTGGTGGGAACGATTATAAACAGATCGATTCTTGGCAGTCAAAGACCAGTGGAGGGGAAGAATGCAAGTCATATTATGTGACGCACGACAAACATGTCGAAGATCCTTCACGTTTTAAAACACTCTAAAAAAACAATTTTCACCTTAAGATCAGCCTCTAACCACTTGTACTGATTTGCGATCTGTTCAGATCCATACTCGCGGTAAAAGAAGTAGAATTCCGTGGAAATACTTATTATATGAGCTGGACCAATGTTCCAGCTACAAAAAAAAAGGAAAAAAATCACATATATAGACAAGCTGAGTAAAATTTGAACTCGAACCTTAACCGTACCTGTAAAACATGTCATCAGACGGCATGGAAAACCTGTTTTTGTAGTTTGAAAAATTGCTGCAAGAAAAGGACACAGTAAGGAGGAAAGAGAGTACAGATACATGTAACAGTCTTTCACAATTTAATTCCGTTACTTGTTTTAATTTTGTAACGTAACCTTTGTCTCAAGGAGATGCGTCAAATTATAGTCTTTGAGTTTATTAAACATCGCCAAAGTAGGAACATACCGAACCAAGAGATTATAATTTCTTGATCACACCAAGAGATTATAAATTCTCTCGATCAAACAAGGTCAAAAATAGTCAAGGATTGAAAAGAAAAACACAAATTGAAAACATTGTCTTCAACTGATTCTCAGGGCTTTTTACCTTGCTCTCTCGCTCTAGGAACGAGATTGTTAACACGTACTTTCTCTTACAATATCAATACATTATCCAGCTGGACTGGAGGCAGCTCGCACGCCACGTGACTTACTAGGCAGTTTCATGGTTCCCGGGACACGTCATGTACGGAATTCGAGCTGCAATTGGTTGAATTTGATTCATGAATTTGTCACCAATCCGTGCATTGTCCTAGAAATAAAGTCAATGTCATTCAAATAATTAACCAGAAAATCAGACTTAGACCAGAAACTGATAGAAGTACAAAAAGTGAAAACAGACTTGGTGTTCTACTAATTCTGATTAGCCTTGGAAGTTCTTGCGTTTCTTTTTGTGGGTGGTGCATACGTGTATCGTCTGATGAATAGCTAATGAGAGAGCCGGAATAAAAGACCACGTGATCTGATTTTGGTGACTGAATCAATCAGCCGTCTTGAGTTTCAGTCCTGACATCTGATTGGCCAGACACCGGCTGTTCTCTTTTTTCTTGTGTTGTCATTAGCCAATGAGTCGCAGAGCCATTACTATAGCCTGTAAGTATCAATCTCTGGGGTTGATCATATCTTTCCCAGACCCTATTTAGAAAGTCATCATTTTCACTCTACGTCTTTTGCAATATTCACATTTAGATACTTACCGAGTCCATGTTATAAGCAAAATCACCTATGTTGAAGAAGAACAACAATATACGAATACTAAGTAACTCCTCCCGATAAAAAATACCTGTATTAAGCTATTGCGTGATATGGCTTGTATAATTGTTCAAGAGGGATGTGTAACTAAACGAGGTATAAGGTTTTATTGTCGGTGCAAGAGAAACCAAAATATTTACGCATCATTTTCCTGCTTTTTTCCCTCTCGTTTAGTGGGACAGTCTGTGATCAACATTTCGTCCATTCTCATTCTCTCCTACGCTTCCAAAAAATTATTATCTAAGGTTTTATCTCGGATCTTATTGTTGTGACAACATACTCCGAGAGATTTTCTAGTTTAAGGATAATTCTTAGCTCATGACAGTGATAACGACGATAATGACGATGATGAAGTTTATGACTAATCAAGTTTAGTTTTGATTTGTGAAAATACATTAAATCACTCTTTTTACTCGCTTAAAATTACACTCGAATAACCCAATGGCGCAAAAAGTATAAAAATATGCTCACCAACATGCAATATAACATCAAAGTTTCCATTTAAAGCTTCGGATGTAAGCAATGAAAGTGACTGTCCGTCTGTTCCCATATCTCCGTACAAAGCTATGCGCGGGCTCCAATCCTCCCCACTCCTGAGAGTCTTGAAGGTGTACACCTCACTCCAGAGGTCGTCCCCTCCACAGCGGTAATCTAGAATAAAATTAATCATCCAACCCATGTGAGAAAATTGTGTATCGGCAGCTAATAGTTAATGATGACCTTGAGAGAGTAAAAAAATGGTCTTGTGGAGTCTTGCTAGCTCCCAGAACCTCCAAACAAATTGTTTGAAAGGGTAGGGCAATATCAGCATATGACTGGCCAGTAACCGAATTTTAAGAAATAATCTATGACCGGCCGTATATATTTCTCATTCTCCAAAAACAGGGCTTCCTTGAAATGCCGAGGCAATAACGTCGTACTTCGAAGGTTTGTCTGACGTCCGATCGTTATCCTGCATCCATTCAAACAATCATCATGAAATTCCAAAACGCAATTCATCTAATATTAGGAGATAAAAAAACTGTATTCAAATCGTTTGTTATCATCACACGTGGAATTTTCTTTTTCAACGTTTCAAAATAACCTAAAAAATTGTATAAGAAAAAAGCCGAGGAAAATGAAAGGCTTATTTTAACGAACATGTGCGCAGATTCTGATATTTGCTCAAATTTAGAAGTTCAATGCAAGTTCAAGTTCAGTCTTCTCTTCCTTCCAGCATACGCGGCGATCGAACTCTAAAGAGAGGGGGAAGGGAGGGGAGGGAGGGAGTGGAGAAGAGGGGGAAGGGAGGGGAGGGGAGAAGAGGGAAGGGGAGAGGAGGGGGGGAGGGGAGAAGAGGGAAGGGGAGAGGAAGGGGAGGGGATGGGAGGGGGAGCTTGGAAGATCTGGTAACTACAAGAATATCAGAATGACTAATAAGCTTCCAAACATTTTCCAGTAAGGGTGGTTACTACCGGCTAATAGTCTCCTTTCGTGAATGTAAGATGAATAAATTTACCCACCATACGACTGATCTGGTTTAAGTCCTGTAAGTTTGGTCCTGTGTATGTACAGCACTCGATGCAACCATCCGCCATCTTTGAATTTCGTCATGGTGCCTGCAGCGTTAAATCTGAGTGGCTCACCGTGAACATTGTACTCAACGGTGTGGTTTACTGTGGGACTGAATGTCACCCACGTGACCATCATTTCAGTTAGGTCACCTGCGCAATATAAATTCCAATGATGAAAACTAGGTCATTATCATTCGAATGGTCTTCGACACCTCACATAAATTGAATGCTAAGCTAATTAAAATCAGGTCAGCACTGAGCTTAATTACTCCCTATAAGCGTCCTTTCAAAGAGTATAACAGGGGGAATCTTTCTCATAGCCTAAGACTTTTATAGCCGGATTGCGACTCTACACAAGAAAAAGAGGTGCCTGCAATGTAAGGCCTGTTTATTTGTTTTTGGGCCATGCTTCCTTTAATAGAAACATCTGACTCGTAGAGTCTTGGGATCAAGAAACCAAAAATTGACCTTTATTGGGTAAAAATAACTGACCAATCAGAGGCGCTATTTATACAAAAGCGGTGGTTCAAAACAGAAACAAACGACCGTGTTGCATCAAGGTTGGAAATGGGCCTTTAAGTAATTATGCCTCTTATCAATTTTTTTTCCAAGTTTTTAAGTCCGGAAACAAACTCTGTAAGAGGTGTATTTCTATTCATTCGATTCCAATAATACTGTGAATGTCAAATCGATAAATATATATCGTAATTGTCGTGTGTCATAATGATATTGGCAACCTCGCGAGACCTCTCCTCAGAAAGCATCAGTTAATTCCTAAAAGGCACACACGAAGAATATAAGCGTAAACATGTTGTCACGACTGAGCATCAACGGAGCGGAGCCATTAATTTATCAGTGGGTAAAATTGGTATGAGAAAAATGTCACCTGTCGCTAATTTTGAAAGGAATTTTGTTTTCCAACCATAAGACAAAAATAGTTATAGATGCAAAGCTGAAAAAAAACATTACGAAATGGTCATAGCGATATAAAAACAATCTATCGTTGCCGTTCAGTCTTGTGTGCTGTTAATATTAATGAAAGTATTGGATACCTAAAATAATGCAGAGACAGTGAACGTTTCATTTTCATTCAGTTTGTGCATCATTTTGTACAGTAACGTATGAAATATAAAGGACTGGTTTTAGACAAATCTTGAAATCGCGTGCAGGATGAACGACAGGAAGGGTCAATTGTCGCGTCAATCGAAATAACGCCGTTAAAACCACAGGCGACCCAAGCTCACGTCGGGGGGGAAGCACACGATTAATTCATGAAAGCGTCACGCGTTGTGTGACACGGTGTTAAGTTACGGGAGGAACCGTTGAGGATTTTAACACGTTACATGGAGTTGTATGGGGAACGAAATATGGTCGATTAACAATGATAAATATTTGAAATATGAACATTCTACACGTAAAATCAATAGAACTTACTCACATATTATGTGTTCGTGGCAGCTTCCTGCGATTTCTGTGCGGTCAATTTTCTCTTTACCTCGAGTAATGCGGAGTGAGTAAACTAAGGCAAAGGTTCAAGATAAATAACCTAGGATTTTGGGGATTGATAGTTTCTTTTTAAATCACGGGCGAAAAGCTTTTATTAATACAGAACAAATTTTCAAGTGCGAACCTTAGCTTTTGGAAATTTTGACCAGTTCCAAGGGGAAACTGCGACGGACACACCAGATGTGAGTAAATTTCATTGATTTTACATGTAGAATGTTCATATTTTAAAATATTTATCGTTGTAAATCGACCATATTTCGTACCCCATACTATTCCTTATAATGTGTTAAAATTCTCAACAGTTCCTCTTGTAACTTATCAACGAATTACACAACACGTGACGCTTTTATGAATTAATCGTTTGCTTTTTCTCGAGACGTGAGCTTGGGCCACCTGTGTTGAAACCGTGTACCACGCTAGCACATTAAGTCTGAATCTGGGTCATTGAACATCGTTTTAGATCACATGGCACGTGGTGGGAAGACTAATAGTGAAAAATCAAGGACCAAATAAACACAAATACTCGACGTGAAAAAACGAATAGCGTTGACTTACATCGTGCAACTCTTATGAGAAAAATTCGAGGTATTTACCTTCTGCTTAATTTTTTAATTTTCCTGGTGCGATTACATTCCAAAATTAGTGATACGAATTACGATTACTAAACATTAACAAAAGAAAAAATGTTCGAGCGTGACTCGCGTCACACTAACGAAACGTTCGAGCGCGACTCGCGTCACAACAACGAGGCGCGCAATAACAATACAATATCAGCTGCATGTAGAATCAGCCATAAAATTTTATTGTAACATCATGAAAAATAACTCCACATTTCCATTCAATAGCAAGACATAATTTCAATTCTTTTGGCCTAAATTCCAAAACTGATCTCCTAGCGTTTAGAGACATTTTCCACTGTAATAAACGGAACTCGCATTGTTTTTGATATCAAAATATCGGATGAACATTTTTCAGCGGAGAAAGCGATCCATATTATGATAAATCGCAAGTTGATTTATTTAAATCAGTTTTCTTGAAATTTTTGTGGCCGGTAACATTGCAATCCTGAAGATGCGATATACTGGGCAAAATTTCGTCGAGCGGCCCCTTAATTATCAGAGGGAAGTAACTGAATTTTTTCCCAGTTCACTTTACAAGATGAATATTAGCTCTCTTTACCGTACCTGTACAAGCGAGGCTAATTTGCTCCGGTTGAAAAGGATTCAAGCCCAATTCTAGGAAATAAAACGCACCAAACAGAACCAATCCAGTGATGCACGTCAATAAGACCGCGAAGTAATCAAGGAAAGACATCGGTGACGCTGGTTTGAATTGACAGGCTGTCATGCCTCACATTTTTAAAAATCTTCACAAATCGAAGGTAGTGCTTTTTTCACGTAATTCTTTTCCCATCAGGTCATTTCGCTACTAAAACTGGCTCAGTATTGAGAACTCTTTGACCCTTAAGAGTAACAATCATCTAATTCTCCTTACAGTTTCAGCCTTTATTAACACATTAAGGTCATGAGAATAAGAGAACTGATCAGTTACTCAAGATGCTATTGATTTTAAAGAAATTCTCCTTGCTAGCACCTTAGGGAATGTATTGAGATCGGTATAGAGAATATGCACACTGATGTAAGGGTGTAATGGGTAAGACTGGAACAAGAATCACGTGGTACAGCAGAGTTCGCGCGTAATTTTTTAGTGTAATCTGAAAAAGAAAAAGATCCAAAGAAAAACGTCTATCGAGCAGGCCTGGCACCCAGCATATAACTGTGACACGATGTCAAAATTCATTCCTGCGTGGGACACATATCTTAAATGCGATCAATGTCCACGTTTTACATGTGATCAGAACGTGGCTGAGGCCAGTGGTATGATTGTGGCGTGATATTTTTTATCTGAACTTCTTGGCGATTCCCGAAGTCGCTTGCTCTCCGCTAGCTAGTTCTTCGGAACACTGTGGAGCGGCCTGTTGCTAAAAAAGAGCGCTTTCTGTGTAAAGAAGCAGGAAAAAAGCATAAAGTAATCGTATAATATTGTATTGTTTACTTTTAGCGCAAATTGATTAGGATGCCTATATTTGATGATGTTGAGAACCTACAGATATATTTGTATAGATTCTTTGCAACACTTTCATTTACCATTATAAGTTTTAAGCCTTAATATCAAGCTGGTCCGTAACTTGGGCTGCGATACGAAAATTTACGTGGAGGAAAAAAAAGAAATCAAAGCTCATTAACCGTAAAATGTGCGCAAAGCGCTAACTGGCTGCGCGCGAGACTTTCAACTCCCGCTTGAGCCTTTGACTTAGTCTGACCTAAATATAGTACTGCAGCAAAACGCAAAACAAGGACTTCCAAATTATTCCTCCCTAATGCGTAGTTTTTCAAAGCGACTCGCTATCTTAATCTTTTGAGGGAGATCCAAATCGTTCCTTCCCTTTTTAAATCAAAGTTTTTAAATTAAATATGTAGCAATGGAAAAAATACATGTAATCACTCATACGATTTAGAATAATAGTGCTGGATTCTATTAACTCGACAGCTGATTGGTTGGCGAATGATTATGCCGTAGATTTAAACCAATCACAGTCTTATTTTGTTGACTCAAAATAACTCATTTTACGCAGAGAGGATCTAGTAAGTTTTGATCATAAAGTGCGCACAGTTTTGCTTAGAATTTAAGCCGGTTAAAATTTACTTAATAAGTGAGAAAGCGCCATAAATGACGACTTGTCGACATTCATGAACAATACCATTCCAGAAATATCCAGCAGCATAACTATAATAATGGCGTGAAACGTTTTTTTAATGCTTATTTGTATAGAGAGGGCTCAAGAATTGATCAATGCTAAAGATGATTCACTTTTTATAGACCATTTAAGGTTTCTTTTCGCTGAAATCCTGTAGTCCGTTTTGGCGTATGTAATAGATACTAATTCTTGTTTAGTTTGGTTCAACAGTGTCCGGGACCACGTCATATTCCAGAGCGAAGGATCATCAGTTTCATACCATACGAGAATACATGATTGAATTATGTAATGCCTTTCTTTGGTTCCGTTTCCGACGTAAAATGTTTGTTGACGTCTTAAAGCAGATTGCCTGAAGTCAGTCAAATCATAGTGTTACGTGCGTTTTGCTTTAAAGGCCGGCACCCATTATGACTATCATTGCTATTTATTAGTTTGGTTCTTCACGTTGAAAATCAATTCAGTTTTGGCTTACCTGTGCAAGCAAGGCTGATTTGTTCCGGCTTTAAAGATCCCGCTTCAAAAAAAATAGATAAGTCCAAACAGAAGTATTCCAGTTCCGCACGCTAGAAGGTTTTTGATTCTATCGATAGACTTTTGAAATGCGTGTGGCCACTGATATGCATTCGTTAACACTTTTCCTGGACCAGCTGTGCAACCGGTTTTCGCTCAGCGTGCGCATATAGCGTTAGAAATAAACGGAAAAGGGGCTAGTCGAAGAGCGAAAGTGTAAGGTAAAAATGTAGAAGGCCAGTAACTTTCGACTGTCGTTTCCCTAATGGTTGCGTGTCGCGTGTTTTAAGTTCTTGAGGCCCAAGCTTATTTTATGTTTTCAAAAAGTAACACCTTCTTGGTAAATTTCTCGATATTAACAATCCAAGGGAATTCCCAATCTAACTTCAGATGCCAGAACTTTTTAAACTCGACTCTAGACACGGTGTCCAGAAAATTTACTTTTAATCGGATGTAGCTGGGCAGAGTTAAGATACTAGGCAAAAGAAAGTTACAACTAATTTTAATATCGGATACCACATACCTTTTTCAGGTACAGGTGAATTTCTTTGAGGTACGCTGGCAAACATCACAACGCTTGACAGTTTCATCGCAGTCTTCTAACACTCTAGCCCAATAATACCGAGATGTAACCTGGAAGAACAACAGGAGCACAACAGTTAATAACTGACAAAGTAAATCGTCTCCACAATTTAAAAGTTCAAGACAAGTAGCATTGAATTTTGTACAAACCTTTTCTCTCGTCTTGTCACGGCCGAAGTGCCCAGCAAGTTTGTCAGAGTGACAAGCTCTCAGTATCTTCTGCTGCTCGTCTTGGCAATGAACCCATCTTTTAGGCTCACCTTTTTCTGGCCAATGAAATAAAGCGCACCATCTTCAAGAACATATTTTAGCGCTTTCTTGCGCAGTTTTTCTTTTGGTCTTTCGAAAAATCGATCGGATATTCGTTATCGCGGAGATAGTTAAAGACTTCGTTGTACGTTTTCGTTTCGGCCATCGTTCATGGAATGAATCATAAAAGTAATGATAACACTTGTGGAATTGAGTGCCCTTTTATACATAGCGAAGACAATAAAAGTAAAATAAAACCTTTGCAGTAGGCGGAGAAACTAAACTTTATTGTGCTGCACACAGTAACAATAACATAAATGAATAATTGCTGTAACACGTTCCACGCTTATTAACATTTCTATATATCAAGACAATGTAATTATCGTCTAAAAGCGACCTATTGTCTAGTACATGTTTATCACTTCATACCGATAATTTGTTAACATTCGACTAGACAAAAAACAATATCAATAAATAAGTTTAACTAAATGAGTTAAACCGTTTTTATATTTGCTCTATCAGTTAGTAAGTTGTGAAACATTTTATAACCGCACTGAAAATAACTTTTTTATGGTCGGTGCTTAACAGACCAAGCGCAACACTAACTATAACTTTTACGCGTTAAAGAGTATTATGAGAACGTTTGATTCAAAGTTACACACTTGCGGTACATAAAGACACGCTTTTCAAGGCTTCTGGTGAAAAGCGCTAGATTTCAAAAAGAAAAGAATCTAGACGAGAAAAAAGATTAAAAAGAAAAGGAAAGAAAACAATGTAATTAGAATATAGCGGTGTCTTATTGTCTATCATCTACTTTTTGTTAATTCACCCTACCAAACACTCTGTTTTTAACTTGACAAGAGCCTTAAAAAAGACTTGAAGTTTAACTTAATTACTTTCATTCAAGAGGTAAGTAGCAAGTAGCACAAACGCAACGCGATGTTTATTTAACGGTGCGCCTAAAATAACATCATAACAGAATAACTTAATAAAGAAGTAAATTGTTCAACCGTATAAAATTAAAGTAGGCGGAGCAACGCATATCAGTTGAGGAAAACGAACAGCGAATTCCCGATTCTTTCGAACCTTCGTGAAAATAAAGCTTAATTCGAGAAATTGCGTTGACTAAAGGCTTTTTGTTGAAGTTGTCGGAAGTTTAGAAGTCGAGATTTGAGCAATCGGTATTTCACAAAACCAAAAAAAAAAAAAACAATCATAATTGAAGCTTTCACGCATTCAACGGTTGTTATTATTTTATATTTCACACTTTTTCAAGAGAACTGGCAAACAAACAAATGATTTCAAAATTTACGTTTCATTTTCATTCCAGAGGTAAACAACAGACTTACAGCTGCAGGTTAATTAAACGAAAACCTTAAATTGAGACGCAATGCTGAGAAAAAGATCACGTCTACGAGAATGTTTTAAAATAAAACCTACTTTCTGAAAAAAAAACTTTCTTTGAAAGCCTACTTTCTAAATTTTTATTATTTCTATTAGGAAGTTATGTATGGTAATGTTTTTACTCAGTTTTGTTAAAGGGGTCCAAATCCGCGGAGGGGAGTCCAAATCCGCTAGCGGATATGGACCCCGGGGGTCCAATTCTAGGGGGGTCCAAATCCGCTGGGACACCGGCACCCATTATGACTATCATTGCTATTTATTAGTTTGGTTCTTCACGTTGAAAATCAATTCAGTTTTGGCTTACCTGTGCAAGCAAGGCTGATTTGTTCCGGCTTTAAAGATCCCGCTTCAAAAAAATAGATAAGTCCAAACAGAAGTATTCCAGTTCCGCACGCTAGAAGGTTTTTTTGATTCTATCGATAGACTTTTGAAATGCGTGTGGCCACTGATATGCATTCGTTAACACTTTTCCTGGACCAGCTGTGCAACCGGTTTTCGCTCAGCGTGCGCATATAGCGTTAGAAATAAACGGAAAAGGGGCTAATCGAAGAGCGAAAGTGTAAGGTAATGTCGAAGGCCAGTAACTTTCTCCCGATTCTCCCGATTTCCTCAATGAGCTGCTGTCTTATGTATCTTAGCTTTCTAAAATGTTTGCGAATAATTGTGTAAATCCCGAGAAGCGTGGTTTGGTTCAATCGCAGACTCAGATAGATATTACAATCGGAGGCTTCTGGTGAACTTTTGAAGCCGACGAAATCGTAAAAATAAATAACCGCATTCAAAGCCGAAACAATGGTCTCTTCACTTCATGTTCTGGAATACTTTTGTTTGATTTAGCACTGATCGCTCTCTACTCTGCCAAGGTTCTGTTTACTATGTTTACTCTCAAGAAGCAAGAGTTGCTGTTTTACTCAGGTGGTTCTCTCGTGCTCTCCGTGAAGGTCCATCATAGATCGATATCCGTTTTATTAAATTTAACATTCTACTGCAAATGAAATTCAAATTCACATCGGCTCAAGGAGGCCGTGATAGCCCATATCGCTTGCACAAAGTAGGAAGTCCATGTAGACCTCGCTCGATATATTGGGATGCGAACGAAGGAAACTGGGCTGATTGTATGAAGTCGAGGCCTTTTATTCCCGTGGGTTTGAAAACATATATAATACCGTAGTGGCTCGATTTAGCGCCTGGGCGTTTATCTGCTCATGGTACCTAACGGAAGGGCCCTTATTAGGGACAGGGAGCTTATTTCTCTTTTGAGAAACAGCAGAATGTGCGAAACAAAGCTTTATTGCTGCTTTGAAAAGGAATAATAGCAGAAACTATAAAAGTAACATATTCACTTAACATGGTGGGAAATTTTGAAAATCACTAGTCATAAAAGTTGAGACTGAAACGAAGACCACTGTTTTTGTAATTAGGTTTCAAGTGAGCAATTAAGGGAAGATGAACACGGTTGATCTCAATGAACAAGTACTCTAACATTGCGATCACTGAAATAAAATAGGTGTGCTAATTGGAATTGAGGCTCTCTTTGGAAGGAGGGTACTTACGCAATGGGGCGCTTATTAGAATAGGGGCGCCTACTGACAAAAAACTTCGAAGGCGGGACTCTTATTAAAGAGTAGAGCTTATTGGAACGAGGGCGCTAAATCGAATCATTACGATAATACTAAACGTCAACACTTCATTTGATCTCAATCAGTATCGTTCACTATCCTAATCAAAGAAATACATTTTAAAAGGAAAAACTTCAATATACAGTCCAACCTCGAAATCTCGATTAAAATGGTTGCGTATTTAAAAACAGTTGAACTATTCTGCTGAGGAAAAGCAAAAGCACTTGACACAGAATAAAAGTAATCGATTTAAAGACATCACCCACTCAAGACGCATAATGATTTGTTTATTAGTTTGTCAATTCTTTGCTTCAACTCTCAAGTGTCAGAGAATTTCTTGAAACGGTCAAAAAGGAGGCTCTTTTCTTTAAGACAGCATTTTGACAAATTCTGAAATGAATAAATGAAAGCAAATAAACTTTGATTATCGCTGGAAAGAGATTTCATGATATAATATTCAGTGTAGATCAAACTCAGTGAATTTTAAAGGGAAAACAGAAGTTTGAATGATTAGATTCAATATTTAACTTGCATGCGAATGTAATGAGAGAAGCGAAGACGAAAATTTTCGAATTGTTTGCTACGAAGAGATCGCGAGGAGATTCCAAGGAAGCAAACATGAATAGGTATATAATGTATATATGCAAGTTTTCCTTATAACTCCGAAAATTAGTTATTTAGTAATTCTCCTTACTGTCGGCCTTAAAATTCCTATGATGTTAGTTCAGGGAATTTGGTATTCGATCAACTTGTAATCCTCTAATTGTTACTTTCCTTTATTCTTATCACCTGTCTGCTTGATATTGTATTGATATTGTCGGGCGAAATTCTGTGTTGGTCACTATGGGAGTTAAAGGGTTAACATCGATCCTTTGCCAAAAATAACCTAGCCGAGCATGGACAGCTGATTATGTTGTGACTCACAGAGGAAACATATTGAAAAACAATTGTTGTTTTTTATTTCGTTGTAAACTTACATAAAGAGTGACTCGTACCTTCAAAGTTGATTTTCCCATTTTTTTTGGTGTCTGCATAATCAACCAGTGCATCAATCTCTCTCCTCGTCAGCCGCACGGGGACTCTGTTCAATAAGCATCTCAATTCCCCTGACTCAATGATCCCTTTACCAGCTTCATCCCAGATACTGAACAACTCCAGGAGCTCGGACTGGGTTTCCTGTGCAATTTTCTTCTGCATTAGGACACAGAATTCCTCAAAATCCACTGCACCACTTCCTGTGGTGAAAGAGGACAAGAAAAAATTTAATTTTTCAGTTTGGTTGCTTTTGTTCCTTTGTCAACAAATTCGAAATCTTGTTGTTCTGAGAAGCTTAAAACGACTCAATACATGTTCATTCGGTGACGGTGGAATTTGAACAATAAAGTTGAGTCAGACTGTAAAGCGGTTAGACTCAGTTACTTCTACCGCGCTTGGAAGGCGTCAATTAACAATTAAAACCGAGAGGGACAAGGTCGAACAGGAAAAGGCCGGGAAAACATAAGGGGGGGGGGGGGTGTGGCTCATTATCTCATTCCTCAGCATTTCGCCATCCTATAACCCCTCTTCATTTACCCTGCAACGTTCGCGAGCTCAAAACTGTAAATCTTCCTCTTTTATAGGAAGGAGTTTATTAATTTCTGAGGAAACTCTTGTGGTCCATCTTGGGGTAAGAGAAAGACTGAATTAACCATCAATTAAAGATTAATTGGCGTCCCTTTGATGAATGGCTGATATCGAAAAGTCACCTTTCCCATTTCCAATCGGTACTAAAAAAAAACCTTTTAAAACGAGTGACAAGATCACTATTTGGTGTCTCAGTAGTTTTCCATTATTGTGGCATACACAGGAATAACACTAAAACAATAAGAAATACTTCAAACAAATTTATCATGATTGAAGACCCCATTAGGCGGCAGAGGCGGAGCCAGGATTTTTCAAAAGGGGGTGGAGGATCACATTGTGTCAAACAGAGTGTATTCACCTGATTTTCATGTCGACCTCCAGGCAGTTTTTTACCTGATTCGGCAAAAAAAGGCTAATAAAGGGAAAGTAACGAGCGGCCCAGAGCCCTCCCCACTGGCTAGGCCCACGGGCAGGAGGAGAAAACAATTTGACTACGAGTATTTCCAAGAAGGATCGACGTGTTAACCCAAGGTCTACCCGTAAAAAGAAATTCCTTACTAGTCAGAAAAGGACTCGAACCCGGGATCTCCAAATGCGAATCCAACCCGTTCGCCAAACGACCCCGTGTTAAATTGCCTCAACACTGTCAAGAGAATATCATCTTTCAGTTGATGATAAATTAAGTTCTCCCTAATAAGACCCTCCACTGAGGGCCAGACGGGTCTCATTCTTTGGGGATGGGTCCAAAAACATCCTTCTACAAGAATTAGCCTGAGGTAGACACTTACCATCCGCGTCCACCTCTCTGATCATTTCATTCAGTTGTTCCTGGTCTGAACTCAACCCCAGTCTCTCCATGACTGTTTGGAGCTCGCTTGTGGTGATGGTACCATCTCCATCGTGATCAAATAAGGAAAACGCCTCGCGAAACTCTACAAAACACAGAGCAACTCTTCATTTGCTTCAAATGGATGTTATGCGAAAACAAAAGCAACCAAATTGACCAATCAGCATGTATGAATAATCCTGTTTTCAGTCTTGTAAGGAAATAGTACTGATGACAATTCGCTCACAGTCGGACTGATGTAAAAGAAAATGCTGGGTCACGCAGAACTTCTGAAAAATGTATTTGTAGAGTTCCTTTTTTTTTTACCTGAAATCACTTCTGAGGAAAGTTCACCCTGTGAAAAAAAAAATCACAATTTTAAGTAACAACTATGCGTCATTAGACACCCCAACGGTTATCTACTCTTTAGAATTTCTGATACCGCGCTTTATCAAGACAAAATTCACCGACAGCATTTACTATAAATCACTTGTAAACATTTGGTGTCACATAAATGTGTTTGAACTTTCTATATCTTGCTGTTTTAAAATAAATATCCAAAAATACTGCGGATCACCAAGTTGTGCCACACTTGATGTTCTATGTACTCGTAATTTTCCTCGAATAAACACCTCATTCTTCCGATTGGATATGGCGTTATTTTTTTCCACGGCTCCATCTGCAGCGTTTGAGTATGAACGGTAAAAATAGAGTTTTACAAAATAATTTGAAGGAGTTTCTCTTTCACAAAACTTTTTAAACAAAACGAAGCATTGAAAAAAGAAAGGTAGTGAAATATACATGTAGCAATCTATTTTTTCTCAAGCACTTATTACACTGGCTCTAAGCTAAAATCGTGCCCGAGCCAGGAGCGAAACCGGGTTACAACCTGAAGCTCACGTATTATGACAATACAATACAATACAATAGATTCCTTCCCCACCCCCCGATAAAAGAAACTCTCTGGCTAGTTCGGATTGATAGCGCTAAGCCGGCTTTCAAAACTAGCCGTCACAAATAATCCCTCACTTGATTTGAAAACGAATATTTGACAATTTCCTCGGTGTTAAATTTTCTGTGGGGCTTTCACATCCCACCTTACTATGTAATAATTATCGTCAAACATCCCCGAACCTGAATTGTCTTCGGCTGTTGAAGCGATGAAATGAATTTAGAAACACGAGATTGCAAGTTACAAGCTCAAAGGTTTGCTAGTGATAGCAATGCATTTTCTTTCTTCATATGTACACTTATCGAATTAATTAGCGCCATTTCGGCCTGGTAGTATTGTGTTCACCGAAATAATTAAAAAGCTTCGATGTAACAGCTCGACGACAACCCGAGACAACGCTATGGATAAGGTAAACGTTGCCAGATTCAAGCTATACCCGGACTTTGTTCAAGAAACCTGCTCTGAGCGGCTGCCATTTCAGTTTCATAATCTCTGCCGCCACTTGAAGATGCATGCATAATCCTTTACCGCAAACAGCTCATAGCTCATACACATGTAGACTTCTTTACCCTTTTACATTCTCAATAGACCAAAATACTTCAGTTATTTTTACAATTTCTTACCCCATCGCTGATTGTCCTAGCTTTGCTGTCCTTTCGAAAACTCATCTTTCGATCTGTTGGCATGTAACGCTTTGTTCGGTTGTCTTTAAAGAATGGTATGTAAATAACTTGAAGTTATTGACTTCTTACTTACCACACAATCCAAATACAATACTCCTGGTCAATATCTGGCCTTTGTGACGTCATCAGTTGTCTTTGTGTTTACTAGCTGCTGCGTTTAGAATCCCGTTATAATCAGACGATAATAATCAGAGGTCAGTTTAATAATACAATTCCATATTTTGTTTGTTGCCACTTGCTCGAAATGGAACACGAATTAACAGCGTAAAAAGTAAGTCATCTCCCTAAGGAATAATTTCTTTTCTTTTTCCTTAATTGCGAGAGGACAAGTCATTATCACTTTTCCTCGCCTGACAGAATGAAGTATTTAGAAAAATAACGGACGTTTGTGTCTACAGCAGTCTTTGCTCTTTAGAAACTCTAGCCCGAATCTTTTCGGCTGCTAATCGCATAGTTGCTGCCTAATTGCTCCTCTGCAGCTTTTTTTTTTTTTTCGCGCTCGATTTCAAATACTGTCAATTAATTTTTTTACCGTTATATCCCGTCAGTAAGAATAAGAACCGTTATATCCCGTCAGTAAGAATAAGAAATATTGAAAAGAAAAAAGAGGAAGACAGGTAAAAAACTGTTAGTTGAACTATGCTAACATGAAATCCTCAGTTGAGAGTTGGATAAATGAGATGATCTAACAAACTTGAACCCTTATGAACTTCCAAGATCTGATTGTTAATTCTCTCCTCTAGCTGCTCCATATTTCCTTGTAAATTGATTAAGAGAATTTGTTGTTCAATCAAGATAATATCTTGTATGGGATGAGTTTGAGCTATCTCATTACCTGTTTGCTGGATAGTGCATGGATATTATAGGGAGAAGTTACATGTTAATCACTTCTGGGAGTCGAAGGGTTAACCTTTTAACCCCAAAGAGTGAGTTGCATCCTATTTCTCCTTACATCATCACCCCTAAATCAAACATTAAGGTCATGAGAATAAAGGACATGATCAACAACTAAAGAAGCTCCTGATTGTTAAACAAATTCTCCTTGTCAGCTCTTAAAGAAATGTATAGAGAAGAGTATAGAGAATATCCATACTGATGTTAGAATGTAAAGGATTAATACATTTTGACATCATATGTGATCTATCACTGAGCAGGTGCACGGTAACATGGAATCATATTTATTTGTTAACCCTCTGACTCCCGAGATCTTTTTAGTAATTCTCCTTACTTTCTGCCAAATGATTCTCATTATGTTAGTTTGGAGAATTTGGTATCGGATCAATTAGTAATCCCATAATTTATATTTGTCTTTATTCTCATCACTTGTCTGCATGATATTGCATAGATATGGTAAAGAGAAATTCTGTCTTGGTCAGTCGGGAGTTAAAGGAGCATATAATATACTGGAATTCCTGGGAATATCTCTTTCAGAAATCTATACTAAGGGAACCTACTATTTGAAAATGTTCCAAGAACCTTTGTCAGTTGTAACCTTCATTAGCCGGACAGCTTTATTTATGAGACTCTTACAATTACTAACCCTGAAGCTTGCTTTAAAAGAGGTTTACTATAAGGCCAGGCATATGAAAGAGCAGGTTAATCGCAGTACAAGAACTTACGAGGGTCGTCTCTGTTTTATTACAATTAATTTGCTAGGCTCTATTGTTTTGGCTGGTTTGCTATCTTTGATCTGCGACACAATTGCGCGCAAGTATGGAACAATGACTTCAGAGTGATTCTGGCATTTAAATTGAGTGATAGTCTGCAGTAGCCTTCAATTTCGTCACAACTACAACTAAAATAAGAGATGAAAATTTATTCATCCACGAAAAAACAAATCTACAAAATACCCCACAAACATAGGCCAAGTGGAGCCATTAAAATAAACAATTCATTCAAATAGAACTTTGCGTAGTAGTAACAGTTTTTCTTCTTCGAAAAACTTTCCAGTCCATCAAGCGTAAACGTTTACTTCATCATCTCGTTGACAAACTCTGCAAAAATTTTAGATGAGATAGCTCAATTAGATAAGACCCCAGTTTTTGACTACTGTATTGACCCTTTGACTCTTAGGAATGACTGGCATCTAATTTCTCCTTACAATATCACCCCTGAATCAAACGTAAAGGTAAAGAGAATAAAGGAAACGATCACCACCAAAGAGGGCTCTTGATTCTAAAACAAATTTTCCATATCAGCACCTTAGGAAACGTTAAGAGAATGTCATACGGAAAATACATATAATGATGTTAGGGTGTAAAGGGCTAACTCGCACGATTCATTCAAATTCAATAATAATAATAATGGTAACTAAACAAATAAAAAGATGAAACGATAAACGTCGGTCATGCGCGAGGATATCAATTTTGGCCCCCCGGGCGCTACTTCCCCACGAGGGAAAACACAAGAAACAACCGTTTTCCCACAAAGAAAGCGAACGAAAATTGAAACGATCATAGAAATCTGTAAAAATTGATGTTGAAAAACATTTTCAGTGCAACAAGAATCTATTACGCTGCGGCGGGCATACGAACAGAGCCTCGCTCCAAAATACCCAGCATGCTAGACGCGCAAAAAAGTAACGCAGAGCGTGACAGAATGACTCTAATCACCGAGGTTCAAATGTTTGACTTTCTAACACTCGCTTCAATAAGGCTACATTACTATGTTTACATTTCTTTCGAAACACTTACTGTCAAAGTTGACCCGTCCATTTCGCTCCATGAACTTGATTATATCCTCTATTTCTTCTTTAGAGATTTTGATGTCTTTGCTTTGTTTTTGCACGGCCATAAGCAGTTTTAGCAGCTCGTCGCTTGTAAAGTATCCCTTGTTTTCGGTGTCGTATGCTTTAAAAGCTTCTCTCACCTCCTGCTCACTTCCTTGCTTCATCTGTTTTACCATGAGTTCTGCAAACTCCTCGAAATCGATCTCTCCACTACCTGTCGGCAGGATTATGAGGCGATCAAATTAAATTTACGCTAGAAATACTGAGGTATCCTCCAATGTCCGTGAAGTCGAACAAGGCCATTGGTTTAGGCGTAATCAGGCGGTTCAGTATAACCCTTGTCGAGTATGTAACCCTAAACTAAAGCCCCATTGAAGGTGTGTGGGGGAAAGGGGAAGGAGCTCCGACCGGCCTGATATCAGTTGAATCCACCCATGGGGTTCAAATCCCCGCTGGTATAGCCCTCAGGGCCCGGAACGGAAGAACCGCAGGTCTCCTAACCACTAGTAGGCTTCTGCTCGAGATGAAGACTTTAGAAACAGCAATAATATCACTGCAGGGAGGAAATTCAAACTTTCTCCTGTTACATTTCACCTTTTTATACCCTCTTTCGGGTATCCCGTAATACTCCCTTCTCGTAGGTTTGATTACCAGCCGCTGTTCGGAGAATGGACCTCCAAACACCCCTCGTGGTTTCCTCTCAAGAGGATCGAAGACCAGACTCAAGAAAACGGCGCGAATCGAGCCATCAGAACATAAAACACAAAATTGGCTTTATAACATAACACTTGACTGGTAAACAAATTGAAATTTAGTGATGGAATGTCTCAAGGTGTTCATTCATCCTCTGCTTCAGTTCAAATTATAATTTGGATATTTGGTCACCTTTATGGACAGAAGAGAAAACAAATGCAACGCAAACTGTTCAGAAAAAACCTCGCAGCATAGCTAGAACCCAACATCATCCTAAGGGCTGGCTGGGATCGACCAAAAGCCACAGTACGGGTGGCAGAAACAGCGTTTTCTCTAGTGTTATCCCAGGTCTGTTCCTCGCCTCTACGATTTGAGCTAAAATGAGACAACGTACGTGTCGCCTGCGGGACAGAGGTAACGCCAGTTCTCACGCACACGTCTTAAAGTTACTTACCATCTTCGTCGACTTCCGACAGCATTTCCTTCACCTCTTCCTTAGTGGCCATCATCCCGAGGTTCTTCATGACGAGAAGCAGCTCATCCGTTGTGATCGTTTCGCTGTTATCAACATCGAAGATCTTGAAGGCTTCTCTGAATTCTGAAGCACAGAAGCACAGGGATTCTATTCAGTTAGTGCGATTAGTGCCATGATCATGTGTTTCGTTCACGCGGTCTACAATACCACTGGTTGTTTTTTTAATCTTACTGCAGCTGTGCGTGACTACCAATAAGTCACTTTATGAAATTGCGAAACAAATCGAAAATTGGTGGAGAAATTGCGTGACAACTCCGCAGTTAGTGGCGAAATTGCGTGACAACTCAACAGTTGATGGAGAAGTTGAGTAACAACACGACAAATGGTTAGGAAGTTGCATGAAAACACGACGATTAACTATCAAGTTGCGTGACGACTCGACATTTGATGATAAGTATGTGTGAAACTCGACAATTGGTGGATGGAACTGCGTGACAAGTCGACATTTCGCGTTTCCATAAACAGAGCTTAAAAACAATTGGCTTTGCCCCCAGGTACCTGATAAGTGCTACTACAAACTGGGCTACAAAGGAACATGTTGGGGGCGAGACAAAACTGTGAGGATTCATTGCTCTGTGTACCAAAATAATGTATGAATTGAGGCACCTTTGACATTCTTTGAATATGAAATAACAAGTAATAATTTATTCTTACAGCTGGGCTACCGTAAGGCATCGAGTATGATTTAATAAGTATAGCAGAAATGACACAGCTTTGACATATCATTAACAACATTGGTATTGAGGTCATGTTTGGGTATACTGCTCATTCTGATCACTGTAACTGTAACAACCGCTCCTCACCACAGGCTGCCCAAGCTCATGTAAAAAATGAACGGAAACGCGACTCTTGCTTACCTTTCAGCTGCTCTGGAGTCAGTGATGCCGACTGAAGCAAATGAAAGAAATGTTAGTTGTACTACAGTGTGATTAAAAAAATTGATCCTTTGTCACGCAACAGAAGTCACACCACGCAACAATAATACAAACTAGCAAGTGTGAATTAAAGCTGTATAATTACTAAGCTTCTAAATCTTTAGACAAACCTAACTTTATGTCTGGTAAACAACAAAAGCAATTTTGCAGAAATAATTAATGAAACTTAAGAAAAACTTGGACGCAGATTGCTTAAAGCTCATTTAATACAACCAGAATCCTTGTGACAGCTACAGCAAAGGTAAATCGAAAATAAAATATCGATCAATCGCATTAATTTTATCACAAGTAACTATTCGGCGATAATTTTCGCGACTTATCTTATGGATACAGGGATTAGACGCTTCTAATTTGTTTGCAATCAAATTTCGGTGTTGTGGAAGTCCTGAGCGTATGAGAAAGGTACGCTTTTCGCTACGTATAATTTGTCAAACCAAGCGGCCACGCGTGATTTTTTACGGTGGATCTGTCTTCCGACTTTTTAATGCTTTCGTCTTATCCGCGATCACAGCGGCACTCGACTAATTACGAAAGCATAAACAGACAAATTTGATCGACATACAAATTCAGTGACTGTGTCGAGTAACTACACTGTACGACCTTTTTCAAAACTACATGGACAGCTCTCCAGAAATCAGAGAGATTTCTTTTTCGAGCTGTTTGAGCACAGACTAGGAAGGATTCAAACGCAGTAAATGCCTGCAAAATGAGAGAAAACACGCCAAATCTACTACAGCTGCATTGTTTACATTCCTGAACTGACCAATGCATTCCGAGAAGTTAAAAGTTTGCTGTTCGCATTGCAGCGGATTGTTTCGCTTGGTGTTTTCCGATCACTGAACCCTCATTATAAGAGTTAATAGTCCAAGAAAAGAAATCAAATCGAATAACATTATTAATGACAAAAGTAAGAATAAAAATTAAGATTCGGAGCGGAAGATTAGTACTGGGCGGTGTATAAACAACCGATGAAGAACATAATTCGGTCTGTTTTGAATTTGGATCTCTCTGATTTGCGGAGATTAATCCTCTACCTCTCCAAATACGAGGATGACGACGACATTTAGCAATAACACTATAATTGTGTTAGTTTAGGGGCTCTACTCATCGGGACTATCGACATACAGCGTCATGTCGAAAACCATGAAACTTTCGGTTGAAAATGACTCAACATTCAACTAACAGCACGCGGGGTCCAAAGTGAGATACGTAAAAAGTCGACAAGTGAGATTCACTTACCATTTTGCTGGTGGACAATTAAACCGATTAACGCTGATTTTCCCAAAAATCGCCGCTATCGCTGAGAGTGAAGCGAGAGAATACAACCCAAGACAGGAACAATGAAATTACAAAAATTCCCAACCCTAATTCTAGGTTATTGTGTTTCAAGCCACGCGATAAATGGATAATTGTTCTGATCACTGGACCGTGCCTTGTATATTGTGTCTCACAGGGGTAGGGGGCGTGTAGGAAATTTGCAAGTTTCAATCCCTTGATCGCTTGAAACAAAAGCCCTTTGTATCTTTAGTTAGTAAAAGACACACTAGAACTGTTATGTGCAAGAAAAATATTCCCCTTTAAGCGGCAGAACCGTAGTCTGTTCGCAAAAACGTGTAAACTATGAGACTTGGACCCGACCCTTCATAAATTTCCATTGTCGCGCAGATATCCTCGAGGTAACGCAATGGCTTTTCTCAAATCTGTTCGTCACATTTCGCCTTTAGTTTGGTTATTCGTCTTTTGCAGACGTGCAGCAATTTACAAACGCAATCACACTTTTTTCCATTGATTTTTTTCTGTTTCTAAATAGCCATATACGATACACCAGAAAACATGTTCAACTTTTCAGTATTCGTGACTCTTAGGACGACAGTATTTTTCAAAACCGATTCAATAGTTTACCATATATAGGCATTAAGTTGGCACAGTTTGCAATGCTACGGAGTTTAGGAAAACGCACAGACTCCGTGCGTGAGACTCCACAGGGGTATTTCTCAGGGGGGAGGGATGGGGAACCAGGGCGGTGTGTTCAAACAAAAGGCTTATTATAAATGCGCTCGAATTAAGAAAGATAAACTAGAAATAATCATGGATCAGCAAAAAGTGCGTTCGATCTAGCGTAGAAATAGATATTTTTTCACCGCGTTAACAAAATCCAGTGAAGCTACGAACATCCAGAACTAAGCGAGTCTGCCCGAGGATAACACTTAGCTAACGAGCCCATTAAGTAATGGGCTCCTGGCCAACAGAATTCACAGCTCTTGTATGATATCGAGGCGAGTGGTCGGCCAGTTTATATGGCGCCCCAAAACTGAAATGGCAGAGCATCCAGAAAGAAGCGACACGTGTACTACGCGTCCTCTTAACTTCGAACGCAATAAATGAATAACATTTTAATACTTTGCTTTTCTGAAATATTTCAGTGCCGCAGGAGTTGCTTAAAGATAGCACATTTCTTTGAAAAGCTGAGTCTCGAATTTTTGTACGAGTCTCAAATTGAATTAGGCAGGGGCGCGCTGTGCCATGCTGTAGTTCAAATGTTGGGCAAAGTGTAGGCCGAGAAAGGCCTGGGTATTAGTTAAAAAAGGTCCTTGACCTGAATATGAGTTATTCTAGACGAAAAAAATCGCAGATCGTTCGATTCGATTCGAACCGAGTCATCAATACTTGGGACTTTTAACTGAACTCTGCACAGCGCACAACGAAAATTTTTTATTTTCAGACAAGGGAAACTTTTTCGGCGACATGAGTCAAGTTCCGACAATTTTACATCAAACGGTCTTGAGGTAGGCCAAGGATTATATATTTATTATTGTTATCATTAAAATTTTAAACTGGGAGGTACAGACAAAGGATCTTGAACATGTTCCAGGAGCTTGTTCTGTGAGCTTAGTCATATCAGAATATGGTTGGTCAATCGAAAAATTAATGTACAGGGAGAGCCAATTTGCTTTTCTTAAACAAGCATCTCATTAAAAATTATATGATTTCGTACGGGTCACAAACGAATTCGCTCGTCAGTGCTCACCAAGAACGGTTTAACAATACAAGATGAAAGTGAGGGTCGCCGCTTTTTTGCTGTTGCTTTTCATCGCTTATCATCACGGTAAGAATTTAATGTAAAATGTAGATATAAGCACTGACAGAAAGGCTGGATAGCCATTTTCGTACAGTAAATTGCCTTGACGCCGATTGAAAAGGTAGAAGATGCTTACGCTGAGACGAATAAAACGCACCTTACTCGAAAACAAAAGTAATCAGTACGTTTTTTTCCGAGTAAGATCCCTCTCTCCCGTAAGTCGCTATTTCGACATAACCTCACTCACTAAACATCTTTCCAAAATTATAGTGCGAGATGAAAATGCAGCTCATTGCGTATTTATTCAAACTTTTCATCGCTGGTTATTCTGGTAATTGCTATTAAGTCATGACGTAAAATAGGCCTATAGACAGTGATAAGAGCTGGATTGGTATCAAGCTACAATAAATTCTCACATATACATGTAAACACTAACATACACTTACTCGGCAATAGAAGTGATTTGTGTACTCTTTCTTTTGAATTCAGGGCTATCTACACAAAGCCCCTCTTAATGTTTCTGCAGAATATGATTTAAAACAGTGAAAGTTGAAATATGTTCTTATGGGCAACCAGAATTTCAAAGTGTCCAGAATTAATACTTTATGCAAAGCCTTCATGATTGTTGAAATAGATTTCATAACGCCGGGGTAATTATTCCTGCCCGGTATGAGGATTTTTATCTGCTTTTTTCCTTTTAACTAGGCTAAAAGACATCTATAAAATTGATCAACAATTTCTAACCAGGTTAAGAAAACAAAATTATTCTAACTTCTGCAATAGCCAAGATCTATCGCGGTAATTTAAGAAACGTTTGCAACCGCCATATAAAATTCATTTTAAAAATTCGAAATTAAACATTTGAAAGTTCATCAAGTAATTTTTTTAGTCAGCCACCGGTAAATTCATTGTAATGCAAATTCTTAGTCTTGATGAACCTTAAAAACCGCTCAGCACTATAACTACGTTTAAAAAATGTAATAAATTGATTGCGTCCCTTGCCAACCGAAAAAACAGCATAAGTGTTAGCCTGCATGTGCGAGTCCAGCATATTAGGTCTGTTGCTTCGCAATTCTACAGTTTTTGTTTTTAGTACGAGAACTCTGCCCTAAGAAAGCGGCTATGCATGCAAATGGTAATATATGTTTAGAATTTTTGATGAACCACCCAAAACGTGAGATTGTTCACGCTATGCAATGATTTATAGTACCATTTTTAAAAGATCTGCCCTCAAGATTGTACATGGTGTCGAGTGGCGAATTTTATCAGCTGGTTGAATGAGGCGGACTGCCTTCGGTTTACTGAGATCTCAATTAAATGCTTAAAAATTCGGGTGTGGGAGTTGAAATATAGATAATGAACCACAGGTTTGAAGAGGAGACGAATAATATCATCACTGGTTAGTCTGGGGCGGGATCGTTGTTTTTTTTGCTTTCTTTGGCTCGGGCGGAGTTCAAGTTTTTCATCCTAATTCATTTTCTCAGGCAGTTTATTGTTTCCTAATAGGCTTGTACGACTGATAATTATGTTTAATCACCAAATCTAATGACATTGCAACTCCCTATTTATGAGGAAAATTCTAAGTACTTTCTATGTAAAGTCTTGAATAATTTATAACCGTGAAGAGTTTGAAAGGAAAATGAATGATGCGAACACATTTCTAAGGAATAATAAATGATTCCGGGTACAAGTATTCAGCTTCCACTCCTTCAGTTTATTTTACACTGAGTCTATTCCTTTTTTCTCTTTTCAAAGCTGCTCGTTTAAAATTGATAACATCTATCGCATTACGCACGAAAACCAAGATTCATAAGCTATAGATCGAGGCCCAGTTGTATAAAGGGCGGATAATGCTATCTAACGGATCCCTGGATAAATTGCTATCCGGTGGATGAGCGATAGCAAATCATATACTGTTTTCCACCGTATAGAGGTTTATCTGGTGGATAGCGTTATCCAACCTTTGAACAACCGGGGCGGCTATTTAATATGTACTTGTCGGTGAGTTATGCCCATTCACTGCCTCCGTTGTCAGCTGTGTCATGAGAGTTTTAAGAGGCCACGCTCATCCAAAGTGCTTCAATATACAAAATACTAATGGTCAAAATTTCTTAACTTGATTTTCTTAGTATCAAGTCTGGAATGTAATGCTTGTAGAAGTTCAACCTCGTGGGAGGATTGTAAAGTTTCACAGGAAAAGTGTCTTCCCCAACAAAACCAATGCATCAAGGTCTACTTTAAGTATGGCGGAATTGAAATATTCTCCAAGGGCTGTGCTCGTGAGCTCTCTTGTGGAAGCTCAGAAAATCCCACCTGTGGAGAAGCCCCTGGCTCTGATTTCACTTGTGATATCACCTGTTGCAATGACAAAGACAACTGTAACGCAGGCTCAGCCCTATCTTTCAGCAGTTTCTTATTCTTGGCATGCGCATCGGCGTCATTAATGTTTTACGTAAAATTTTGACATTACAGCTCAGTTGCATGTTCTGGTTTTGGGAATATTTGTTTTCAGATGATAGGGTTGAATAAATTTAAAAAAGAAAAAAAAACGTTTTGTGTTGTATAACAATTACTTACGATTGATAACGTTTGATTTTTAGAGGCTCAGAAAACCTCAGGCTTGTTTGTTATCATGTATGGAAAAATATCAATTTATGCTACCAGCACTCCAAACGCTGGGTTGTTTATTTTACAAATTCTCTTCTAGTCTCAATATGAGAAAGGACTAGTATTCACTTCTCAATCAACAGACTGATTAAACAGGATTTTTGTTCAAAAAAACGGTGTTGGAGTGAGAGGGTGCTTTGGTAAAAACATATAAGATAAAACTCCTCATTATGTTCAAGTATGACCTTCTAGTCTTCATTTATGCCGGAGCTTAGTTGATTCACCATTCAGCAGAATGGCCATCTTTCCGGAAGCTGCAAGTAAGTCCATTATCTCTGGAGGACGCACGTTTCTCAGCGAGAAGATTTGAGACGAGTCGGGGAAAGTTTTGCTGGGGTCTGGCACTAATAATGGCTTCTAAGGCTTAGAGTTTCGGTTTTAGACACGGCTTTTGGATAGCTCAAAATACATGATATTGATCGATTCAGGCCGTAAGAATTTGCTTAATTAGTCTAATGAAAAACGAGAAGCATAACAACGAGATCATTCAATAAATCATACCCCTGCATAAGGCATGCTCCGGAAGCGAAACCCAAACTTTTTTTCGATCTAGGAAAATGCTTTCGTGCGGACTATTCAAAATTATTGTCAGGAAGAGTCACATCACATAACTATACTTAGTTTAAGAGATGACTAGCCGTGTGTTTTGTTCAGGCAAGTCAAGTTTTGAGTGTCGATGATGACAGCTTGAATAATTCCTCAGTGGATGACTGCCGTTTCTATGCCTGGCTCTAATTGGCTGAAAATCACAGCATGAAAGTTATCACATGAATAGATGATACTAACGTAGTGACCTTTGGTAGGAAACCTGAAGCTTTTTTTCCTCATTCGCCTTCATTAAACGCTTTCGTCTTTCTCTTTCCTTTTCTCTCCTCTCAACTGAGGAGTCATTCTTCTTGCCTTTTCTTACTCAAGCAGGGACCGTAGAAAATTCTGCGGAGGATTTAATATTTTTGTGAGCCTAAAACTAAAATCTGATGCATGCATTCTGTTTTTAACCCCGATCAAAATGCTTTCTCACTTACATCAGAGGTATAGGATTACACGACCAACGATGACGAACTTCCGAATGCCTTTTCTGCTTTGAACGATCTTGAAGTGATTACCTCACGAGAAATTTTAAGGAGCTTTAGCATGACGTCAGTAGGCATAAAGGGAGTTGTATAAATGCGGCGCGGATTGTTCAGTCCTTTACGTTACTAGGTACCGGTGATCCTCTAGCTCTGCATATTGAAGGATCTGCTTCCTGATCAGTTAACATACATCTGATCGAAATGAAACTGTGGCTAGCTAGTGTATGCGCTCTCCTCGTTTCGCTTTCAACTGGTAAGTGAACATGTCCCACAGGGGATGGTTCTGACATTTTTCGTAATGATTTAATCAATTAGCCTCGTGGGGATATAGAGTGCAATAAGAGAGCTTGGTATCTTGTCAGTATTCTCCCAGTTTATGCTTGGTCGTTTTTGATCATTTTTCGCAAATGCTCTTTCCCCATGTATTGACCTCTGCAGAGACGGAACCCGCAACTTAAAGAGGAAAATGTGTCTATGTTCATGTAGTGTATAGAGCGCCGACGACAAAGTTTTGAAGTGAAATAATGAGTTTGAATGTGTGATTTTCAGATATATAACTGCGTCGTGTAGTGATTTATTTTTATCAGAAGTTAGTTCGCGTAAATGTTAAAATTTAAGTAAAGTGCGTTTTAGTCTAACAGAGGAGTATTACAGTTCCCTGAACAAACTATTAATAGTTGCCACTTACTGTTCCTTGAACAGTTCCATAATAGAATACTGGGTGGGATGGAATGGTTGTACTATGATGTCAAAAATTAATAAGATCAAAAAATTGATTGAATAGCTTTGTCCAAACTCAATTTATTTGCATGTTGCTTAAATTTTCTTCTTGGGGAAGAGAAACGCAACAATTTAACATTCATGCAATATTTTCAGTTCTAGCTATAAAATGTCAAGAATGTGCAGACATCTCAGGATACCCATCATCATTCAGTTCGTGCACCAGTCAGGATATCAAATCCATCGAATGCACTTCTCCAGGCTTTGATAGCTGTATGACTTTGAAAATGACCGTGCAAGTACCTGGGGAAGATCCACTCAACGCAGAGATGAGGAATTGCAGCTACAGGAGCTTGTTTTGTGACAAGAACAGCAACCTCGATTGTAAGTGAATATTGGCTGCGACAATCTTGAGATCGGTGCTCCTTTCTTTAATCCCCCCCTACCCCCTCCCCTCCCCCCTCATGATGCATGGAAGGGGTTTAATAAGCTTTCAGACACACCGTCAATCATTTTATGATTTTTAATGAAATTCGTTGTAGCTAGTGAAAAGGAAAATGTCAATGAGCCTAGCAAAAGCACATATAGATGATAATGCTCGAGAAATATTACATCATAATTGGAGTCTACATGTCGCACAAAGAGGCAATTGTTTCCTGTCAACATCAAAACGGAAAATTAAACTTTTCCAAATTTGTCTTCTTCTTAAAGCGTATCCGAAAAGTTCCGTTTTCCTTGGGTAATTTTAATCCCGAAGCTACTCCAGCTGTTCCTGGATATAGAGTTTCGTTCGCAAATCTATTCGGGAGTATAACGGTGAACTGCAAGTCCTCAAAGGGTCAAATGATGAAGCCCCAATCCTCTCTACTAAACTTACCTTAGCGTGATGTTTTCTTTGCAGTGTGCAAACTTACCAACGACAGTACTGGTGGCATATTGACTGCTTGTTCCACAAGCTGCTGTGAAGGGGACATGTGTAACATAGATCCTGCCCGCCCTTGGAGTCTTCGAGGATTACTTCGCGGATTAAACTAAATGAAATTGACAATTTGTGATTTTTAATAAATTTCCAAGTCATGATATTTTTGTAGAATAAATGTTCTCCACATCAATTTTTAGCAGTAAAGTACAAGATTAATTGTAAACGCCTCTGCCACGAAGAGGGAAATAATGATAGAAATAGTATTTTTAGAAAATAATTTTTATAAGGACTTTGGCAAAGTGAATAGAAATAAAAAGACACCTTATTGCATAGCCTAGTTTTTGTCTTTGCAGACGTTTCGGAAGAGAACCACTTTTCTTTCAATAAATGTATTATGCTAATGTTGACAACGTTGTTCACGGATCAACAGTTTGTCGCAGTCTTTTGGGAGATCATTGCATTCTTCTATGTTGTTAAGTTTTGGCCTCCTTTTTTAGCTCATTCATGCAATGAAAGCAATGAATGAGGTATCGTGGTGTAGCAGTTGTTGATGGAAGTTGTCGACAGTGGACGGAAGTTGCGTCTTGGACTGTAAACGGAAGTAGTCTTGCATGCTACCCCTCCCCACTTGGTGAAAGTTAAAATTAATTTCAATGAAGCTCAGAAGCTCATGTGGAAAGAAATAAAATATTTGTATGGTTTGAAAACAATAATAACCTCAAATCACATTTCTGAACTTCTAAAAATGCAACTTGAATCGAAAAGCCGGAATCCAAAGTGCTTCAATATACAAAATACTAATGGTCAAAATTTCTTAACTTGATTTTCCTAGTATCAAGTCTGGAATGTAATGCTTGTAGAAGTTCAACCTCGTGGGAGGATTGTAAAGTTTCACAGGAAAAGTGTCTTCCCCAACAAAACCAATGCATCAAGGTCTACTTTAAGTATGGCGGAAGTGAAATATTCTCCAAGGGCTGTGCTCGTGAGCTCTCTTGTGGGAGCTCAGAAAATCCTACCTGTGGAGAAACCCCTGGCTCTGATTTCACTTGTGATATCACCTGTTGCAATGACAAATACCCCATTCACACCAGCAAAACATGTTTTGTTAAACTGGTTTTCATTGAATGAAAATTATAAACAGAGCACTGAAAAACTTGATTTTCCATTGGATTCAAGTACTTGCTAACTTGCATTTCCAATGTGCTACATTCAAGTCAAAAATATTCGGTTAAATAGTTTCTAAAAAGAAAAAAAAAATTAAACTGTGTTTAACAAAACAACTTTTAAATATGTTTAAGCTTTGGTGTGAATGTGGCAAAAGACAACTGTAACGCAGGCTCAGCCCTATCTTTCAGCAGTTTCTTATTCTTGGCATGCGCATCGGCGTCATTAATGTTTTACGTAAAATTTTGACATTACAGCTCAGTTGCATGTTCTGGTTTTGGGAATATTTGTTTTCAGATGATAGGGTTGAGTAAATTAAAAAAAAAAAAAAAAAACGTTTTGTGTTGTATAACAATTACTTACGATTGATAACGTTTGATTTTTAGAGGCTCAGAAAACCTCAGGCTTGTTTGTTATCATGTATGGAAAAATATCAATTTATGCTACCAGCACTCCAAACGCTGGGTTGTTTATTTTACAAATTCTCTTCTAGTCTCAATATGAGAAGGGAATAGTATTCACTTCTCAATCAACAGACTGATTAAACAGGATTTTTGTTCAAAAAAACGGTGTTGGAGTGAGAGGGTGCTTTGGTAAAAACATATAAGATAAAACTCCTCGTTATGTTCAAGTATGACCTTCTAGTCTTCATTTATGCCGGAGCTTAGTTGATTCACCATTCAGCAGAATGGCCATCTTTCCGGAAGCTGCAAGTAAGTCCATTATCTCTGGAGGACGCACGTTTCTCAGCGAGAAGATTTGAGACGAGTCGGGGAAAGTTTTGCTGGGGTCTGGCACTAATAATGGCTTCTAGGGCTTAGAGTTTCGGTTTTAGACACGGCTTTTGGATAGCTCAAAATACATGATATTGATCGATTCAGGCCGTAAGAATTTGCTTAATTAGTCTAATGAAAAACGAGAAGCATAACAACGAGATCATTCAATAAATCATACCCCTGCGTAAGGCATGCTCCGGAAGCGAAACCCAAACTTTTTTTCGATCTAGGAAAATGCTTTCGTGCGGACTATTCAAAATTATTGTCAGGAAGTGTCACGTCACATAACTATACTTAGTTTAAGAGATGACTAGCCGTGTGTTTTGTTCAGGCAAGTCAAGTTTTGAGTGTCGATGATGACAGCTTGAATAATTCCTCAGTGGATGACTGCCGTTTCTATGCCTGGCTCTAATTGGCTGAAAATCACAGCATGAAAGTTATGACATCAGTAGATGATACTAACGTAGTGACCTTTGGTAGGAAACCTGAAGCTTTTTTTCCTCATTCATCGCTGTCGTCTTTCTATTTCCTTTTTTCTTCTCTCAACTGAGGAGTCATTCTTCTTGCCTTTTCTTACTCAAGCAGGACCGTAGAAAATCTGCGGAGGATTCGATATTCTGGTGAGCTTAAGACTAAAATCTGATGCATGCATGCTGTTTTTAACTCCGATCAAAATGCTTTCTTACTTACATCAGAGGTATAGGATTACACGACCAACGGTGACGAACTTCCGAATGCCTTTTCTGCTTTGAACGATCTTGAAGTGATTACCTCACGAGAAATTTTAAGGAGCTTTAGCATGACGTCAGTAGGCATGAAGAGAGTTGTATAAATGCGGCGCGGATTGTTCAGTCCTTTACGTTACTAGGTACCGGTGATCCTCTAGCTCTGCATATTGAAGGATCTGCTCCCTGATCGGTTAACATACATCTGATCGAAATGAAACTGTGGCTAGCTAGTGTATGCGCTCTCCTCGTTTCGCTTTCAGCTGGTAAGTGAACATGTCCCACAGGGGATGGTTCTGACATTTTTCGTAATGATTTAATCAATTAGCCTTGTGGGGATATAGAGTGCAATAAGAGAGCTTGGTATCTTGTCAGTATTCTCCCAGTTTATGCTTGGTAGTTTTTGATCATTTTTCGCAAATGCTCTTTCCCCATTTATTGACCTCTGCAGACATAACGCGAGGCGGAGCTCGCAACTTAAAGAGGAAAATGTGTCTGTGTTCATGTAGTGTATAGAGCGCCGACGACAAAGTTTTGAAGTGAAATAATGAGTTTGAATGTGTGATTTTCAGATATATAACTGCGTCGTGTAGTGATTTATTTTTATCAGAAGTTAGTTCGCGTAAATGTTAAAATTTAAGTAAAGTGCGTTTTAGGCTAACAGAGGAGTATTACAGTTCCCTGAACAAACTATTAATAGTTGCCACTTACTGTTCCCTGAAAAGTTCCATAATAGAATACTGGGTGGGATGGAATGGTTGTACTATGATGTCAAAAATTAATAAGATCAAAAAATTGATTGAATAGCTTTGTCCAAACTCAATTTATTTGCATGTTGCTTAAATTTTCTTCTTAGGGAAGAGAAACGCAACAATTTAACATTCATGCAATATTTTCAGTTCTAGCTCTCAAATGCCAAGAATGTGCAGACATCTCAGGATACCCATCATCATTCAGTTCGTGCACCAGTCAGGATACCAAATCCATCGAATGCACTTCTCCAGGCTTTGATAGCTGTATAACTTTCAAAATGACCGTGCAAAGACCTGGGGGAGATCCACTCAACGCGGAGATGAGGAATTGCAGCTCCAGGAGCTTGTTTTGTGACAAGAACAGCAACCTCGATTGTAAGTGAATATTTGCTGCGACAATCTTGAGATCGGTGCTCCTTTCTTCACTCCCCCCTACCCCCTCCCCTCCCCCCTCATGATACATGGAAGGGGTTTAATAAGCTTTCAGACTTATAGCAGTGGGACACACCGTCAATCATTTTATGATTTTCAATGATATTCGTTGTAGCTAATGAAAAAGAAAATGTCAATGAGCCTAGCAAAAGCACATATAGATGATAATGCTCGAGAAATATTACATCATAATTGGAGTCTACATGTCGCACAAAGAGGCAATTGTTTCTTGTCTACATCAAAACGGAAAATTAAACTTTTCCAAATTTGTCCTCTTCTTAAAGCGTATCCGAAAAGTTCCGTTTTCCTTGGGTAATTTTAATCCCGAAGCTACTCCAGCTGTTCCTGGATATAGAGTTTCGTTCGCAAATCTATTCGGGAGTATAGCGGTTAACTGCAAGTCCTCAAAGGGTCAAATGATTAAGCCCCAATCCTCTCTACTAAACTTACCTTAGCGTGATGTTTTCTTTGCAGTGTGCAAACTTACCAACGACAGTACTGGTGGCATGTTGACTGCTTGTTCCACAGTCTGCTGTGAAGGTGACATGTGTAACAAAGATCCTGCCCGCCCTTGGAGTCTTCGAGGATTACTTCGCGGATTAAACTAAATGAAATTGACAATTTGTGATTTTTAATAAATTTCCAAGTCATGATATTTTTGTAGAATAATTGTTCTCCGCATCATTTTTTAGCAGTAAAGTACAAGATTAATTGTAAACGCCTCTGCCACGAAGAGGGAAATAATGATAGAAATAGTATTTTTAGAAAATAATTTTTATAAGGACTTTGGCAAAGTGAATAGAAATAAAAAGATACCTTATTGCATAGCTTAGTTTTTGTCTTTGCAGACGTTTCGGAAGAGAACCGCTTTTTACTGGGATACCTGTGGTAGCCCAGTGATAAAATGCCTTTGTTTTTTGTCGTCTTTTTTTTTTTTTCCTCCGCCACAAAATGGAAAAATTGCGCAGTAGTACCCAGTGGTCATTGGGCTCTCAACACCATGACAACCAACTGTGATCCAATGAAGTGTTCACATGCTGATCACGCGTGTTATCTTGATGATGATTGACGTTGTCATGCACGGACAGGGCCGGGTCACATGACGAACCACGGGACGTATAAAACGCATACGTATTTGACGTATAAAACTCTTTTGTCAGTCGTTTTATATTTCAACGTATTTAGATTACGATCACCCGGAGTGTCACGGCGCAAACGCTCAAAATACTTACAGACGCATACACAAGTCGTATTGTTCGCGGCCAATCCACGCTAAAAGACGTTATTGAGCGGTAATTTTCGAACGGATTGAGTCGCCAACGCTTGAAAGCCATGAAAGCCTTGAATGCCTTTTATGCCAAGTATGCCAATGTCTTAGTTGAAAAACGTACACTTGTTGTAAAAAGCAAAATCTGAAACCAAACTGCATATACTCTATGCAATCTGTTGAACAACACTCTTACCGTGAGACTAAAGAACAAAACTCTAAGGATGCAAACTGATAGTGAAGAAAGACGGCATGTTGGATTCACTTGATGCCAGGGAACGTAGCTACGATAACAGTGTACAGGGAACGAAATATGGTCGATTTACAACGATAAATATTTCGAAATATAAACATTTTTCTCATAAAATCAATAAAAATTACTCATACCCTGTGTATCCGTTGTAGTTTCTGGCGATTTCTGCCGTTTTAAGCTTGCTTTACCATTACTGTTATTCACGTCATCTACTTTCATTACGTTGGTAAAATCTGTACAGACATCACACCAACCAACTCGCGCGCGAAGTAAGAAGACTATATTAAAGGCTTGAAATAATATTACGATCGATTTTCATCAAGAAATGTGCCAGGAATTTTCCACAATAGTGCAAATAATGGTGAAGGCTGATCGCGGAAAGCGATTGCGTGACGCTCGGTAAGCTGTAAGATGACATGTTATTATGTACCAGACGTAAAAACTCTTCAGATTCTCCGTCTGCATTTTGTACCCACTCTGCAGTCTGCAGTCTATATTTTGTATCCGGTCTGCAGTCTGCTGTCTGCATTTTGTACTAACAGGTATCCGTGGCACCAATACAGTTTATTTTTGGTGACATTTATTCGCGCAACACACATAATTTACCACAAAATACCTGTGTGTGAGGTAATTCGACATTTTCGTTCTTTTCCGCGTTAATACTCTTCTTTCCTTTTGTAAGAATGTAGACCACTAACAATGTTTCAAGTAATCCACGCACCCTACAAAAAATAACTCTTGCATGCAGAGCATGCCTGTGTTTTGAAATAGGTGTATGCCCTTAGCCAGACTTGAGCTCACTATTTCAGTATACTAGTCCGACACCCATAGTATCACTACACTTGATTCCAAGGATCCAGTACCATCCAGGTATCCCAGTTACCCTGCTCACAGGGTCTAGTCTTTCAATAAATGCATTATGCTAATGTTGACAACGTTGTTCACGGATTAACAGTTTGTCGCAGTTTTTTGGGAGATCATTGCATTCTTCTATGTTGTTAAGTTTTGGCCTCCTTTTTTAGCTCATTCATGCAATGAAAGCAATGATTGAAGTATCGTGGTGTAGCAGTTGTTGATGGAAGTTGTCGACCGTGAACGGAGGTTGCAGTTTGGACCGTAAACGGAAGTAGACTTGCATGCTACCCCTCCCCACTTAGTGAAAGTCAAAATTAATTTCGATGAAGCTCAGAAGCTCACGTGGAAAGAAATAAAATGTTTGTATGGTTTAAAAACAATAATAACCTCAAATCACATTTCCGAACTTCTAAAAATGCAACTTGAGTCGAAAAGCCGAAATGTTCAAACATAGGGGACCCGTAGCGGGTTCATTTCAAAACACGCTGTGACCACGCAGAAGAGCATCAGCATCAGAGGCAGCCATATCGGTAAGCCGCGCATTTGCGTTCGTCTTCATTTGGTATGAAGTAATCATTGCTCTATCATTGTGCTTGTCCTCAGGAGCTCTTTAACATACAGTTAACAAATCATCAATAATAACGGCCAAGATAGTCTAAAATTTTTCTTTCGAGCTCCATTATTGCGGTCCTGACTTGAGGCTCGCTAAAACAAAACAGCAATACCAACCGGTCAGTACAAAATGCAGACTGCAGACTGGGTACAAAATGCAGACTGAGAATTTACACTTCGTCTGATACGTGGTAACATGTCACCTTACAGCTTAACGCGCGTCACGCAATCGCTTTTCCGCGATCATCTTTTACGATTATTTTTACTATTGTGGAATATTCCTTGCCCGTTTCTTGATCACAGGGTCGTCACTTTGCGCGCGAGTTGATCGGTGTGATGTCTGTACAGAATTTACCAACTTAATGAAAGTGGATGTAGATGAAGATGTAAATAAGATGTCACTATCGAATATTTAACATGCGCAATATTCGAGAAACAATTGACAGCTTTGCACGTGGTCCATACATTTCATCTTTTTAACCGATATATGTTCACTTTGTTGACAAAAATGTGGACCGGGACCAAAACTGTTCCCTCGACTTGATATATTTTCAACGTTCAGGGGTGTATACACACTGATTTTCATTGGCTTACATGAGGAACCGTCGAATTTTTATGAGGAAAAGCGAAGCGTTGCTTCCGTGACTGGCCATTTGTTTACTTTTCTGGTGGTTTTATCTCTCGTCTGTTTGGTGACTACGCAAATATTAATATGTGAAAATCAGAGTATATGAAGGCTTGAAATTCTATTACGAACGATTGTGACCGCTTTGTTAAAAACAAAAGATATCAGCGTGACCCCTGTAGTCATTATCGCTCTATCCTGATTGGCACCTGAAAGTGAGGCGTGTGATAAAATATTTCAATTTCAGACTGAAAAGAAAAACAGAAACGTTACTTTTTGCTTGTTTAAGTCTACTGAGTGCAAGAACGTTTGATATCTAGATAAGATCTTCCTAGAGCCAAAGGCATTTGAACCGTCATCATGATGAAACTCGGTGGAGCCTTCCTTCTTTGCCTTTTTCTTCCAGCCGGTAAGTGATCACAGTAACTATGTCAGTGCATAAATAGACTCGTATTTCGGTGCGTCCTTTGAGTTTGAGATCATTCACTCCTGCTGCTTGTGCAGAATCATTCAGCGCTTTCGTTAAACTTTATCGTGATTACGATGGACTCTTCTTACTCGGTAGAAAGCTTTCTTACAATCATTTATGCAGTCGTTTACTGATCATAGTCGTCAACTCATATTACATCTGTTCAAGGTTTGCACAGTGTTAAAATTCACTGGGATAATATATTCATCTGTTCGAAAGAGTCTCAGGAATGTGTGCGATGTTCTTGTGGAAATGAAAGACGATTTTACTAGAATATCAGGCAGGGGTTCATGGCTTTAGAACAGTAAAATTCGATATGAGAGTATCGGAAAGCACAGTTTTGATACTTAACGAAATAGCCGCGTGTGCTAACCGGTACCTAGGAAGCCTCATGTTAGATATTCAAGCTGTTGTATCGACATGAATAATGTACATTATGCCTTGATATCATACGAAGGTGTCCAATCTCAGGAACATGTGCGATGTTCTGAAGGAAATGAAAAGCGGTTTTATAAGACTACCGGACCGGAGTTTAAGACTTTTAAGAGTTTAATTCGGTATAAGAAAATTGGAAATCGTAGTTACAATATTAAAATAAACAGCCGCGTAGGCTCACCCGTAGAGCCACATGTTGAAGATGCAAGCTGTTGTATCGACATGAATAATATTTATTATGACTTGATATTGTATGATAGTCCCCTTATGAAGGACAGACGCAATGGCGTGAACAGGGCCGGAATTCCAGAAAAATTGCCGCACAGAAAATACAGAACGACGGTTATATGATGAAATACATATTAACTGAGTTAGGTTAAAGACCAGACAAGGAAAGTATCTGGCTCTCGATTATCACGCACAGACCTCGCTGTGCTCAGTCCTCAAGGTGTAACTGCACAAAATGTTTTCCTATTTAGCCCTACCACTCAGTCAATAAGTGTACACTAGTTTGATTTTCGTCTTCATTTTACCTTATTTTGGTTGGTTTCCTTGTCACGCGTTGTTCGGTATTGTCATATAACGCGTTTACGAAACGAATGGCGTGACATAACAAAAATAACGACGAAAAAATCGATCTTTTTTTTCCTTTTTCGTTTCCTTTCCTCGCAGTGTCGAGTCTAAACTGCTATGTATGCAGCTCATCCAAATCATGGACAGACTGTACGATGAAAAGCCACCAGTGTCCGTCTGGTTTTGATAGGTGTAGTAAGGTGTATCTCAGGACCGGCAGCCTGGAGTCTTTCAGAAAGTATTGCGCCCCCAAGGCGGCGTGTACTTCGAAGACGGACTTTACCTGCAAGACCGCTGTTGGATCAAGTTCTTTCGAGTGCGACGTCACATGTTGCGATGGTGACCACTGTAACACTGGCTCAGCTTTGTTCATCAGTATTATCCTCTTGCTGACATGCGGATTGGCGTCTCTGTGGATTGTTGTCAAAGACTGACATTCATTTGTGCTGTGACATGAGGAAATATATGTGTACCTCCTTTAATTTTAGGAAGAAATGAAAGATGTGATTATAACGTAGCTTCTCTTGACAGTCTCAATACATTTACTTTAAGAAGGAGCCTGCTTTAACAATAAAATGTTTTTGTATGTTTTATATGAATGATATATTGTAGGTTTTTATCATGTTTCTTTCAAACAACTTCCAGCCTGTGCAATATCACAATTCGATAACAGACACACCGGACACTGTTACGATTGCACAAAGCCTTTTAGGATCCCGCTACTTGTGGCGACAAACCCCGCAAAGGACATTTTAAGAAAATCAGTTGATCCCCCACCCTCTCTCCTCCCCCTTCCTTATCATCAAGGTATCAAGGTCTTGACGAGTTACAACTTATCTGCAAGGATTCACTCGTTGATTAGCCCACCGATTAAGTTCGAAAGATTTCTCTCTAGCGCCTAGGAAATGATACAAGCAATCGCCTGAACTATCTTAATCTCTGAAGGTCCGTTTTCAATCAAAATGTTATCAAGATTGAGAAATGAAAAGATCTTACGGAAGCAGTATGTCGGGCCTCTAAGAACGCAGAAAGAGCCCGCTAGACTGTTTCAGGCTGAAAAAATAATATATAAAAAATAGAAGCTAAGTAAAACATTTAAACATCATCTTTCGGAATCTTATCCTTGCCTTCCATAAGGACAGAAAATTTGAAGCGCATACGTAGAAAAATCGGTGTAGCGGTGACCTAATTTAAAATAGGAGTCATGTAGTCTTCAGAAATTTTTCTCTATTCTAAAATAGTTTCCTTTTTTCGCAGAAATGTTTAAACTTCATCAAAAAGATTTTCAATACTGGCAAATGGGATCTGATTGGCTGATTTACGGGCACTGATATCAGTGTATTGTTACCACCTGCTCATCCGGATGTGTCACTGCTCGAAATCGTGCCGCGTATGCTCATGGTCGTAGTTCAGTCAGTTTTAATCTAGTTGGAGCACAGGCAGCCCAAGCTCCAGCTGTGAGATGATCATTTTGCACAATTATAACAGCGAGGCTCAGTTTAAAAAGGAGGCAGGGTTACCAAGCTAGTTTTCAAAGGTCGTGTGTCAAGGTTGATGTGTACGCGGGCTGTTAAAACCTATAAACTTGAAATTTTTTAAGCAAACTGCGGCTTAGTGTCGGATGCAAGGGGAAGATTAAGTTTGTCATGAATTAAAATGAAACTACAGTATATTTGCTTGGATTCTGCGTTGGATTTGTGGCCGCTCGGTTATTTTACGCTGGGATTGTTCGCTTCTCGGATCGGGCGTTCGGAAATGAAGTGTTCAGCCTTGGGCTTTTCTTATGTACGTTGAAAACTTCGAAATGGACAACTCGCTAAAATGCGTTCTTTTCATCAAACTAAGCGGTCAGATAACAAGTGATACGCTGCGGAAGTAAGGTGAGGTATTTTATTGAGAGTTTGACGTATTGTTTTATTCCTTAGACCGGTCGTAAATATTCTCATAAAAACTCCTATAATTGCGCTATGACTGTTATTGTACAAGATGATCATCTCACAGCTGGAGCTTGGGCCACCTGTGGTTGGAGAAAATAAAAGCAGAGAGCAAAACTTTTCCATAAGAACATAATAAGTTAAGTAAATTTTATTTCGAAAGTTTCCAATTTTTGGAAGGTCAGCAAGGTAGTACAGATATTTATTATTCATTAGAAATAATTGTTAAAAATGACCCGTTTTTATTTTTCCCTTGACAGAAGTGACTTTAAGATGCAACTCTTGCTCGTCCCAATTTTCGTGGGATAATTGCCGACAGTTAAGTAAAACATGTCATGTCATGTCCTGACTATCAATACGGCAAGGTTTACACCAACATTGACGGGAAGGAAAAATATGCAAGGGATTGTCTGCCACCGGAGTAGTGTTTAAAGGAATACCATGATGACTGTAAAAAGCGTCTTTCCAAGAACAGCACCGTTTGTCTCATCCATTGTTGCGACAACACCGACGACTGTAATGGTGGTACATCACGTCAGCGGAATCTCGTTGCTGACATGCTTCCTGGTATCCGTGATGCCAATGAATTTGAGAGTTCATTCTTAAGAACACGATGTAGGACAGCACACTTTTTATCGAAACAGATGTAGTTGATTTGTTTCTGTGTTTTCTCTTACTGAAATAAAACTGTCTACTATGTGAAATTCATTACATGTTATGAGTGCATTCCTTTGCAATTATTCAGATCTGCAGTGTGAGCTGGTTACCCAGGTTGAAGGCAGTACATTAGCACTGACCCAAATTTGGAGCATGAATTCCTTTGATCCTTTTTTGAAAAACATTGAATAAACACGTCAGCAAGGCCCGAATGTTAAATGAATATCCCGAAAGGGATAGTTGTCATTTATCACCCGAAGGGCAGGGAAGGGGGAGGAGGGGAGATCACGTGGTTGTAAGGGGGGGTCGGAAGAGGGATCAGTCGTTGCTAACAAAGTTAAAAGGGAGAACGAAAGAAAATTGACTGCCGGTGAGGAGGGAACAACTAAAAGCCACAGTCCCCCAGGGGTTAAAAAATGACCCTAATAACCCTAGGTATTGGCTTAAGGATGCGTGGCGTCAGTTATTGATAACACGAAAACTGATTGCTAACTTATCGTATTTTGCAAGGATCGATATAGGCTCGATTCAAGTTTTCGCAAGTAATGTCTTATTAATACTGCAAATTGCATTTTTTTTATTCCGGATGTCCGCTTTAATGACAGTGGGATGGATAAAGTTTACTTGTCGTTGGTTTTCTGTTTTGTTCCGAGTGATTTGGTGGATTTTTAGGACAGTGACAATCCGCTCCTCACCAAACCTCCCCCAAGCTTATCTCATATCCAGATCCTACCGTGTAACTGTTACTGAAATGCGGTGCGTTAGCTCCCAACGCCCCAAATACAACCCGCACTTCGACATTGTTAGGTAATCGACTCCACCCTGTTGTTTGTAACTTACAATTCGAAAATCCAACTCTGCAAAAAGAAGCTATGGTTAATTGCTGCCATATATAGTTCTCTCTATTGGGCTTACTTACCATGCGGTAAGTAATTTGCCTAAGTATTCATTTTTCAGGTGTACCTTAAGCGTTTGCAGTTAGGGCGAAGCCTTTCCTCGTATATCATTTTCGAGAATCATTCGGTGCAGTGACAACGAGTTGTGGTAATATTTGAAAGATTCGGAAATAGATTTGAGGCAAAGGGAAAAAGACATCTGAGTCCTTGAGAAGACTTGAACTTCATGACAAAGATTTATCCACCAAACGGGGAATGATAACATGCCAGTTTCAGTACAAGCTTGCGCACTTTCGGCCAGCTCTTTCATTGACTGCAACAAAAACTTTTTAAATTTTGCACACGATTCTTTTGATTTGTCTTGGTTACAGTTTGCTTGCAAATTTAAGCAAAACATGTTTTCGCAATGCGCAATCTAAGTCCATTTCGTTCAAAAGATCTCCTTACTCTTTCGCCATGTTTGCACTTCATGGTAAACATTTGTCAATTTCTCAGACCGATTCCGAATTTGAACCCAAACGCGTTCTATAATTTCCGCATCGCTTTTGCACGCATTCAATTTTCCATTTGCAATATCTACCCCAAAATTCAAATGCGAACTTTGTAAGATATATATATATATATATATATATGTATGCCATTGACCAAGCGTGAGACTAAGAGGGCTGAATGTCGGCCGAATTCTAATGTTTTTATGGACCGAGACGAAATCGTGGTTCATAAAAACGCCAAAAAGAAAGAGGTTAAACTCCAGCCATCTTGACCGGACAAGATTGATCAATGAAGGATATATTATATAGCAAAATAATATCAACTGATATTTTCTTGTAATATAACAAAAATTTGAAAAAAAGATTTCACATTATTTTTAACCGCCTTTTCAAACCATCGCTTCTCAATGCCGTCCGGTTTTGAGTGGAAAACAATTTTAATAGATTTTACACGTGAATAGATTTGGTTAAAGGTCCCTGCTGTGCGACAGGTATTACTAAGCGCATGAACAAATGGAACCGCGAAAAATGCGTTCTGCAAATGTATTATCATAGAAATTCTACGGAGAAACCCCCTCCCCCTCACACCTCTCCTAAGACTTTAGATGTTAATGACATTTGAAGGTCTCAATCTGTCGTTTAATTTTTGCCCTTGCATCATGCGTATATATATTGATTAATTCGCAAAGTGAAGGGAATAAAACTCCTGTATAATCCCGGAAGCTAATTAAAACTCCTAAATCTTTAGGTGCGCAGAAAAAAAAGTAGATGAATTTTAATGAGTAATCAACGGGGGTTATCATAGTTTTATTGGAATTGTAATTGTTATGCATTTCTTGAGAGATTAAGGGACAACGATATTGATCGCTCCTTGACATTATTGTTAAGTTTATGCGAAGTATTTTGTGTTTTGGTCCTCTAAATGACATGCTAGGTAAATATAGACTCTTAATTAAAAAAGATAACCAAGAATCAAGCAAGAGTTCCAAAATCCTGACAGGACTGGAACTAAATTAATTTCTTAATTCTGTTACTGAAGAACAAATTCATCTCCCTTTTTACCGACTGTCGGTAATTAACTTCACACTACAAAAATTATCATTAAATACGGAATAATCTATGCTACAAAGCTTTTCTCAAGCTATTAATCTCAGACGCAGCCAATACTCGTTTTATTGTACCTATTGTTAGGGTCCATTACTTGAGTGAAGTAACTCAAGAGCTTTTTTTTTTGGCGCCGCTTAATTGGGTTTTCCGGCCAGCTTATTCGAAAAAATTCCTGAAACACAATAGATAGTGATAAAAGTGTATGAATGGTGTAATCTTCAATAGGTATTAATATTGTTTTCTTCCTTCTCTTTTTATGTATTGAATATGTGTAAATGTTATGTAGGGTTTTGGCTGGTAATCAGTTTGTCGGTCACATCATAAGGTTCTTTTACTGAAAGGACAACTC